TTTCTAAAGATAAAGGGAAGGACTGACTTTTTATCTGGAATCTAGTCATGGTTTTGAAATATGACAATAATCTGTTCTTTACTTACAATTATGATTAAAGAAAAATGTAATTCATTATTTGGCTTAAGGATTTATTAAAGCGCGATTCTGTTCTATCACCTTTTGCTTCTTTATACGAATTTCGCAAATTTATATTTTGTGAATGTGAACATCTTGGCATTGTTGTGATCCATTCCTGATTCCAATCCTCACGCTCATAGAAAGTTTTGCAGAGAGAGAATCTCTGACCAGGCACCGCGGAGCGTTGATAAAAATGAGGGGTCTAGAATAGTGCGGGGTCTAAATAAGTGCAGGAGCTAAAACCGATAAAAAAGAGGCTTTACTGGTGGTTCACTTCCAAATATTTCAGCCAAAGCCCCCCCCCCCCCTAGCCCCTCTGCTCCGCGATGCCTGCCGACGCTTTCTCCTTTATTAAAGGAACCCAAAACAAATACAGTAATACATGGCTACGAGCGTTCCTTTTCTACATCCACCTACATCATAACAGGCTCTATCAGTTCAAGACTATCTTTAGATGAGGAGACACAGGAGCTAGGGGGCTTCAGCACCCCTAATCAGGTAAGATGTATTTCAGGCCCAAATCTTACCTGTATAAAATAGCAATACTCTGGCAAGACCCGTACTAAGCCCCCTAAACGTTTATCCTCCATCTCAATGTGTGTATAATTATTTCTAATTATATGCCCCAATGCAAGGGGGGATACCAACTGGCATAAGTAAATGAACAAGCAGACCCTTCAAGTTCTATCTAGAGCATGTCTCATTCTCTGTATCATAGAAAACACCTCATCCCCTCAGTGCAGATGCTGGCGAAATCTGCTTGCTATTAGAAGCCTACTGACCATGGATTTACTTCTTTATAAACAAACATTATGACACTTTTATCCTCTTTTCTATTCTTTGCTATATATCTTCTATTGGCAAGGGCTGTCATGAGATAATTAATCTGATCATAAAACGAAAATGTTTTTCTTTGAGCATAAAAGATGCGGTCTTGGGAAAAACTCTTCATTTCTAACAAAGCAAGATGGCCACAGGGGTTGATGTATCTAGTTCTAAGAAGTGCCATGTACTGGGCGAAGGCTGATTTCTAAGTACTATGAGGCTATGGTTCATCGATACCCCTCGCGTTGCACGTTGCTAGGTAACAAATTCAATGATTGAGGCAGGATCATGCTGAAAATAAACAGGGCAACAAAGATGAACGCCAGATCTATAAATAGGTAACTAATCGTATTTAAACTCATTATTCCCACTCGACATTCCCTTCAATAACATATTTTGGTCTCATTTTCTATAAAAAATGAATGGAGTTTGAAGTTGTTTTTAGAGGATCAGGACTTTCTCTTTAAAAGTAGTGAGTCCTTACAGGCAACATGCTTCGAGAGGGGTTTACGCTGTTTTGACCAATCAATGTGCAAGTTACTTTGTCTGAACCAATCACATCACAGAACAGTACAGTTTGAATCATCGCGTTTGCAACTATCAACTACATGGGTACTTTGAATGCATGACAGAGGGGCAAATCACTTTGTGAAAATCTCGTGCACCTTTGGTTAAAATTTATTTGCTTCATTAGAAATTCTGTATAAATCCCTTTGTTTCGGAGAGATCTCCTACGCTATTGCTAAGCGTGAATTACCTCTTGCGCAGGACACATAATTTTCAGAACTTGCAAAGGAAGCAGTTTCAAAGCAACTTATTTTGTTTTTCTGACATCGCATTCTTTGAAAGCTTAGAAATCGTTTTTTTAAGAATTTATCTGGTTTTTACTTATCATTTGCCAGCTGACAATGGCAAAAGAAGCTACTGGTGGGAGTGGCATTGGTTTCCCTACACGCTTCTGTCTTCAAAGAATACAAGAATCCCTTTTTGAGACTCACTCGCAATTTATACGTGATTGTATAAATTCTATTGTTGATATTTAAAGAAGTTAATTTTTAATTCATAAAATTAATGGCGTAATCTGAACGGAATCAAAGATTGAAAAATATTTTTTAGCTATCGGTTGCTAGAGAGAATAAGAAAAAGGTTTAAGCTTCTGTAATTGCCATCCATTTCACCATTTCCTCTTCAGATGTCTCGAAAAATTGTGTCTTTGCATTGAGATAGGTTGTGGTGACTCAAAATCCTCCTCCATAGTTCCAGCATTGTTCTAGTCAGCAATTTGAAATTTCAGTGGCTTCAGTGGCCGTCCCGGTGTATGAGGAGGTTTTCATGAACAAGTAGATCAAAGGAGTTGTTTGTTTTGGAGAATATTTGGCGATAGTAAGTGGAATCTTTTTGCATGTAGCTTTTTGAATGATTCAAGCTTTCTGCTTCACAAAACATGAATTAATAGGTTTAAATAATTCGATATCAGCGGCGGAGCCAAAGGGGGTATAGGGGAGGGGGGCTAAAATTAGCCTAAGCAATGAAACGAGGCAAAATGGGTGTGGTCTCGCTGGTCACGCCCATGACCCTTACACTCTGCAGAAGCTGGTCGATATAATCTGCCCGATTTACCAAGCTCGTAAAGCTTACGCTTTTTACAAGGGTAAAGTGTGTTTATATGAATACCACATCACATTCTTAATTGATCTGTATTCATTTTCAATTCATTGTACACAAAATGAAAAAGTTCTGTTTTCTGTTTGATCTTCCTAACGTTGCCATTGTGATCCCTGTGACGTCATCATTGGTAATGGCTGGTTAAAAAATAAATTTCTTTGTTTGATCTGTATTCAATATTCTTTCAAGATGATAAAGAATGGTTCTGATATAAAGAAGAAGGGCTTTCTTTATGTTAGCTTACGTCAACCATTGCCATTGTCAACCTCGAACCATTGTCAAAGAATTTGTTTAAACACTTACGAGAGGTATTGTGATGCGGTATGAGTGCAAGATCGTCTTTTGGTGCATTGAAAATGGGGTGGTCCGTATAAATACGTAGCCAACTAGTAAAATTAGTAAAAAATAGTAAAATTAGCAGAAAGATGGTAGGCTTGCGGGGGAATTCACTCTTGCAAATAGCACACGAGATTTTCACAAAGCGAAAGGATTTCCAGTGATTTTAAGATAAAGCAATAGGAATTCTTCCAAAGGTGTAATATATTTTTTTAGAATCGTTTACCCTTCAACTTTTTTCTGTTTCTATTGAACGCCCGTTTACCGCCCTGAAATCGTACCTTAGCTTGGATTTAGACCAGGAAGAATTTTGTTAAAAAAAATTAGATCCCAAACCTTGTTTGTTTTGCATTTTTAGCCTATCCAGCGCAGGGAGTACAGGATAAAAATTTTCTGGACCCCGCTAAATGATCTTCTTCAGGTCGTTGAAGGCATTGTGATTGAATTGAATGGTTGCAGAATATAGATTTGTTCTGCACACGAAAACATGTCGAATCATCTAGTGCTTCATCATTGTCTTTCGATCTTCTGATAAAATAAACGAGATTAAGTAGGAACTAACTGTTTAAACTGGCAAAACGCTCTAAAATGACTCGAATTTGTTACAAGAAGTTGAATCTAATGGAAAATTAACTTGTTGAATCTAATGGAGAAAAGGTGTTGCTAGGGAGTGGATTTGAATTCGCGTTTTACCTGGGCTGGGAATGATTTGGCAACACATGATGGGGTCGTACATTCCACGAACGTTTGTTAGAAATAGGTTTTATCGTGAAAATAGCAACCTTTGATTCGTTGAATTGTTTGCCACAGAGGCTCTCTATTCCGATGAAAATAAAGAAAGACAAAATGTTCTGAACTGTCTGCGACCTCTCTTTTCAAACATTGCAATAAAAAGCACATTATCCTAAACTTATGTAAAACCTGACGAAAAGAAAAAAGAAGTGTCTAAAGCTTGCAGCAATTCATAATTATGGCTTCTACAGCTACTGCTTCTACAGCAGCTACTTTGCAATGGTAGTTCTCAGTTGAACAAATCAACGCACATGAGCTCTAATGCACTGCCACAGTAAAAACGCACTTTTCAAATATATAGAAAAAAACCCATGCCGTTAAATATCAATTGGTCATGAACTTCTTAACACTTGATTTGGCGTCTTCAAAAGAAAATAACCTGTCGAATTAATGTTGAAATTCAGCGAAGTTCCTGTTCTGAAGTCCTCAAAAGAGGCCATGGTTTATTTTGATTTAATATAAAAGAGTGAAGAACAGGATTTGAGGCAACATACTGAGACAATATATGATTGAATGATTGAGTAATACGACCACTACACAGGGCCGTCACTATCTATTGTGTTCAAGGGGGTGCTCCGATCCCATTTTCCAACAAAGTTGGCGAACCATCCTTTATTTGTCGACAAATCTAGCTTACCCCCTATCTACACCCCCTGTAACACCCCCTGTCACACCCCCTACACCCCCCGTAGCGACGGCCCGGTCACTAGAGGACTTGGACCTGCGCCTAGCAACATGTCGTTGCTCTATCAACTTTGCTACCTGGTCACATTGTAGTCTTTATCCTTGCCACTCAACCACACAGCTCTATCTTTAGCCAGTGCACAGGGAACCCATCACATCATCAATCACAAGGACCTCAAGCTTCAGTTTGAAAGAATTCATTCAAATGTATACAATATGATAATTACCGGTCTAATTTATAAGCAGGTATTTTAAAAAATGTATCAATGGAGGTTAGATGACGAATGTAGATTGAGTACACCTTTTACAGCCGACTTTTTACCGGTTAACTCAAGAACGAAAAGATTGTCGAAAGCATTGAATGTTACCGCTTAGCGCATGCCCAGTTGCACGCTGCTTAAGACCCGATTTCATGCTACATGGCTTTTAAGACTTTAGTGGGCAGTGATGGTTGGTTGGTGATATCACTGTAAAAGAACTGGCCGGTGGAAATCAAAGATTGGTTTAAGACTCTTGTGCTGCTTTGGTTATTGTTAATCTCAATTATGTCATGCACTGCAGTTTGGTTTTAATCTGGAAAAGGGTAGGTTTCACTTCTACGCCTGCCGGGCGATCTTTAAAACCGTATTTATGATCATTTTTGAATATGTATGTAGTTCTTTAAGCGGTGTTATCATCCTTGATCGAGTCAGACGCTATTTTGCATGCTATCTATCCCTAAATGGGATTGGATTTATAAAGCTTAGAGAAGCCAAGCAACGAATTTTGCAAATAACCTAATATCATGCGTCCATCTTATCGTCAGCTCTTCTTTCTTTACTCGCGTCAGTGGAAGAAAATTGTCAACCGAAATTCCGTCACAATATGTTATGTTTTGTTATGTAGACTGGCTTGAAAATCTCCATGATACTAACAACTTCCGTATGAGCAATTCATGGAGTTCTCGACAATTTTGTTAAAGGATGGCCAGTACGACATTCATTTAGAAAGCACATTAGTGCTGATGCAGTTAAATTGATGAATCAGATCGATATATACCTACCAATATTTGACGCTATTGCATCATCATCACTGTGATTTTAAGGTATTCTAGAGCACTTATGCAAAGAAAGCTAGAAAGCAGAGATCGCTGTCGTCATTCCGCATAAAAACATTCATATATAAGTCATCGTTATTCCCACCATCATCATAATCATGATAAGAATAATCATCAAGATTATAGGCTTATCGAAATCATAATCATCATAACCATGTATTCATCGTAGCTATTCAACCAAACACTGTGACCTCAGTAGAATAACAATTGTGGCTGAGAATATACGTTCTTGGTGAGGACGAAATCTATGAATTTTTAATATTTTCAATGCACATTTAAAGTTTAAGTTGCACGGGCAAATTGGCGGTGAGAGTGTGAGCAATGTTAATGCAGTCGCTAGGCAACAACGAAAGTAAATAACAAGTGACCTGAGATTTTGGTTTTGACGTTTAGGTTTGTGGTATCTGTGATTCAATGCTGGCAACCTGAGTTCTATTTTATTGATATCTACGAGATCTAATTAAGAATGATTGCAAGAATAAGCGATACAGTACCAATTGCCATCCGCTTGGCAAACATGCTTCCTGCTATAGTACAAGATCTTAAACCTTTAGAATGCCTTATGGAGCGGGATATGACGTAAAGTGCCACAGTGCACTTCAAAAGCAGTTTGATTTTTCCAGCTTTAAACGTCTCGCGAATGGCTAATAGGATGATCGTCTGGTGGCATTTTTATGTGCAACAGTGATGTCTGATATTAGTGGTTTTTGCTAACTGATCGCCCTGTTTGTTATTTCATAAGGGCGTGGACCGGGGGCACTCCAATTATTGACCTCGCGGGATGTGCCGCGGGACAGGGCATCCTTTTCCGATTAAAATCATGCGACAGGAAATCAAATTTCTGGGACAGGGTGTCAAAAGTAAGACAATATATAAAGCAGAAATATGCGAGAACAGCTTACTTTAACTGATTCTGTTGATGTGGGCTCTGTTAACTGGTTGCCTCTCTATGTCTGTTATTCGTAAAGGCGTGGATTGATCATCGAGCTAAAAAATGTTTAGAAAAAATATGCATCATATAGTTAGTAAATGCAACAAAGCAGTTGCTTGAATAGAAAATTACGCAGTCTTTGTATTAGAGTTTTCCTCAAGAGAAGTTAGATTGGGTTTTGAGTCACTGAGGTAGAGAAGGCAGGAGAAAGGCGAGGGAGGTAACAAATAATTATAGGTTTCTAACGGCAGTGTAAGAGGCTAAATGAAAGTGTGTCAGGAAGAGTTACCCTTTATTAAGCTTCAAATAACATCTATTTGCTATTTGCCAAAGCACTTTTTTAAAGCTCTAATGGCGGATTTCAGGTCTAAAGGCAATCACCTATACCACTTATAATACTAATATAGACTAGATCTTGAATTTCATTATTGCAATGTAAACTATTGCAAAACATGTGGAGCTTGTATCTACAGTTGCCATGTGTACAGTAATTGTCGAGTATGTATCTGCAAAGCTTTTTGGTTATAGTACTGACTACTATCTAAAGATGCACAGCTGGGTGCTCAACCCCATTTTCTTCTTTTGCCATTGTATTGGAGAAATTCCTTTGAGAAACTCCTTCGAAATCTTATTGTACTTTTCATCGCAACACATCCCTACTCAGTTTTATCTTTACTGAATATCGCTAATGTTTCACTGTTGCTAAGCAGCTGACACACAATCAAAGTCTCATCCATCGTGTTGTGGATTTTTTTGTTTCAATATGCGTTGAATATGATAGTTGTTTCTTCACAGATATTGCAAAACACAATAAATGTTACTTTTCATGGTCATTTTTTGTTAAAGGTAAAATAGTTTTAAATCTTAAAGATCATCAAAAACATTTTAGAGCAGTTTTGATCTGCTCCATTTTTGAATACATCTACAGTCAATGATAGGCAACGTTAAAATTGTACACCTTTCCCAAAGCTCAGGACATATTCATGTGATCCAATGGACACACACCACCCTCGACTAGTGAGAAATGCTGGACTGAACATTAATGCAAGCCAGCATGTGCTGGGGCGTTCCTCTCAGCACTAAGAATTGTAGATTGTGTGAAACATTTAATGATAGCATGTAAATCTGTATTGATTTACATATCACACATGAAAATTGAATTCTTTTAGATAGATGCATAACAGCATTTATTCAGAAACATATGAATAGACAGTTGATAGTGCTTTAATCTGTTCAATACATGGACAGTGTTTTGACATCGACAAAGTCTTGAGTTGGATTGCCTTTTTAACGAACCCCTTGTTATGATGTACGTTGGTTTATTATTCCTGAATTTTATTTCTGAGACAATATCCTTTACAAGGAAGAAATAGACCGAGCCGGGAGGCCTGTGCAACACCTTGCCCCTACAAGTTTCGGCATATGTCTTTTCAGGAGGTTGAAGAACTTGAATTTTACAGTCTCAACAATCTCTCCACCAAAGCTTCTTGATGACTGATGACAAGTGTTCACCCAAAAATCTTTCCTCCCACAAAGTTATAAGTACCACATACGTCCTTGGGTATTAATAGAGTATTGCCAAAGTACTGCGAAAACATGTTTCCAATGACAGCTGTTCTCAGATGCTATCTGAAGAGAGTTGTGCTCGCATACTGTTCAGTATCGTGGAGAGTTTTTGAATAATTCATGGCATATAAAGGATCCCCGGGGCTGATAATCAATTGTATATCATTTGATACTAAAAATATGACCACTAATAACTTTTTTTTGTTAAACAAGATAAAAAGTGCTCAAAACAAAAAACAATTAAAAAGCGATCAAGAGCTGGAAGTAAGATGCTTTTAGTTGCAACATCATGATGAATTTATGAATCATTTATAAATTATCTTATCATTCTATTTACATAATATATCTTTACTTTTGATTGTAGATAGTGAATATTTAGTTGTTTTCGTCAAAACTATTGCTCGCAAGAAGTGTCAATAAACTAATCATTATTTATCATATTTTAATAGAGGGTTATGTATCTTATTGAAAATTAATGAAATTTGATGATCCTAGAAGGCAGGTACCAAAACCAAAAAAACTAATCGCCAAGCAACAATAATGAATCTTTTGATAAAAGCAGATTAAAGCAAGGCATGTTTCTCTCTTTCCATTTACGGCTGACCAGAGAAGCATCGATTCTGTGGGAAAAAATTGAAGAGTATGTTTGCTCTTTGTAAAATTAAAGGTCAAAACGCGATATTGTTCATCTCACTTTACTTTGGACATAAATCTTTTGCTTTCCTTTGGTCATCGTTCAACTTTTTTACTCTGAAGAAACTCTTGATACTCTTAATACTTAATACTAAGTATGCCATGTTGAAACTATTTCGAGCCATCTTCAAATTTTGTGTTATCAAAACGTATAAAATAAAAAGTCCATGGAACAATCAACTGATATCTCTTAAGGACACTTTCTGGGTTGGGCTGGAATTCACAGTTGGGGTAGCCTGAACTTCACATGTTTTGGTCAAAAAGTAATATTGGTACAAAAAATCAAATTTATAACAAAAATTCCAAAAACAATAGAATACCTGATGTGTGACATCACGAAATTTGTGTTAAAGTACTGACACAAATTGTAACCATCCAGCTCCTAGCACATGTCTGATAATTTAGATTAAGTATCTTAAAACATTTCTTTTCACAACTATAGATATATTTTTTTCAAATGTTGTAAAAAATTGGTGAAATCAGTATTGGAAATCTGTGCATCGCAAAATTGAAAAAATGAAGCATGATCAGGGTATCTAGGATTTTTCCAGACAAAATTAATGTGATTTATCTCTCTATCATTGTGTAGAGCATGAAAAATAGTACATGTCAGCCAATTTTCATATATATTCTCCTTATGATCAGCATAAAACATGTGTCACAAAATTGAACATAAGCGTAAAAATAACATTCGAGAAAAACGCAATTAAAAAGTCGGTCATGTCAATTTTTGAGAAATATAATGACAAGATGAATTAAAAACTTCCAGATGCATAAGTTAGTCCTTCAGTTTGCTGCATTCTGTCATCTGCAGCTTTTCCATGTGTCCTTCTAGTTTTTCTGATTTTTTTGTTCTTTTCTGTTGCACTGGCATTGCTCTCTTTTACTCTTTTTCTGTCTAGCTTTTGTAATATATGGGCAGTATGGCGCCCAGGTTCAACTCCAAGCTCTTCAAGGACACCACACATGGCCATATTCCCACTATTAAACACAATTACAGCAGCAGCAGCAGCACAGTCAAGATGGACTTTTCCAGAGGCCATAGTCTTTGGACATCTAGCCCAAATCAAATGATTCAATGACTCGCAGCTGTTTTGGGTGTAGCCTCCAAGGCAACCTTCAAGTACTGAATCTTTAGAAAGCCGTTCATAAATTGGCTTCAAAACTTCCATCACTGCTTTGGGTAGAGGCTTTGAATGATTATAAGATTCAGACTTGAGAGCTGCCTTGTTAAATTTACACCATGTCTCTGGCCCTTCAGGGCAATATTGGTGCTGGGGCTCATCATTTGTTGAAGCAGAATGATAAAGTCCTGCCCAAACTTCTTTTTTCATTCCCTCCAAATCATTCTTGTGACGGCGGATAGCAAGGCCATAGTAGGTTTGCAGTCTGTCAATTCTATCAGCTGTTAGCCTACCATAGCCCCCTATTGATTTACCATCACTCAATTTCTGTCCAGCATACTTTGTTTTCACTTTACGAAGTGCAGTTCCAAGGCGTTTTTGCACATGTCCAACACATTCATGCTTTTTTATTGTTTTCTCACCATATGGCTTTAGGCTGGATACATTGTTGTATGCTTTGGAGTCACCATCTCCAATGTATCCAGTATACTGCAACTGGTGAAGTTCTTCTGATCGGAGGAAGATTCTCTTCACTCCCTCTGGCTCCATAGCTGGAGCTGAGCCATGATAATTTGTTGTACAGTTGTGCTCAGCCAACCATTTCTCTTTCTCTGGACAATCTGGCTTGGACTTCCAGGTTGAACAACCATGGCACACTTTGTTTAGTGTCTCAAAATCAAGACACTTTCCTGTCTTTGCTGAGATGGCAGTAACCGCACCTTGCAGAGAGGAAAAACCTCTTTTTCGCCAGGTACCATCAAGCATCACATTACACTCGGTGTGGTTGGTCTCCTGGTCTTTCTCCTCTTTGGCAGCATCTCTCATGTTCTCTGCTACCTTATTTTTTAGACAACCTTGTATGCTTTTCATAGTTGAGCTGTATGTGTCATGCGACATTGGGGAGGGAATGTTCAAATAAGCACAAAGCTTCAAAAGAGATGTCTCTCCACCCCCAATTTCCATTGCACCAAGTACAGCTCTACGGTTTATTTCAAACCCTTTTGAATTTTTGCAGTTGGGAGAGGTGTACATTTCTACCCTCTTCAAACATTGCTGACACTCTGCAACAATCAATGATGCCAGTCCCATTTTTTTTTCTGTTTCTTCCTTCACTTGAAGCTTGCCATATTTACATTTCTGGCAAACTGCAGTGATATCCAGAAGTGACTGCAGAAATTCCATACTTATGATACGAAAGCCTTCAGATTTAAAGTTGGGCTCAATTTGGGCAGAAAGCTTCCGTGCACTAGCACCTTGCACATCCTCTTGGATGTCCTGTAAAAAAAAAGAAGAACTTACTAATAATATGTTCCTTTCATAATTACGTTATATTTTTGTAAGTTTATGTTCTTGAATATGAATGAATTTGAAATAGCACTGTCCAGGTAGTAAATGATAATACAACGAAAAGAAAACAGCAGAATACATTGGGTTATCAAATTGTAAGTTGACATCATATCAGAATAATATAAATATAAAAGTTATTCACATAAAGTGGCACAACAATCCTATCCTATGCTTTTCATAGCAAAATGAATTTTCAACACTCACCTTAGTAGACTGGACATTTTCAGCAGCTAGTTGCTGCTCCACTTGCTCTTCACTTTCCTGGCAAACGATCTCGCTTGGCCTAACCCCTCTAAACTTCTTCTTACTTCGTCTTTTACTCGAAAATTTCCTTTTTAGATTGGATTGATCCTCGGACGACATATTGGCGAATAAAACTAACTTCTTTTCACGAGATTCTGGTAACTTTTGACGTGTGAAATAACGGTTTTCTAATCGAAGTTGCTCACACTTATGTTCATACACACAGTTAGAATATCGATACACAGGCTGAAAGTAGCTTGTTGTTATGGAAACTCTTCATCTGATTGGACCAGCAGAAATCAACCATCCCGTGATTGGTTGATGTTGCTCAAACACACCCAACGACATTTGAGCCTCTTCCTCGTACTGTAGGCATGAGAATGTAGGCAAATTCATAATAGGCATTTCAGGCAATCTCCAAGGATCAAAATGATGCCTCGGGAAGCAGCGAGCGACGTCTAAATCTCAGGTTTTAGGAATCAGCTGATTTTCTACAATTTGACCATAGAGTGGGGTGAGAAAAAGGGGCTGAATATCAAAGGGGAGTCGTAATTTTGAAGAACTGAGACAACCACAAAGAAATTCAAAGAATTTGGACCCTGAATCATTTAAAATAAAAAAACTTGATTTTTTTCGAATTTTCAGTAGAATTGCCCAGAAAGTGTCCTTAAATCTTATCATCTCCATGTTACGTATTACTGAGTTTCACATGATTTCCTCTCGTAAATATCCTTTCAGTTTCAAGCTTTTTGTAGGTTTTCAAACATCTACTTCTTACATGCCTTAACACGCCTTAATGTTTGTCCCAGGTTATCCAACAAAATCGTTAGCAAATAAGGGTAGAATGCTCCTCAGAATATTTTACCATTATCTATTATAAAGACTAAAGGTGGCCTTCTCTCATCATTTGGACCATATTATTTTGGGCTTTCGGTGCGCCAGTAGCCACAAAAAGGCTACAAAAAGAACCCCAACTGAAACAATGGCCTTTTTTCGCCAACTAGCAATACCTTGTGCATGCAAAAGTCGCACACCATTTGGCTAAAAATAATGCAGGGTGAAAAGAAATAGAAAGTTAACATGAATGTAAAAACCTGAAGATACTTAGACATAGGGTGGGTTGGCAGATTCACAAGAAAAACCTTTCCTTTCCACATTCCAACTTCAGGTTTGCTTGTATCGTGCGAGAAAGAAACTATGCCAGAATAAAGTTTATATACCCAAGGCAAATGCATACTTGCATGCTTGTTGCTTACTCGATGCACACAAAAACACAATGTAATGCTTACTCGTCTCGTGCACTGCTACAATGAATACAAACTCCACAATCTTGCAATCAGTGCCAGAAACAAAAGCCTAAGAGGCACCAAAAAAACATACCCTGTCACATATTAAATATTAATAAATTTCATTTAATCAAGCTTTTATTGTGAAAGAGTGAGTGGCAACTTTAGTAACTTACTCAAAGTCGCCAGATTGTTGCTTTAAACTGCGAAAATGTATCAAAAATGAATCACTTCTGTCCGTTGTATATGACTACTCTTGTAACACTCGATGTTCAATCATTTCAGCAGAACCTTCTAGACCAATTATCATATCAAGTTTCCTTATTATGATTCGGAAGGGTGCAAGTGTGTTTAAGTAAGCATGTGGCTGTAACATACGTCCCAAGGACGGATTTAGGCAACAATGATCGTGAGGGTGTAAGAAACTCATTGGATTTTGGTGTCACACCCTTCACGTCACTAGAAAATGATGGAAACGCCCATTTTCAAAATTCGGTTTTTAACTGAATCCGTCCTTTAAATACTTCGCCAATAATTTTCAAGTTTCAAGTTCCTCGGTGCCCACCCTCTTAAGCCACTTTTCATGGCACCTAAGCTTTCGAGATGTTCCTAAGCCCTTGATTACTTTCGAGAACAAGTTAACCTGACAAATGGGGATTAACATGAAAGAGATCTGTCTGATTTTTTAAAGATGTAAATCTCAAAACATCTTTTGTCTTCTATCCTATAAGTTAAATCATGAGCACCACAACATGGATATGCAAAAGTATTTTTTAGAAGCAGAGACATAGTAAAGTATTTTTTAAGTTGTGGGACACACTGTATGTACTATGAGACACATCATATATACGCAAACTATTAGACGGTGTTGCTCCCCTCCCCCAGACCCATTTGCCTATAAGCGGGCTCTTAAGCTGATAACTGATAGCCTATGAAAATATTCCTGTAACAAAAACAATCTAACTTAAGCACTTAATTGGAAAGTTTGCTTCTTGGAAGAATGGAAAAGCGTTTAAGTAAATCAAAGGGAAAATATCATTACACTTTGTGAAAGACAGTAACATAGTGAAAAGTACCTTTTATTGAGTGATCCGATTGTCTTTCAAGAATTTTAATTTGGCTACCATTCTCTGCCTTGGAAGAGTAGGGATTCGTTTAACTATTTTTGGCTCTGCATAGCCAAGCATCGCTAAGTGTAGCAAAGTCTCTTTCTTCTATTGTTCTTAACCTCTTCAACTTCAAAAAGACGATTCCTTGCTGACACATATTTTCTTTCATTAAAGGTAAATTATGAACTTGTCATAGCCTTTTTCAAGGTGACTCAGCAGTGGCCAAGCCTTTCTTATGCAAAGAGGACAATCATTGTTTAAAGCAATAGAAAGTCACTAGGGGATGAGGGGCGATTGCCCTCTCTCCCAGGTTAGCATGTTGAGAAAACCTGAAACCTCTATCATACTTTTTGAACCACAATGCAAAGACTGTTGTAGAAAATGTCAGCGAGAATGATAGCCACTGGCCTTTGTACAACTGGGCTATCCTAGCCTTCGTCGCTGACCATCACCACCAAAGAGTCTATCACGTGGCATCTACCAAACTACTATGAAACAAAACAGTGATCCACTTTATCTTTTCAACGCCCCATGCCTAAAGCTATGCCCAAACAAAAAACAAGTATTGCTAAAAATTCTTTCTATTGACTGCATTTTAATGCAATTTAAAGAATTTTCAGCTCCAAAATAAAAAAATGAACTACAAAGAAGTTTTTTGGCAGGCATTTTAACAGAAACCATACTTAGTTTTCGCTCTTTTATAGAATTAGGTCTTCATTGACGTCACACATAAAGGCCACCCGGCAAAATCTGGATTATCCTGCCATCCTAGGGACTTATCCATTTACACTTGCTCTTCAAACTGACTATTCGTGGATGTGAAACAACAGGAAAACGTTGGAATAGTTTAATAGTAAGCCAAACTTCAAATTTATGACAAATCTGACAACATTCAGCAATAAATTCAAAATTCTCCGAATAATGCTATAAACGGATACCGTAACCTTAAATTTCTTAAAGATTGGTATTATTACAAAAGTGTTGAAATGCTCAGATTATAATAATTCTGTTTTATAAAGAAGGAAATCTTTTGATGAAATGTTATTTTTCAGTGAATTGGGATTAAATGAAGTTTAACTAGAATAATGATAAGTTTATAGTTTGAATTTTCAAGACTGCTTATTTGTCGATTATAATGAACACAGAAGCAACAACAGGATTTAAATGAGCCAGATGGAAGTTCGTTTTAATAGAAAGTTTCTTGTTGTTCATCTTTAATATGGTTGATTCACCTCGCATATGTACAAAAGATTTATCTTGGTTGACAACACGTTCTTTAATCATGTATTGTTGTATTTTTTTAAAATCTATGACAAGCCTACAATGGAAGAATTTTAGAGGCATGGATTGGAGTGATACTAGGTGCTGGGCTTTGGTGTCATACCCTTCAGATCCCTAAAAAGGATCGAGACACCAATTTTTATTTAAGATTTTTAATTATAAGATAAAGATGCAAAGAAGAAAAAAGTAAACATTGGAGTTTTCAATAGCTACTGATCACCCAAAGAATTTTTTTCCGAATCAAAGGAAAATTAACCTAATGACACAAAAATTGAAAGGATGAATTTGATTCTTTTAAAATGTAAATGACACTAATAGCAAGAAAATTAAAGGCCTATGAACTATTTTGCAAGTACGCCTTACGTAGTAAAGGTTTCAGGATTTTATCAAGTGTCGAATAATGACAGAAAGGTGAACTGTTGTTAACATGCAGGTTTGGATCGAATTAACAGTAGATAGATACATTTTAATGGCTCTTTGCTTTGAGGAATCGATCCCTATTTACACTTCAAGTAGTTGAAAAGCCTAAATGACAAAAAGAAATTATTTCTGTTCTCAAAAATTAAAGAACAGGACAACTTTGCCCGTCCAATTATTCCAAAATTTTCATCACCATCACTTTTGGCACATTCTGGCTTATGAGCAAGTGGTCCCTGTGGTAGAACAACTACATATCGTCTCTAATAAATGCATTTTAATCTCTTTATGTTTTCGGAATGGTCTAGTTGTTATCATGCATGCTAAAGACAGCAATAAAAACCTACCACTTTCCTTCAACTTGCTTTCGACCTATGAAAAGTGTCCTCTCTAATTGATACATCTCCCATGTATTGACTGCATACGAGGGTAACTTGAAAGACGTTTGTGAAATGTCACTAAAAAGAAAACAAAAAATAGCTGTTAGAATCAAGATGAAAATGAAAGCGATAAGAAGGATTTGAATTTCAGCAAACTTTGACCTAACGAGCGTATTCTTTCTTCCAAGATAGACAATGAAGATTAATCTATATGTTATGCAAAGTAACGATGATTTATTGAAACGCGAATGTCAATCTTCTTCATTGATACACCTAGTTAACCAGACCTTCCTTTAACTTCATTTCCAAATACATCTAGACATGCAATGAACCAGTTGGTAAATGTTGGGGTAGGTCTTTTAAGATTGGGTCCCCCTTCTTTTGTCAAAGAGCATGTTCGATTAATTCGATAATTACTGGGCATGCTGTTTTACAGTAAGGGGGGTTGCCTCACCCACGCCTGTTTGTCTCCCGAACAGCTTCTGTGTGTTATAATGTTCAAAGCTGCTCTGAATTACAGAGATCATGAAGCAAAAGAGACGGGCAAATCGTGGGCACAGTCGAGTAGATTATGAATAGATGTATAGATAAATTTATGATAAAGAAAAACCCACAGACATTCTTGCAAAAATAACTGAAAGATGTTTCAATGGATGAAGCCGCAAATAAATCTAAAAGACGCAGAGGAATTTGCTAACCAAGCCAACGAATGACCAGTATTGATAAATGGCTGCAATGTTGTAGAATATAAGGCTAATTCACAATGCCTTGATAAAATGTTATTTATCAAAACATTGAGTCGCACGATAAACCCTCAAGGAGTTGTGCCATGTCTTCATCAAATGCTGGTTAGGTATGCCTTTGGGTATGAACATATCGGAGAACAATAATGTGAAATCACTCACCCGATTTAAGATAAAACAAATTCTACATATTTTCAATTTATATCAAATATCTACAGGATATAACTCGAATTTGAAGATAGCAGGGAAAAGCTGAAACATGGCATACATACTAAAGTACTTTTTGCACGAATCTCCGCAGATCGTGTATATCAAATAATGACCAAAAGTAAGCAGAAGATGGAGAAGCGGATCGAAAGTAACGTGAGAGGAAAAAAAATGCTTTTAATTGGCTCCTTGTTTTAACCAATCAGCGGTTGCTAACTCCTCTTCTTGTTCAAGACATCACAGAATATGTAAACTGCCTCCGGGAGATTTACCTACTTGTTATCAGGGATAATTTGGATTGGGAAGTGCAGTATCCTGGAGGAGCGAAGCACAAAGTCTTCGCATCATACATTGATTAATATATTCTCTTGTTCTTCATACGAACAGACTCTTAGAGGGCTCTTGCGCAACCGGCATGCTTAGCGGCAGCTGTCTTGAGAAATTGATTGTGTTTTATATTTCCATACAGTACGATATTAGACCGGATTTTAAAATATAGTTGCAAAGCATGCCGGTTGCGCGAGAGCCTTTAAGAACAGTGTAAGAACCTGCCTAGTCTCGTGTGAAACTTTGATGAAAACAATGTGTTTTGAAAGACGCGTGTTATTAAAAACGTGCTGCTATGAAGGTCATGCAGAATTGTTATTAAGTGGTTTTGTGTATCAGTTAATTGTACGTAGTTGAAGAAAAACTAAATATCGAACATGAATAACATTCAGAACACCTGAACATGAAAATAAAGATCCGGAAGTGCAGTAACCAGTAGAAGCGAAGCACAACATTTATGTGCCACACATCGATAAATAGTCACAAAAATATATAATGAAATCAGTATAGATACTAATATATCATTTGTACAGTTGTACAGGTGAATTTACTGAAACTAATACACTAATATATTTGTACAGGTGAATTTACTGAAAATTCTGCACAGGCCTGTATGTCTTTGAAGAAACATTATGATCATACAAGTTTCGTCTCTCCAGTTCGTAGAGGGTAAACAAGTTCTGCTGAAGAATGAGGGAAATCCTAAAAACTGTAAGTTGCTGTTGACAGAAGTCTAAGATTGTCCAAGAACAAAAACACGAAAACTTAAAAATATACCACTTACTTGTTGGGGAGACGAGCGAGCGAAAATTTTCAAATGAGTGAGGCAGCCCTCCGTCCTGGATTCAGAGAGCATGCGTAATAATAACTTCGTTCTGTGCGCATGCTCTTTGACTCCATGACGGAGGGTTGCCTCACTTTTTAAAAAAACTTTCTCTTGCTCGTCTCCCCAACAATTACACCCAGACCAATATAACCAAGTTTGATGCAGACCAAGGATGTTGAAAGTAAAATGTGTAAGAAAGAAGAAACACAAGATATGCTGTCCGCCAGGTTCTGTGAACCTTGCAATGAGTAATAAAGGAAAATAGCCAGGAACAAAGCAATAGGACGACCAGAGTCCAATGCAATAAAATGGAATTAACTGTCAATTAAATGTCATAAAATTTCAAAATATATTAAATTTAATAAATACTAACAGGCATGCAAAGCTGCATCAGAGCAAATTCCAATGAACTGAGTGTATCAAGCAAGTAGTTCTTAGCATAGGATTGAAAGTTATATAATGAAAATTTGATGAAAAGTATCAAAGAAATGAAATACTGTAGAGCAGAGGCGGGTCCAGAGTGAGTTCCTTGGTGCACAGAACTCAGCCAGTTTTCTGAAATATAGCTAAAAATAGTGTTGCCTGAAACAAGTAATATTTAAACCAAAAAATTAAAACCTAAATTTCTAAGTTTCACCACAGTATCTTCAAAATCATAAAATTGCCAGTTTGATGTAATTTGTTCGCCCTTTTCGTTCCTTCCTCTCTGTCGTGATTTTGAAACAATTTTCCAGATGCTATGGAGGACAACAGCAGTCAATCCTAAAACTCGGAAATGAACGTTTTGTGCCTCGGAAGAAAATTAATTGAAACAATGGGATTTTTGTTTGAAACACGGATGGAACTCGGTCAAAACAGCATCTGGAACTTAGAAATGATACCATATTTGCGAGAGATTTGTACAATTGCCAGTAGTTAATCGGCTACCTATAGTTTCTGTTCTATTGTGGAACTGCTAAACATTTAATTCGAAATGGCGACTGCAGATGTCTGATAGGCCCTTATACTCACGACTCTAGCAGCATTCTAGCAGATTATTAAGCGTTTGAGACAAAAGAAGGAAATATCGTTAATTTTCAGAAGAATTAACTACCTTGGTTTTAAATTGCAGTCTTAAATGGCACGGGAGACCTATGCTCAGACGGAACATCATATTTTGATGAATATGCTGGTGTCTACGGAGGCAAAACAACAAATTGCGAGAAAAACTAAAGGGAAAAACTTTTCTGCGGCATCCAAGACAAACAAAAGGGTGCTGAGAAAGGGAGGGGGTTGCAAAAAGTTTCACAGAGGCACTGTCCTCTTGATCAGAGGCACTGAAATAAATCTAGAATCTAGATTTAGTGAGTGGTGTGTACCTACCCCTCCCTTTCCCCTTCATGGTTCCAAAATGCATAAATATGAGTAGTAATGTTGTTTTTGAAACAATTATCAATGCATTATCTGAAAGACCTCAGCCTTGGCCTGGAACACAGTCAGGTTTTTTGCTGGATCCGCCCCTGGTAGATAGCTTTTAGGGGTTAAACAATACCTTTTAAAATGCTATTTACTTTCACCTGTCTGGAAACAGATTTGCATTTAGCGATACTACAGTGAATGAGATTACTAGTCACATAGGCAACGGTCAAGCCTTTCGTCCGACACTCCTCAGAGAATAAAACGTCAGAATAAGGATCCGAATGAACACGATGAAAGATATATAGCTAATTGTGGATCGAAATGGGCCAATCCTACACAATGGCGCTGCAAAAAGTCTTGGAACACTGGTCATACTTTACGTTGTGCATGAGCTGCAACATCCCCTCTCCCCTTATGCAATGTTGTGCCACGGGAATATTAATAATCCTACATGTACAAGTGATACATTTTTAAATAGCTATGGTTTCAGCTAACTAATCAACATTGTACGAGGGGGAAGGGGCAACACCCACCTTTTTGACATGGAAATAACATGGGACAGGTGAATTCACAGAAATCTCAGGGTGTTCCAAGAACTTTTGGCAGGCATTGTAGATCGATTCCAAAACTACTAGATGGAAAGACGGCCGGGTTCTGCCAATTATCCGAATCAAATTTTGTGAAAAACTGATTGCGGCAAGATAATGGCGATTCATTTTTAATTCAACTATGAAGCTGAAAAAATACACTTGCAATTTAATTTCCGGGTAAAAATAAATAAAAAGTTCAATGGTTGTACACAATATCGCACATCTGCTTTTTAAAATCAAACAATTTAATTCTTATTGAAGGGAAAACAATCGCTTGCAATGAAGTTGTCCACAAACGGATTAGAAAATAAGAATTCTGAATAGAGCACCCTAATCTGCTGAGGAAAAGCAAGGAAAACATGTAAAGACATCAATTGCTATTGAATGATACTACAACGCCATAAGCATAAATGCTAAAATATCAGTATGATTCGGCGAATTAAGCAACTCAGAACTTAGATCTCCCTGATGATCGCATTAAGCGTGAAACTCGGTATAGCAACTTAGAACCGTACTGCTCTATACACCAAGTAGTGTTTACAGCAGATAGTAGCGATTGCATAAAGGCCTTCCTTGATTTAGAGGATAATTTTTAAATTTTACTTCGTTAGTATACATATCATTAATACATTGATAAAGAAGTTCCATACTATATGTGACCGCAGATTCAGCTCGCAAAGGAAAATCCTTTTTACTTACCTTCAGTTTGTGTTTGATTTTTAATACATATATGCCTGTTTGGCAAACTTGAATGAACAGTCCTGTAATCAGAAGGCATAGAATACCATTAGTTATCAGCTGACTTGGAGAGAAGATGGTTTCAAAAATGATTAATTTTCTAGAGCTAGGAGAACACAGATGAACGACAACAAACATGTTGTATTTTCTCTTATCTAATCAAAATTTGTAGGAATAAAGATATTTATAAGTACTTTAGCTATGTCTTGTGAACTGCTTGAAATCTTTTTATCGTATCACTCTTTGGTTTTATCATGATGAAAAGCAAATGATCGTTTGTTATCCAATAGCTAGAAATGTTAAGAAATCGCAAAACATCAATTCAAGATTAGAATTGATTGTAAGATTATCTAGGGAAGATTGTAATAATCTCAAAAAAATTACGGTAAATAAATTTAACTATAATTTAAGACCACATGATATGACGATAGCAGTGAAATCATCTTTTAAGGGAAAATTGGCTCAATAGTGCTAATGACCATGATCCCTTGTAAAGAGATGTAGGAAAAACATCTAAACAATGTTTGTTTTGTTGATTCCCTATTTTTTGTTTATAAAGCCAGCTAGTCAATTTACATATACACTGGCTCAAGTTGAGACCCTAGCGCGAAGCGATGAAAAGATACAAGAACAATTTTCTGTGTTAAACAAATAGGCATGATTTCTTTAAAAGTGGGAACAAATTGAAATGCACATCCCACACTGTATATCAAATCCATTTTGCTAGATTTAAGAATTGAAAGAAGATCCAAAAAACGAAGCACCAGCTGTTGAGGGGCTCGGGGGCTCAAGCCTCCCTCACCCAAGTTTCCTTGACAAACTTTCATTCTTTCATTTCAAATGTTGAGCCATCAAGAGTAAAGCTAGCTCCTTTGCAAAAGTACCAAAATGTATCGCATCACAATATCAGTCACATTACTTGTCTCTTGTGACACTCTAGACATATCTAGCGTTGATATTTTACGAAATGTCACTTATATATCCATGTGATGTGAACTAACGCTAAAAAATTCCAAAGTAGCCCAATGATAGCAATAAAATTCTTGATAATAGCGTTATTTTCTTCACCATAGAATTTCGAGAGATAAATACACGAAGAATCCTACAACAATTTGTTGTAAGAGAAGAGTTTTAGACAACAAGAATTGTGGTTAACGTTTGTACCATTAAGTTTGTATCAGATTATCTAACCAGCCTTGGAGCTAACAGCTTTGTGATCAATTATTTGAAATGACCCTTCTAATAATATTGGGGTTTGATCAAGAAATTTAAGGCTTAAAAGATGAAGCTCGATGATTATGCAAGGCCAGATCTTAAAGAGTACTGATCTTGTTTTCGTTCTTAGTGAAATTGCCAATAATGTCAGAACAATTTGCTTTGGCGAAATCAAAATACGTCATTATACGAGTAGTTGCCAAGTGCAAAACTGCAAATAAAACATCTTGTTGGTAACGTATATGCAAAATAGCCAGTTGATAAGAAACTCTCTGATCAAAGTCTCTAAATAATTTGCATTATAGAGTTGCATATGATCTAGGGAAATGCGCCTGATTCAATGTACCATTGTGATAATGGTCTTGCGTGCGAAAAAGGACCACTCAGATATTAAAACAGTGGCCTGTTCATCAAACCAAGCATGTAAAACTACATACCGGGATGTTATGTTGTGTTTTTATAATTCTATTTTTATAATAATTACTTTCAATATCTATACTTGTTGAAAAAGGTGAATACGTGGCTAGGTTTTTCCTGACAATGCTCAACACGTGGCTAGCTTTTCCTGATAACTGTAAGCTAACTTATAGAAATTCACATATTTAAATATCTAGTGTAAATATGATATGACCATATAAAAATCCTGTACAAAAATTCGTTAATAATAATGATTATAGCAATGATAAATATATGATAGAGCTCTTTTATGGCAGGGTTGATGCAGTCGTGGGTGTGATACGAACTCACCGGTAAAATACCTAAAATCTAGAGTTGTTTCTCGGCAAAAACGTTTGCACTTAAACTTCTATGAATTTTCAACAGACCGTCCGGACTCTTAGTACATCTGTTCCCTTATTCAATGACTTTTGGCAGCTACTGCACAGCAAAATAAATTATCGATATTTTAGCATCGACCTCATTGGTTTTGTTGCATGCATGATTCTGATGAGGCCCCTGCTCTTAAACTCTCGTTTAGTATTGTATTTCAGCTAAGCTTTATATAAATCCAATTATTTCATATAAAACAAACGAGGGGGTGTCAATCCTCTGGAATAATTATATTGGAGAAAGCCTTTATATGTCTATAAAATTGATGCTCTATTGGAAATTATATCTTTAATCATAACTGCATTCGTAGTATTATAATGATGTGATCGTTATTCCAGGGGAGTTTCTCTTTTGTGAAAGCAGAAAAATCTCGGTACTAGAAATATCCTTCTTATAAACCCATGTGTGGTTTCGCCTTTATGTCAGATCTAAAACCGTATTTCAAAAAGTATGGTTAATTAAGCCTTTTTGTTCAGCTATATCGAGATTTAGTTGATACCCCCTGAAATTATGATTGAACAGTAACAGTGCAGCGATTTCTGTGTCTCTTTTACAATGCGATTCAATTGTTCATTCTCAAGCAATGGTGCAATGAAGCGTCAAGAGGTGATCTGTAGTGAATTCTTAGGAACGAGTGAAACAGTAGCCGGGCCCAGTGTTTTCAGGTGCAACTAGTACATCTTCGTTGTTTTACCAGCCTTTGAAAGTTCTGTAATTAATTACGTGAACAGATAAACGATAAACACGATTAATTGGAACTCATGTTTTCTGCGCCAAGGGCGTATCAAACCTACACGATATGCCCCATCTATCTCGTGGATCGTTAATCAAATTTCCTTGATACAAAGTTGCATCTTTTCAGAGAGCATGCCGCTGCTTCGCCGGACAAGATCGTCGTAAATAAACAGCATTTGAGAGAAGTCTGTCACGTTATCATAATCGACCCTAGGTAAGTTCTAACTTTAATATCTATCTGCACTATTGACTGAAACCTTGTTGCGTTTAACGCACTCTGCGCGAAAAGGCAGCACAGCAAAGTTCAACCGGCAAAACGCCGTGCTTTGCCGTGTTGATCTAAAACAGCTAGATGTAGTGGATAAAACTGCAGTGAACTTGTGAGTGCCATGATTTGTGTATGAGTAAATTGTATAATGAAAGGTGACTTATACAATTTTAGCTACCCGATGCAATACTATAAAGCAAGCTGCATTATCTGCGATTCGATAATAGTCAACAACAGTCGACTTTAAATGCTATGAATACAGACTGGCTATGTCTTGAGTTTAGGGGACTCAACATAGACATGGTATGTTACTGTTATCTGGAGATACAAGCAAAGGTATCTGAAGAGTTTTTGATTCTCTTGAAATATGGATACGGGGATAATTAACGACGATACTGGCGAGGCGTATTCATATTCACAATCATAGCTTTTCTCAACTGATTCGGATTTAAAAGTTTAAAAGACCACAAAATTCAACATCTTTATTGCCAAGGCAATCACCCAACAGCGAGGTCAAACTTTACAGATAACTTGATGCAAAACGATAATGCAAACGGGAAACCTTTGTCCTGCTGCAATGCTAACGATTACAATGCAATGCAGCGACATGCCCTCTTTCTTATCAGCCACACAATGTTGCCTTCATTGCATATAACTGCGGCATTTAATCACGCAACTTCACTCACACCCAGATTTCTAGTTACCAGCTCTGTATTTTAGAGCATGCAGTTCAGTTTCAGCAAGCGCTTATCATTAGTATAGACTTTCGCAAGTATCAGCCAATTCTAAAACGTGGTATAAAACGCAGAATGAATTAAATTATTTCTAGGCAATTATAAGCCGATTTTGCGCTGGCTTCTTCTATCCCTAACATATCACAGACGGTGACGAAAAATTCGACAGATTGGTTTAGAATGAGGATTGATAGAGTTTGCAGTTATGTAAGTTTGAGACTGTCATTAACAAGATATCATAGCTAAAGTTATAAAGGCGGAAAGTATGTTATAAACAACTCCGATTTTGTGGAAAATAGTCCTAGCTTGATCTTGTTCGTATTTGCTATAGAAATTTTCAGTGGCATATCATATCAATGCAAAGAACATTTAAAGTATTATAACAACATGATCAGAGAGTAAGAGGAAAGAATAAGAATACATTTACGATATAACCTCTGCGAATTTTGTTATCATTCGCTAGAATGTTTTGGCAAGAAATCTTTCAAAATTATTTGCGTGCGTTTTGAAAGAAGGCCGCACAGAATAAAAGCTTTCTATCGAGCTCTTGCGTCTAAACATAACCTAAATGATCAGCCCTAAGGCGAGAACACCCATAGTCGGAAGGAAAAGAGCGCCGAAATCCTACACATGCTATTAATTTAACAAACGAGTTTAGTTTTAAGCGAAACTAGACTTCCGCCAGAAAATACTGGCAAGCAGGACTTGTAGTAATACTTTCCGAATCCAAAATTCGCAGTTTTGTTTAAATGTGCCAAATGCTTAGATTATCTCGTCAGTGAATGAAAGGATAGCAATGATTTCATTGGTTGATGGCGCGATCACGTGATTATCGCATGATTTATCTTCAGAGTTATTCTTCCGGTTGCGAGAAGCATCTTGCGTACACTGTCAATCATAACTGTCATAAGCAGGTAATAACATTGAATTATGTAAAATACGAATTCACTTTATGAAGACTGAGATAATTTTTTCAATTTCTGAACTGTCTGAATTGTTTAAATGTTTTAACTAAATGCAAAAATCTCTATTAACATTTCACGATTTGAAAGTACTTCGTAAATGGGCAATGTTTTTGACTGTAACAAAGCTATAGAGTATCGCTTTATAATTAGAATATGCAAAATGCATAATTTGCAAACACATGAACGCTAAAAATCTACATCTATTTCCTATCAGAAGTTTTGCTAAATAAATAGAGGTTTGCTAAATAATCATTATATAGAGCTTGCAAGTTAACAATCAACTTGGTCTTGATAAGTTTTGCTAGCATGTCAAGGAAAACCCTGAGATACCATCTTGCATCGAGAGGAAGAACGAGGACACTGTTCGCTGAGCATATCTTTCCAAAACTACCTTCGGAAACTAGGTAGCAAACAACACAATACAATCTACTTTAAAACGCTTGATCTGACAATATATGAAGTCTTTACTTGAACAGAAACAATGCTATCAACTACGATGGTTTCTATTCATTTGCCTTCTGCTTGTCACTGCTCAAAGATGGTATTAAGGGATAAATTTGCGCTGTTGAGCTACTCCTTTTAAAAGTGCTAACAGGAGTATTTGATTGTCGTTTGGTTTGAGTTCGTTAAGGATGACGTTTTGCTATCTTGTAGCTTCATATTGCTGTGCTTTTACGATCCACACCAGTATTTCTGCTACCACTTTAATACACTAGATTGCTCTTATAATTAGACTAGCCGGATAAGTCAATATAGCCGACCCTGATTTTTACAGTTTAATCCGTTCTTGTTTTGCATGAGCATTTCGAGTTGCAGTTTACGACTAGCCTTTAGCGTAACACTGTCTTTCTAAGTTTTATGGCTGAAAGTTGCTATCGGAGCAATATGACTCTCCCTCTCCCTGTCTTTATCTGTTCTCCGTTTAATTCCATATAATGAATTGCTTATAAGATGGTTCACTCGCATACGCAGTTCAGCTAGCCCCTATAAAATGTTTTTAGGTTTACCCATCACCGAGTCAGCTTTATTATAGTGCGTTGGTTTAGAATAACAAGCTTCCTTGCTTTCTCGTTAGTTTGTCTCTCACAATTTTCAATATTGCTAGCCCTATCAGCATTTTCTATCAAGCCCAGCAAGTCACTCGGACACTAACACTTTCAAATTACGCGATTCATGGTGTAATCTTTTAAAAATACCTTCCGCATGTCAGGTAACCATGTGCCTTTCACGTGGTCATAAATCAGCTTCTATCATATTTGCAAACTACTACTAATAATGATCTCTTACATCCTCCTCGTTATCATACAACTACCCTTCCTTCATACCTTCCCAAAATGATGTGCTCCGATATTTTCACCTGCATTTTCCTGATCATCAGTGTAGAGATTGTATAAGGTTAAAGGAACTTGGAATAACGAACTAAGAAACTTTTTTCTGTACACGTTCTTTAGATTCACCTAGATGACATAGCGGGTGGTGTCACTTAGATGGCATAGTGGCAAATTTATCGTAAGTTATTGCAGGTAATTGCAGTTACTCCGATTCACTCAAAGATAACATTTCAAAGAAACTGTTGAGAAGCTGTTGAGGAAATAGTCCTCAAAATCCCCCCTGCACACTCTAATCGCCCCACTTCTCTTAATAATTAGTACAAAATGGCTGGCCTTTTATAAGCAGCAACAATGCAGATGCCAAGCCCACAATGAATTTAAAAACACTATGCGTCAGGTTATTGGTGATGTCTTAGTTCAAATTTCCTTTTACTTTTGCTTGCCTTTCTCGTCAAAGCACACTTCCCTGTAAACAAGCGAATTATATCTTCTTTGAAAATCGCCTGCGATTCAGAATAACTTCCTAACCAACATCAAATATGCAGCTGCATTTAAAGATGTTTTCACAGTATTATGATTAATGTTTAAAGGTGGTAAGGAAGTTTCCACAGCGTCCGGCCTACAAACTGATATGAAATTCCGTGCATCTCTCAGCGGTTGAATGAAATTTCATAATGAGTAAATAAAATGCATTCTGGTATAAAGATGCCGTCTTGTGATTGAAGTTGAGTTGCACTTTCAGAATGCGTTAGCCGTTTCTCAGGCAATATTAGCACTGCACTCCGATTTCCTTTTCTATCCAAATCCCCTACTGCAATACCATATTTAAAAACTGTCAAACTCAAAATCTCATAAACACTGTTATCGGCTGGTGCATTTGTGAGGAAGTGTGGAATGTTTATTGCAAGGGGCTTGGAACGAGCGTTGAGAATTATCCGACGTTAGTGCGATTAGATATAAAGCGAGAGTCAGTAGAGTTCGACGTGCCAATGTTTATGTTGCAAGTGAAGATTACTTTTGAAAGTTAGCCTGAGGTTAGAGAAGAAAATTCAAGAGGACCTTCTGTGTATTTACTTTCCTGTACTTTCGAAGTTGAGCTTCATTAAAAAAATCGCCGAAGGAGACTAAGTGTTGAAAGCAGAATGCAGCATTGCTACTTCACGGAATCACCATTCACAATTTAACTCACTAACTATTCATGTGAAGTCTCTTCCCTTAAATTTATTTGCTTTCATGCTACTGCCACTGATGCTCAACGGTTGCTAGCTAAAGGTTTGACCACTGATACAAAAGAAACCGCGTACGATTTTGCGTCCCCCATTGAAGCGGTTTTTGCTCGGAAGTTGTTGCTTTAAAATCACTTTAGTAGGGGATGAGACTTACTTTTAATGTAAATTAAGAATCTTTTTTAGCAATCAAAGCAAATCGCACTTGCCTCTGACTCGCCTTAAACTCAAATGTACATTATCTCTTATATTTGATTCCACGGACTTCACAGTGAAAAAAGACTCTCAAAGACAAAACGAGATTATCATTTCGAATACATCAGCTGCTGGAAAACGAAACGGACTCGAAATTCTGAATGTCTTCAAAAGCCAGTCTCAATATTGCTGCCAGGGAATGCCTAATATCTGCTTGAGAATCGTAGAGAATCGTAAAACTTGATGCACAAACTTTGTTGTATGGGGACCTCTAACATGCTACAGATTTTGTTTTATCCCAAAGGTTTGAAGTACAAAGCTCTGTTAAAAAGGCTTGTATTTACCACAAATTTTATAATTTGATAGGGAAACATGACTGTACGGCTAAAAATAGGGTTCTGAAAGCGGGACGGAGTCTTTGTGTGATTTTTTAGTGATAAAGTTAATTCAAGCAAAACAACATACTTATTGATTGAGACGACTTTTATAAAATTAATAAAGATTATTGAACTCATTTATCTATGTGGAATGACTGGCAAAGCGTAATATTTTTTTTACTCGATTCAAAAAAACAGATAATTAATTAGACTTAATTGTCTGGGACGATTTTTGCGTTATTTAAATAGCGGTTGGTTATTAAATTAAAGCATTCACTTGAAAATGTTCCCACCGAAAATTAATATTAACAAGAAACGGAAGGCATGGCTTATTTTTGGATATGAAAAATTGAATACTGAGCCGCGTGGGTTGTCTTCGCAGGCCATGACGCAAATATGGTGGCTATGAAATATCATGAATAGAAATGGCTGTTTTCTTGTTCTCGCAAATGATTGCTTGATAACTGCGAGGAAATCAACCAAATGTGTTCATATGAAGAAATTATGACCTTAATTTCAGAAAGCTGGGGTTTTATCATTATTCAAACATTAACTCAGGATGTTGGAAAAAGTCTCATGCTGACTATTGTTTCAGGTGAATCTATAACTTTATCATCATCATCTCCATTATAAGTGTTCATATTTTTTATAATGTTTATGTATTCTTTTGAAAGTGTTTTTAGAATCTTTTCATACCAATTTTATACTCTTTTTGCATCATGGATATATCTAGGGAATCCTTAAAGCCCACCTTAAGGACAAATGAAGCCCAGTATGTTGATCTCAAGTGCATTTTTGTAATTAATGACAAAATTAGAAAAAAAACTATTCTAATAAAGAAGTGGGACAGTATTTGGGGAAATATACCTCAAGGTGACACGAGTAGGGCACGTGACTAGGGTAGGACTCAGTTGATACGACCAACTACCAAAGTCCTTACGGTTGAAGCTTTTTGTATGAGCTGCCAGTTTGCTTTTGGAGTTGCTTTTAAATTAAGGGAAGAAAGTATTTGTCTGTTGTTTTTAAAACAAGCTTGTTGAAAAATAACTGCCTTTTAGTACAAAATTCAACGCGTGAAAACTATTTTATGTCCTCTAGCAACAAAAGATTCCAAATCTTGATTGGTTGAGAGACTTAAATTATCCATACCATATTGACCAATAAGAGTTCATGTAGATTTATGATTTCACTCTTTTGTACGTTGATATTTAGGTATTCCTAACTTAATAAGAGTCAGCTTTTTATTTTATGGAAACTTAACTGCATTTGATTCTGCTGCTAGGAAAATTGTTTGCCATAGCACGAGTCAAGATGACTAGAAAAGGCAAACAGGCAATAGCAAAATGTAGAGACGCGTTTTGCATATCAAACACTGTGCAATGCACGAGAGGCAATGGGAATTTTACTGTATAGCTCTAGCACTATATAAGAACTCCTAATAGTCTATAGTGTCTACTGCAAAGAGAAGAGGGTCTACTGCAAGAGAAAGAAGGGTCTACTGCAAGGAGATAAAGGTTTCCTTCGGAGGATTGGATGCTATTCTGGGTCAGATGATAGTGCAAACCCTGTTACCGGGAATCCTAAACGTTCACACTATTTTGGCCTAATTGATGCGCTTTTTAGGATGGCAAAACTTTTGTGGCAAAATCTTAATTATTTTCCTGCTCAAAAACACTGATCCCCCTGCGCCTGTTTTTCCTGCGATTGCACAACTGAATGCTATAAGTAAATGCCACAATTCTATCCAAGTAAGTCAGGCTTTAAATTTTGACAGGCCATCTATGGAATTCTAGCCATCCCTTTCTCCACTTTGATTTATATGGTTTGTATACGTTTTCCTGATAAAACCTTCGAAATGAAAATATAAACGAAGGGCTTAGAAGGTGTTTTTAGCAACTGTTGGTATTATGGGTTAGCACCATTAATGCTTTTGATAACAAGTTAGAATAGGGAAGTGAAAAGCTAAATATCAACAGCAAAATAATTATTCAATTCGGTCCCTTCCTTGGATAAGTTAACTAAGCTGTATGGTTGTAGGTGGTAAATCGAATTCCGAACCGTGGTTGTCGAAATTGCTTCATCGTAGAAATGTGTACAGTGATTTCTGCTAGGCTGCCAAGAAATCCAGCCTTTCTTGTTAGCAAAAATCTGCACGGTTTTCAATCGGCAGAAACTAGCCTTTTTGGATATAGCCTTCCAATCTGTCAATTAATTCCTTTTTTGATTAACAGTGTCTTCTCGCATTTTCAGCGTTATTGATTACGATGTTAGTTTTAGGTTTAAAGTATAAGATGCGATTTGTATTCACAAAAAACACAAACTACAAAAATATTTATTGCAACAATGGGTTCATGATCTGTGGACCTTTTCCGACATTACTATTTTTAGCAAGAATAAAGCAAAATATTAATATGAAACACAATATAACACGCAATAATGTTTTAATTTACCAAATAGAATAAATAATAGAATATAATATGATATAATATGATATAAAATGATATAAAATAATATAATATGATATAATAAGATTAATATAATATCATATAATATATCATAAATCATATATCATATATCATATATCATATCATATCATAAATCATATATCATATCATATCATATTATGTATCATATCATATCATATCATATCATATCATATCATATCATATCATATCATATCATATCATATCATATCATATCATATCATATCATATCAATCATATCATATCATATCATATCATATCATATCATATCATATAATATCATATCATATCATATCATATCATAACATATCATATCATATCATATCATATCATATCATATCATATCATATCATATCATATCATATCATATCATATCATATCATATCATATCATATCATATCATATCATATCATATCATATCATATCATATCATATCATATCATATCAATATAATATTGTAGTTTAACAATAGCTTAAAATTTGTTTTTATTTTCTATTTTGATTGCCAGTAAAATGACCACCGAAATGTACCAAGTATTGAAATTAAAAATACAAGATGAAATGATATATAGGTGCATTTTATGTTCAGTAAATTTTACAGCAGTACAGCTCTAGTAACAAGTGCTGCGTTTTGGAGAATTTGATGACATGTAACGCTAGTGCTGCGATCCAGGCACCTGCAACTGTAATCCTTATGCAGTCTCGTTTTGTGCTTTTCAGTAAGTCATAAGGAGGCTTCATACGTTGGGGGCAAGGAGATTTTTTTCGGTGTCCTCCTCCCGTTGTGTTCAGCGTCGCTGAATTTGATTAAATTATTTGAGGTTTTTACAGGAAACAAAGCATAGGCCGCAATACATAAAGAAGCCCAATACAGACCTCACATTTGGTGTGTCATTTATTTAAAGAATTCCTCTGTTGATGATCTTACTGATAAAACAAAAACCTCATACACCAGCTTTTCTACATCCAAAGCTTTGTTGTCACCGTCAGATTTATGCGAGCATCTTTGCATTTACTGGGTCATGTCTTTAACTAACAGTAATACGGACTGTACTATCTCCTCATTCAAAGTACAGCTTTTGGGCAGCGCTGGGACCAAAAACGCGGCACTTGAAATGATGAATCAAATGGATTTTTTCGTCACACACGGATATGAATGATTGTAGAGAAGGAAAATCGTTTGATTAACTTTATTTCTAGATGATATTACTACGATTCTTTCTTCCATGTCAGTAAAATTTGTTTTACTGAAAAACTAATACGATTAATAATATCCGGGTGAAAGCAGAGATCACCTGTGCTTTCTCTTGGTTCAAGAGCCTTAAGACCGAAGCGCAAGAATAGCAGTAGTGTTTCAATAGAGATCTTAATAATAGAAATTTTAATAATAGAGATCTTAGGATGTGACACCCACTTGAGAAACACTAAACGAGATCTTATTTCTCCCTGAGCCTTACAAATTTGATTGTCACTTCTAAGGACTTCGTGGTACCGCATCCAACATTATTCTACAAGTGAAATATGTCGAGCAGGCCTTGGTATGGTTTAAAAAAAGCGGAGCTTACACTTTTGCGTTGACTTTGTGGTAAGTAGAAAGGCTGCCAGAAGTTGAATTCTGGTTATCTATATATTATTAGCCAAACCAATTGTAATTAGAACTGACTAGTTTTCGAACAAATCGATAACTGTTTTTACAAGAAATATTCACCCCTTCTTCCCAAATACTCTTCGTTCCGTGGCACAGTTCTCATAGAGTCCGACGGTTCATATAGCCATGGACTGGGACAAATTTTAATAAGAGCTTGATAATGTTTGAAATGGCACCTCTACTTTTCGACTTTCTTTTATCATGACAACCTGCATTTCTTATATAGTCGCTCAGTTTCCCCATTCCATGTGCAGAGAAGATACGTGCCAAAAATCTTTAAACGAAGCAAATGTCAATATGAATTTCTAAGACAAGCATTAAATCACATTAAGGAATATCGAAAAAGATATTTGAGACCCGGGTTTAGCAGAGCACAGAATGAGATCAGTGGCGACAACAAAGAGGCTGGAAATTTGTTTCATTGAGATTAAGTTCTGGTCGGTTTTATGTCTACCAATGACAGTCTGCGTTACTCATTGTGTTATTGACTTAGGGTATAAGTAGATTCTGGTCTCCCTTAAATCGTGGCAAGAATTCTAAAGTGGGCAACAGTTTGAAAGTTTAAGATTGGTTTATATCTTTCCCTTTAATAACCTGTTATAAGCTCGCCGATGAAAATGGTGATATTTAAGTTAAAGGCCTTTTGGTAAGTCCGTTGTAGTTATGCTGAATCGAAAGTAGCTCGAAGAAGAATTTTGCAGAACATCCAACACAGAGGTTGTCACCATGACAACTGACATTTAGACCACACGATCTTCGCCACCAACACTTGAACAACATGCCTTCAAGACGACAAGCTTCTGATCATTTCAAAACAATGCCTTGAAATCTGTTGGTCTTACAATGACAAACAAGGTCTGCGGAGCTTTATGCCACCTCTTTACGGTAATGCTTCTTATATGTTCCATGATAAATCCTTATAACGGTGCGTAGAGTTTCATCATATGTATTCTGTTGGCTATTGTTGACTACTATCGAACGTGTGAGAATGGAATACTCGAATCTCTACCACATGTTCAACTTGAAATGCTTGATTTGAAATGTTTATCTTTTGAGCATTTTGCAAGATATCTCTACAAGAAAGATGAACCACCTGCAACTGCTTCATTGGCATCAGCTCCTAAAGGGTTGTATTATGCCGTGAGTGGCTTATTGTGTGATAGGTTGAAAAGTGATGCAAGGCTATGAAAAGGTAGATGGGCAGGAGAGGAGACTGTAACTTTGGTCTGCTTTAAAGAAGATCTTTTAATATTCACACGCCCAAAAATAGCAATTAGTTAATAAAGAGTTGGACTCCAGTGATATTAAGCTCATATTTCACACTTTCCTTTGCATATATTTAGCTGGTTTATTGGTAGCGTCATATAAACCTTTATGCTATCCCTGTCCTTTTTTGTTAATCGGTGTTTTTTGTTAAAAGTACCACTCTCCCCAATTTCCCCCCTCTTTCACTAGGAGAAGATACGTAAACAGCAACTTTTAATCCTTCAAGGCTTGGTCTGCGCTACCTAAAAATAGGACCTATTTTTTCCAGGCAGTTAATGAAAATACACAGCGGTAGATTTGAATTGAAATAATTTTTGAATTTTCCAAAAAGGACCTTTTTTCGCATCTTGTGATCTTTATATACAAACAAATAATACAAATCGCCGATCCTTGTAAGCAATTCGCGTTTTTCTTTTAGACTTTTTTTTGAAAGGTGACTGTTCTCATATCAAAAACGTTTCTGCGAGTTGGGAAGCAAGCTGATATAGGCCACCACAAAAATCAATGCTATTATTAAGTACCCCCATTGAAACGGATAAATCAAGTGGGTTATTGTCATGAATTGTGCTTTTTTAAAGCTTTTCATATAACAACTAATTAGAGCCTTATACCGAGGTGCAAATAACTCTATAATATTCTTGTTCGCCCGTGGTGGATACTCTACTATTTTATCTAAGAATATCTTGAAATCCTCCTGTTTTGGTGAAAATATCGTATGATTTGATAGAGTGATTTGCCCCTCGCCATTTAACCCTTTGTTAATCCTTTTTTCAAATACTTCTTTCTTGAATTCTAACTTTAGAAAACTGCTTTATTACATCACTGCGAAATTATGTTTCATTATTAGTTCAAGGTCAAATAATTTATTGTTATGTCATAGCCTGAGCAGAATTTGCTGTTAGAGTCAGCCCAATACAGCTTTCGATCGACACCATAAGCAGAAATTATTTCTAACCACTGCATACTTGGACATATTGGACATATCAATTTTGCTTGACAATATTGCAGTAAAGTACCAAACTGTGACATCATCCAAGCTCTTTTTAAGAATTCCTCAATTTTGACAACGTTATCTGAAATAACAGCATAAAAACCCTTAAAGGTGCAAAGTAAGTCTAATTTGTTCAACACTGGGTAAGATATGGCCAATGAAAGATTTCTAGTTTGCCAAAGGTTTATTGTTATTATGGCCTGGTTCATAAAGTTATGAACCAAGACGAAATTACAGAAGTTTGATGGGAAAGAGCATGTGCTTATTAGGCAATATCTTAGCCAATTTTCAACTGACTTCGCACATTTAGACCTGTTTTATAATGCACTATAATTTCTAGAGTCAGAATTGAAAAAATCTTGAAAAATATGTGTGACGTCATTACATTGAACTCTGATGAGGTTTCACAGTCAATGTATGCCCGTATCATATCTATTTCGAGGTAAACTCCCTAAAAGCCGAGACGAGGCGCATTTTCTTAATCTTGAAGAGAAAAATTCCATTCATTGTCAAGTATTTCTTAACAATAGCCAATGCCACAATCCCTAAGGCTTAAATTTAGCTTAATAACCATGTATTATTTACTTTGTTTTCCAGGAGCATTGGTTGAATTTTAAAATCATGAAATTGATCCCACAATTTTAGTCTCGTATAAGCTGTCTTTTGTACAATCAATTCTGTACCCATGATCCTTTGAAACCAACGATGGAACTAGCTTAGACATGCGTGGGTGGCCTAATTCTATGCAATTTCGGACAAGGTCAAAAGCATTACCTTCCCTTTTATGAATTTCATAAAGTTTTTAATCTGGTCAATGCTCTATTGTCTGTTATCGTCGATGTTGAAAATTTTGATACAAAGTAGAAATTTCAAAAACATGCATGGCCTTTCTTTTCCCTATAAAACAGCGGTTTCAGTCTTTGATGTTGGGTCTTTTAAAATTTTTATCAAGATGTGGCCATTGAAAGCTTAGAGGAAGGGGCTTTTCTCTTTCGCACATTTTAAACATTTCCCGTGTACTTTTGCTTGTGTGAACAACAGCTTCCTTGCTTATTGACAACATTATTCTCAATTTCACTAAGACTTTGTTCGATTAATAGACATAAAGTAAAGTAGAGTAATTCTAAAGCCTTTTTGATTGTTGTTTAGGCCTTCTTTGCATAAGATAAAACTTTAGGAGAAACAAGACACGTTTCAACATACTGCGACTTCCACACTAATTTACGCAAACCAAATAATCATAATAATAATAATAATCTTTCATATTAAAAAAGATTAATTTGTTCAGTTAATTAAATTAACGCGTATCGATCGAAGACCTTTAATGATATTAAAAAGATCAGAGCATGGAATTATGCAGAACGCTGGTGAATGGCATGTGTAAAGTTGAAATGATAGCTAAAAGAGACGTCTTTCCCTTTGTCGTGGATACAGAAGTTACGTTCCTTCTGTTATGTATGCAAAAGCATTTCTCTGAGAAAATCATTGTTTACGTTGAGACTTGTCTGTCCCAAATTTTTCAGAAACTTTCAACGAGCATCAAGTAATCAGAGGAACATCAATCTAGTTTAACATAGGCATCTCTTCTAAAGACTTTCTTCTAACTGTTAAAGAAGAATAAACTTTCTTCCTAAGCTTAACATTTCGGTCTTACATTGATGTGCATGTTAAATATGGCATTTACTGAAAGCAACTTTGGAATAAACCAATCTTCATTATCATGACTACCATCCATTTAATAAACATTTAGACTTTGGACAGCAAAAGTGTTATTAACACATTTCATCTTCTTTGGTTAGGGTTTGATAAGTCCATTTTGAAACTTCTCTGCCCTTCAAAAGTTGCAAAATACACCACATATTCAACACACACGTTCATGTTTACAAGGAAACAAAACAATCAGCCTAAATTTGGAATTACGCGACTATGGGAGTCTGATTTTTAGCAGCTGTGCAGATAAACATGCATTGGCTTTCGGAGACTCTAACTCGGTTTTCGATAACTTGATTAGCAAGCCACTTGACCATTTGCTAACAAATGTCTGATTGAATGTATAGAAGCGCTTAGATATGTTTTGATGTTGTCCTCATACATTGTAACAAACATCACGCATGTTTCTCTGTCAATGCCTCGAAAGCTTATACAGCGTGTTTACAACCACTGAAGAAAACCTTACCAGCAATATGTAGTTGTTTTTAGACATAGACGTAGGAAGCATTTCAAAAAGGGGGCACGTGTAGTTAAAATAGGGGCACCCCTGTAAGCTGGAAGTAGGTACTTTACCACTGTGCCTTAAAAGTGGGGACACATGCCCCCTGGGCCCTCTAGTTCCTATGTCTATGCATTGAGATGCCTTTTATTTGTTTCCTGATAATGGATTTTTCTTGTCTGAATTTAACCAGAATGTGTTGTGTTCACTCGTGTGGTTGTGGTAGTAGGGGTAACACGACAGAGAAGGTGTGTCGGGTGTGAGGGGCGTGGCTGATTAACGTAGCAGGTGAACTATGCAAAATGGAGAAATATAAGGAGTCAATACAGCACTGTTGCATCCGATCTTAGTCACACGAGTTCTTTCTTCCATGTGAAAGCTGTCAATTCCATATTATTTTCTCAAAGGTATATGGCGTTATGATGAACTCTAGCGGTGGGCAATAGCCTGATGTGCAATCAAAAGCTCACCAATCAGATCTAGTGATCGTGATGTACACGTGCATGGCACCGAGTTGTAATTGCAATTCATTACAGACCAAATCGTCAAATCCCTTTCATTGATCCATTAATTATTTAAATCTGCCATATTCTTACATTCATTCTTAATGCATCCAGCCTGTATTTTTGTAGTGATAATTTGAGTTTTTCCTTATGTGCGAATTTCGTAAAAAGTTCAATTAAATAAATCAACTTTTGTCATTAGGGCTCTGAATTAGTTGAGTTAGGGTGATCTTTAGGTCACAGTAAAAGTATAATTATCTTAACAATAGGCTTCCGAACAGATGTTCCGGGCCATACTGTTTAAATAACGCGAGAACCTTGAGGTACAATTACAAGCGCATTATAACACTGTATTCCTTTCCTAGGGTTGAAGCACTTTAGACGTCGCCTTGCAACTCACTCGATGCAATGGCCAACAACACGACGATCCTGCCTTTGCTGAGCAATACGGAGCGAATGGTTTTCAATGTTCTACTGCCGGTCATTTCAGTGATTGGCATTGCCACTAACCTTATAGTCATTCTTGGCGTTTTGTATAATCGAAGCATACGGAATGTGCCCGCGAATATATTCGTCATCAATCTCGCGATTGCAGACTTTTTCGTAGTCGTTATTGGAGTTCCACTATGGGTGATACAACTTAGTTTGGCAGAGAAAATCACAATAAACCAAGGGACAACGCTTTGCCAAATAAACTTCGGTTTATCCGTGTTCACCTCTGTTCTATCAGTATACACTCTCGGGATTATAAGTTACGATCGATACGCAGCCGTAACAGCGCCTTTTCGATACCATGAAGTAATGTCACCCTCAACAACTTACAAAATATTAGCTGGAGCATGGACTATGACTTTGGTATTTTCTTTACCAGCTATGATTGGCTGGAAGTCGGACAATTTAAAGACACCAATGGGACCTTACTTGATTGGCTATTGCGTTTATACAAAGTTTTTTAGCCAGGAGTATCAAATCATTGTGTATTCGGGGATATCCTTGACAATTGTAATGAACATCGTCCTCTATACCAGACTTTTGAATGTGGCAAAAAGGCACGCGAGACAGATTGCTAGCACGAAACATGAAGTTGAAAATAGCTACGGAGAGCAATCAGGTATTGACAACAATAAGAGGTCACCGCCTCGCAGGGAAAGGAACATCAAGGCCGCAAAGGCTCTCGGGATTGTTTTAGGAGCCCTGCTGTCTTGTTGGGTACCATTCCTAATCGTAGCGTATATTGATGCAATAGTTGATGAATCAGGCATATCCGTGTTCACCATGAAGGTTTTAGGCACAGTGACGTATTTCAACAGTGTCATGAATCCGTTGATTTACACGTACATGTCGAGGGACTTCAGGAAAACCGTGCGAAAGATGCTGCTACGAAAACGAGGTCACCAAAATTACCCTGGCAACAGTAGTACGTGATAATGTAGCGATTAACCAACAGTAAAATCATTATTAATCGTATGTTCAGCTTGTTGCCTAAGTTTAAAATAATTGGGCAATGTATGTGTTATTATATAGACCTAATGAGTATTCAGCTCAACTTCCTCGCTTATAAGGATCGGGTTTTTGCTTTGCCTCAATATTTCAAACTTCCCTCAAAGCAAACCGCTCAATCTACTCTTCCCTTGTCCCCCTCCTCCCAAAAACAAGGCTTCTGATTTTCCATAGAATAATGTGATATTGGATGAAATCTTTATTAAACCAGACGATGTATGCTCTACGGCAAGCAAAGGCAGAAAAGCCAAAAGACTTCAGGTTATTGCCATATTGCTGAGTTTCCATCGCATACCATTGCAGGTACCATTCTATGAGATATTACCGAGCTTTGTGAGTACGAAAACATATCCTTTTAGAATAATTTCTAGCATTTTTGAATTTAATTTTGCATGGTAGATGAAAAGCTTTGAGTGAGACTACCACTTGTTAAATCTTCATTCTGGTGGTACCCTGCTAAATGTGCTTGCTATATCTCCGTTTCCGGCTGCAATGCAACCTAAGGCTCTAATTTTGAAGAAGATGTCACTTTAATTTGGAAGAATGCTCAATATATTAGCTAAATTGATGTTATATTCGTTTATATGTATCACAGCAATGGGAGGGGGGTTATTGCAGATTAATTGGCTTCAAAATTCAAACGTCTTCCTTACAAGAGTACATCCTACCTCTGTATAGTCTCAGTCCAACTTTCTCCTTTCTGAATCTATTCAGGGATAACGTGGTTTTTTCGTTACATTTTGATAGAGAAATTAATAAAGGGCCTCTGACGAAGGGGGACCGGGGGCATGGCCTCCCAACCTTTTGCAAACCGATAGTGCTTTTTCGAAATATTCTGTTATATGTGTTAAGTTTTCCCTTTGCCCCTCCACATATTTAAACCTATCCCGAAGTCCGCGGTTAATGATAATTTAAAGTTGTTCTACCTTTAATTTAATAATCAAGATTAAAAAGTCCACCGAACACGTCAAGCTCTGTATACCTTGTCGTCCTACCAGGCATTATATCAATCTAATTTTCGGGAGAGGGGGAGTTCAATCTCCCAATTCTACTCAATCTCCAAATTTCACGCGCCCATTCTAGAACATACAGCTGTGATATAGGGAATGATAGCTTTAGTATAGGAGCAGTATTCTGGTTAAAGCTGGACCATTTCTCATAAAAGAAAAAGACAGAACACTGCGATAGGTTTTTCTTTGTGCATACCTTTGCGGATGGTCCTATAATGCCTGCTTTGTTCACAGAGTAGAAAGAGCTAGTCGAAATCACTTTATCGTGCCAGTAGCGACTGTAGCATTAAAATCGTCATGTTATTTGTATACAATTATAGTATATTTACTATTAGATAAAGATGGAATGCTAAATGTTGTGCAAGCACAAAACTTAATCAAGGATCATACTTAAATCCTCACATTCTTCAAGTGTTCACCTGCCTTCATTTCCTCTCACCATGACCCGGCTGCGGTAAAATTCGGTTAAGTATAGCTAATCCAAACGGAATCGGCCAGTCAGATCTTCGTTCAGGTATTGCAAAGCTTATGTATCACTGGCTAACTGTTTTCCGCCGAATTGTTCTCTACTTGATACCAGTCAGGTGTGATTAAAGTCATCGTTGGCATTACCATCGATACTCTCGCTTGTAATGCACTGAACTGTTCGTAAAAACTTTAAAATAAGAACTTGTATATGACAATCTTTCACTTGAGACGCTTTTTAGCCGCAGCCATAAAACACGTTCTTCCTTTCTCGGTTCCCCTTACCAACAGCAGATACTATTTTTTTCGGTATGGGCTCTTATTCAATGAGTTATTTAGAGTTTCGTCTTTTATAAGGAACTAACTTCAAGGAAACTTCGTTTAAAATACATCAAATACGCCAGGGACGGCTTGCTTGTACATAGGCGGTGGAAGACTTGCGTATAGATTAAAACTACAGAATATGTCGAACTGAATAAGTTGAGCTTAGGTATTCGTATTGGTTATTTAGGATAAGGAAATCACCCAGCATTCTTCAGTTTATAATGTATTCTTGTTCAGTTCTTAAACAATCTCATTTGTTCTTTAATTATTGTGAACGAAAGATGAACCATGCTCAACAACTATATGGATTTGAGCCCTGAACTACAGGCATATGCCAACTACAGGCATTAGTGGCAGTTTGCCCTTATTCATAGTAATTAAAAGACTACTGGGAACAATGTGCGACATTAGTGTATTCTGTGTAGCCACAAACGCAGTTTGCTTCACGTAAACCAAAAATCAAAAAGTCTAACCACCAAGTAGAAGTAAACTTCAAAATCAGTACAGTTCAAAAGCTTTGGTTGCATTAAAGTATCGATAGTTGATCAAAGTCGTAACTTAGGTATCTGTGCCCCTGGGGAAAAAATCTGATACGGGGCCAATATTCATAGCCTATTCCAAGGGAAATAAGCTGCGGGGGCAACCTTTGTTTATTTTAGGAGAAGGACAATAGCCTATTTTCAAAACAAAGAAAGTCATTGGGACTGCAGGGGCAATTGCCTTCCCCCCTAGCAAAATGTTAAAAAAGGCCCTGCCTATATTGAGGGATTGCAAAAAAGTCCCATCAACACAGTAGCACAAAGTAAAAAATACCGATTCTTCTCGTTATAAAGAGAGGGTTGAGTTAATTGCTTCAGTAGAAGAGCTTTAAAAGTTTTTTTAAAATAAAGAGAACATTAAAACATGAATATGAAAAGAATCTTGAAGCCTGTTTCAACTAGGGGCCTTTAAATATCGAACTAAGGTGCCCTAAACTTCGTTACGTCACTGTGGTTGATCCAAAGTAGGCTACTTTAAGTAGCAACCGTTGGACAAACAAGTCTGCTGATTTTGTCTCATGTTTTGCATAAGTTCTTCATCCCAACTACAAACCAACCGAAAGTCGCGACCTGTTGTGTGCGTCAATACAGAAGACCCTCAAAGATTTATAATATCTAGACAGAATACATGAAATTCATTGTCAGTGGCTACAATCCCATCAACAAGAGCCGCTTACATTGACTTCAAAGAAAATATCAAAAACTTATATGAACCCAATAGACCATTAAATGGTGTCATCTTCCTGGAATAGTTGTTCCCTGATAAACCAGAGGTGCATTGTTGAAGGTTCAAATTCAGCTATTCGAAATTGATGACATTCAGAGCCAGGGACGGATTTAAGCAACAAGTATCTGGGGAGGAGTTAATATGCTAGGTAATGATTGGATTTTGTGCCACACACTTCAAGTGACTGGAAACTAAAGGAAACACCCATTTTGAAATTCATTTTTTTGATTTTAAGATGAAGAAGATAGATGAAGCAACTTTTCCGCAACATTTGAAACTACTGATTGTCAAAAAATACTTTTTACCGAATCAAAGCGGAATTGACCGAAAAACACAAAAATATTAGGGGGTCGGGAGGGGGGGTTGTTGCACCTCTACATCCCCGGTAAATCCGTCCCTTTTAGAGCTTTGTTGCTAACAGGAAACTTTTAACTGTTAACTTTAGCTTGATATGAATACTTAGGGGCGATTTGTCCTTTTTGTCATATCACACAGGGTGTTGAATTTTCACCACAGGCTAGACTTGTCCATGTGGAATATAAACCTAACCATAACAATGCATGATGGGATTGCAATTAGAAGAATAGTATGTGGTTTAAATTGCATGTTTATGTAGCGAAATCAAAACTGCTATGTGAAGTTTGCTTTCGCTTAACTGGAGGCAAGCCTGGCCGAGATGAAAATTCCCAATGATAACAGAATATCACACGTGTAAAAGGGAATGCGTACAAGGTTGATAACTAATGTCAATCCTTTTTCGACTCAATGTTTGCACAGAATGCAGGGCGTGCAATATTGCAGGCTTATGCAAATAGTTGGTTTTCTTTTCTATTAAAGATGCAAATGTTTCTTCCTATTTCAATACAACACTCTGATGCAATTAAAAAGCTGGAACATTACAATGCTGAACAGCCGATAATCTTGACAACCAAACGAGGAATCCTGTGTTGTGTGCATAATAAGAAACTTCAAAACCCATCATGGTTTTACTTGAGTTCAAGCTCCATAAATGCTTTTCACGCTCCACTAAATTTTTTCTCAAATTTTATTTCATCGAAATAAGTCTTTCCCTGACCACACAATCGGTATGTGAGGTGAATTATTTTCAATAACTTTACTCGCCAATGTCCCTCCCGCATAATCAAGGTCTTTAGAAGATTCGAACCATGCGGCTAGGAGTCTGGTACAGACCAACATTATCTCCTTGGCAACTCGCCTCGCTTGGGTTAGAGATTGTTTTTACGCCAGATGATCTGTACATAGGAGCCGAAAGATGAAATTGGATAAAATTAAGATATTTCGGTTAATATGAAACTAAGACAGAGAGCAGAAGGCGGATTTATTATTTGATGCAGCTGTAACAGTTTTAATGTACGGTGTTCGTTAAATGCGTGTTATTACTGCATGGCCGACAAACCGCATGTTCATGGTAGAGCGACGAGCAAAACAAGCACTTTCGTCTGTAACTAACAGACCCCCGGTAATATTGTAACAAATAAAACTGAAAACGTTTAAATCTGGTTTATCCACAGGGTGTTCTCATTTGTATCGAATTCCATTTTCTACACCGCAGAAAGGGGATGTGGGAAGTGTTAAAAAAGACCATTAGGGAGTTGGGCATTTTTGCTTAGGGATTTAGATTGCCAAAGATTCAAGCAACAAACGATAAATGTCAATCAATCACGAGTGCATGACAAAATTGCAAAATCCATACAGCTGGGTTCTCCATTCCTTGCTTTCTTCAAGAAGAAGAAAAAAAAATTATTTTGAGTTTCCTTAGATCCTATATATGAATGAATATATATTCTCAGTAAATAAATCTTTCGTCTCGATTCTCTATTTAGATATATCAATCTTAATGAGAAACTCGCGGTAACAGTAAAAAGTTTCATATAGTTGACATATTTCCTATCTACAACATGAAAGCTAGTATTTCATTTTCCATAAAACACCCACTTTCACTATTTCGAATGAAAAACAACAGTCCGTTGATTCCTCTTCGATAGATCAAAACAACATAAATTTTTGTAAAGATCATCACCAATTTCTCCTGAGAAAAGCTCATGTTTACTCTTCATGTAAGATCCTTGGTCTGGATGCTTTGTTATTCCAAAAACGTCTAGACAAAACATCTGTTTTCAAACTATTGCCCATAAATCGTCTTTCATTAAAATAAATTCCTCTTAAGAAAAGTATCCGTTATTTGAGTCGATACAAGTGTAAAGAAAAACAAGTGTAAAGGAACTGCAGATGTTTTGCAGATAACAACGTAACCTGCAAATTTATAATCTACAGTATAATTATATTTTTGTGTTTGTGTTATTTACCCCTGCCTGGACTTTAGCACACGTGTATGTTCGTTGGGTCACTAATACCCCCTGCTTCAACAAAATTCAGAACTAACCCTAAACAAAGCATATTCTTATAAATCTCAACAAACTACTCTAGTACCATTTGCGAATGAAAAAATCGCTCAGACGCTAGCAAAAACTGAGCATCAAGTCGCATCCAAATTCACGTTTAAAGGACACTCGTGAGAACCGTTTTGCCAACCAAAATATTTGGATATAAAACTTGGAGCATGACGTTACTGGCCTGTAATCAAGCAAATGTTTGCTTCTTAGGTTCAAAAATATCACAACAGTAGTTAGAATTACATTTTGATAACTTTAGTTGACTTACGTTTTGTCCAATCTTGATTGCTCGTGAAATTAGGCCACGAATTTCAAGTAGAAATTGAACTTTGCCATCAACCTTTGCGTTAGCATCATATTGTAGAAGCAAGCTTAGCAAGTTGTAGAAGTTCTTGACTTTGTTAATTCAGGAAAATTGGAGTAAATATGGCCTTGTCGTTGAATGGTGTTAAGCATGTGCTTTTAGGCCCATATTCACACGGAATAGAAACAATAGGCGCATGGGATGCGCATGCTGACGTCAACTTTTGGCGGGAATTTTCAAAAAGAGGTAGAACTCAGTACTTGAAAGGAAGCATGATCAATTGTGTAGTAGTTCTGAGGGAGGGGGGGGGGGGTATAACAAATACCAAGGGAAACATTTCGTAAAGGAATTGCTCGTAACGTCAATGACTCAGTTTCACCAATGAACGTCACGTCAACGACTCGTGGAGAATCCAAACTATGGCAGCTGCAGGCATGTATGCTCTTGAAGCGAACAGAGGTACCCAAATCTGTCCAGAAATTGGCCCTAAATACCGTTTCACAATTTGTTAACAGTTAAACTATTTTGTAGAGTTTGAAGGGAAATAAACTGTGGTAAAAAAGGATGATTCACATATACGATGTGGATGGCCTAAAACGGAGGCCTTTAAGCAGGTCATGCTGAGCGATTGGAAAGGAACATGGTTGCCTTTGGCATCAACAGTCTCTTTTTCCGTTATATATATATATATATATGATATGATATGATATGATATGATATGATATGATATGATATGATATGATATGATATGATATGATATGATATGATATGATATGATATGATATGAATAAATATTCATATACAAACAATAAACCCTTCAGCATTTAATAATACATGTATACAATCTTATAAAACAAGCAAATAAAAGTAATTTCAAAAGCAATGTAATATCTAAATATGTTAATTTTGCAGTTCTTCCCGGGAGTCGTGTTTTGTAGTTAACGTTTTTGATCAGCCAGTAGGTGTGCTTTCAATTGTTTCAATTGCTCAACAATGAAAGTTCTGATTTTACCGTTTGCTGCAAAATGACACATTTCAAATCCTCATTCATCATTGTTTTCAATAGATACAGCTCCAGACGCAAGATAAACTATGTATATGAATGCATAGGAGAGAAGAATTTAATTCTTTAAATGATCAAAATATTAGAGTCATACCTACAACTAATTTGACAACACTGATTATAAATCAAAGCTAATCTACTAATGTACTATTTTTCCTATACACTGAAGGACAACAACGTACGTTGTATATGAATCATTCTAGGCAGTATTTGTTAAATTAGTAGCTATTAAGCATAAACACACAATGACATTATAAACATTAAGCCATTTGAAAACACGTAAGAAGGTAAAATTAGGTTTACAAATCTCAGAAAAACCCAGTCACAAAGTTCGAACAGTCCATATTTCTTAACATCCCAATAAAAATATAAAGATCAATTCAAAGTTAGAAGGCGTGAATGAAAACTGATTTTAAAGTTGGACTTTCGAGATATCTGACTGCATATTCAAGCTATCAAAATCAAAGCATTTTTTATACAAAATCTAACGATTTTCTTTGCAAATCTTCTGCACAACAAATGCTAGCTTCATTGGAATCCTCATTTAGAAAAGCGTACACATTGAGTTAGCCATTGCTAGCAAAGTTAAACTTATCGTATTTCACGAGATAGAGTACCATGAAAATTAAAATCCTTTTTTGACTGTGTCAGGATTTACATGTCTTTGTGCATAAGAGATTCCTTAGAGGGACTTGGATCAAATATACGGCTGCGAGTGTTTAAACTTTTAAATTTGACAGAAATACGTTCAAAATTTGAAAGACTACTTTTCAAACAAAATAACCAGTAGATATTGTATGTCATATTGAAACGAACACAAACGTACATTGATTTCCTAAACTTTTCAGGAATCAATACTGTCAAAAATCTTCAACGGGTTACAGCGATTTTCACTTTTCGTTGCGTTTAAAGTGTTCTCCTTCCAAGAGGTTAAGCAAAGTGTCGCTGTGCATATTGTATTATAATACTGCAAATGAATATAGCTTCCTTGATTCAACTGCTGCATGACCAGGACAACTGTAGCAGAACCAGGATAGGGTTTTCCAACATACTCAAACGAAACACAATGGCTTTTTCAAAAAGAGGCTTGTATCCATCAAGAGAAAGACTATTGCTCCGAGCAAAAGCCACAAGATCTGAATTTGAAGGATACCATTTTGAAAATATGCTGAAGTTTCTTTTCGAACTGACGATTTTGTAAAATTGAAGATGTTGGTTATATTTCAGTCCTTTTCTTCGAGCTATCAGTACTTCAAGATACAGATTGAAATTACGAGAGTAGCGTTAATAAAAATCGAAGGATATAAAACGTTACAAATGTAGGCTGAGAAGAACTCGATGAATTTGTTAATTTATTACAGCCCCACCTAAGCGTAAGTTAAGGGAAAAAATAACACTCTTAGGGTAGTAAATACCAATATATATAGAAATTATGATAATCGTTTCTGCTTTCTGTTTGTAATTTCTGATAATTCCTTGAATCACCAAGCGTTCTTCAATTTGTGATAGGCCCAGCGCCAAGGACTGTAGCTGTGACAAGTCTTGAGAGGAGCTCATCGCTAAATAGGGTCGAGCGCTTGCCTGTTATCAACCCCAGGTCATATTTTTCATTTGCTTACGATTTTGATTTCTTTACATCATGATCTGCTTGCCATTAGTCACCTCTTGGACAAAACCACTAAATTTTCGTAAAAACTTGGGGTACTCTCTCTTTGAAACGGCGCGTACTGCCGAAGGTGGCGCCCAACCGCCAGGATTGACTGAAATTGGAAAACGTATACTCTAAGGCATGACATCATCATCTTCATGCATAGATAAAGAAAATCATTTTTATATCAACAGAAAAGTTCTAGATAGTGTTAAAACGCAAATCAGATTCATTTCTCCGTCAATAACAGCAAATGAGAGTTCACACATCACTATTCAAACGGGTGTGGTATCACATAAACTGTTTTTAAAGATTTAGCTAGAAAGACTCAACGGGCATACCTTGCGCAGTGTATGTAAGCTTGCAGAACATGTTTTCTCTGTTTAGCGTCTTGGTATTGACCCCCGGCCTGACAAAGGTCTGACAAAACATAGTTACCCGGGCAACAGCACGGACATATTTGTTTGCCTGTAACAGAAGCAGAGCATCGTTACTATTTTGAATTCTTGCAACAATAATAACAATTTCGCTGTCGCAACGAAAGATTTACATGGAACTAATCCGGGGGGAAATTATACTCAATGATTCGAATTTATCCGGGGGCAAAATGTCACAGTCCTCAGATCTCACTGAATAGCTAATGATCTCAGACAGACTTTATCGAAATTTCAAGGAATCTTGTTTTAACAATGAAGTTTACTGAACCTCGCAATCACATTGAAAAATCACTCCTCGACAGCCACATATCTATCCACACAGAGACAGGCCTAATGAATAAATTGGTTAACTTAACCAGCAATACCTCACACACCGTTACATTAAAATCCTAATTTATGTACTTTTAACCCCTATCCAAGTTCATTATAAATGCCCATGTCTTCATCAAAACTATAACCATTTGAGGCTAAAGGGAGCTCATTCAAGGGGGGTACTCGTTAGATTTTTGGCTGCTTTAGGCGAATGCCTATTCGAACGGGGGGGGGGGCATTAATTTGTGGATATACAGCGATAACACGCAACAGAAATGGCCAACTACAAAAATATTACACCCAACCATCATTAATAGTCAAAACGCGGAGCTAAGCCTTTATTTTGGTGTAAAGAAATGAATTTTCTATCACAAAAACATCAAACGATCGTTATAGAGATAGCTCCTTCTGCTGAGCTGACGAAATAAGAACGAATGAGATTGTTCATGGAAAGCTGATTTGGTAAAACGCGCTATCACACGACATAAGCTATTCCTAAGGGCCTTACAGACTGTGACCTTTTTTCTGATGAGCTTTGTATCGTGGAGCGGTTTCCACAAGAACAGCCTTATCATCGGCATCAAAAAGCCATTTTTTATCTTGAGCAGTTTACATTTTGTGGTTAACGCCATTCATTGCTTGTGTTATGCAACACTAACTGCCGTTACAATTTTTCTAAGACTGTTTTCTAACTTGGTTCCTCTGATTTAAATTCACAGTTTTGGCTAATATTATCATAAGAATGATCAAAATCATAATCACCCGGAACCTCCATTGTTTCTACCCCCTGACAAACTGAATTTTGCAGCCCGAACCTTCAGCAGTTTTTTATCAATGGCTACGTGTTTCTAGGTTAAGATGGGGGCACACTACAAGATTTCAGAGTAATTCATTGAGTTTTCAAACAGATTGGGTTACGAATTGTTTTATCACTAGCGCCCTATAGATACTGAATTGGCACAAAGAACAATTCGAGGATAAGGACTAAGCATTGAAATTGGCCTAGGCATATAAGACTTCCAGGTATCGTCAGCTCTTTAACTTCATATTGGTCTTTGCATACTAAAATTTCCAGACATCTGCAGCTCTATAACTTTAAAATTGAAGTATGACTCGGAAATTGATTGTACTGTACGTGACCGAGTGAATCTTTTAGCTTCCCAAAGTTTGTAACTATATTGTTCTCTATTTAATCCAGGCATCCGGACTTCTTTTCAAAAGAAATGGTAAGCTTTCTTAACCGTTTTGTGGTGGGTAAATTGCGCTCTGTTCTCCTATTTTTTGTCACTTAAATGCGCTGCATTTAGATTTGATGTTAATTGTTTCTTGCATTATGGTGAGAAATCTGCTTTTCAGTGAACAGTGTGGTACAGACTCTTTCTGACTGATCTCCAGAAATAGATGGTCTCAAGGTGGAACTATAAATTCAGCGTCACTTATGAAGTTTAAAGTCTTGATTAACAACAGAAAGTCTTTTACAATTCCAGCAATGCTCTTGTAGTGCATAAACTGGTTGCGTATAGAAATTTTCAAACAACCCTATGAAAAGTTCAGTAAAAAGCTGCGTGCTTAAAAGACAGAGACAAATAGGAGACGATCCAAAGCGATTTGGGGGTTTAAATACAGCATCAGAAATTATGGCCAATAAAGCAAGATAGCTCTTTGGCCATGCTAAACCTTCTTCCTCATCCACAGGCGCTATGCTCATAGGCATCCTACAATACTCGGACACTGCAAACTTTGAGGGAACAACAAGCCTAACAAAGCAATCAATATTTGCTGTATTTCAGAACAAAACCATACAGAGTAACAACGACTGATGACGATGTTTACAAACCGCCAATTGCAGTCGAAGACAGATAACATTTCTGCGTGCGTCCTAGGACCATAGAGAAAGTTTTAACCCATTCATTGCTACGTATTTCAGAAGATCTCTTCAGTCTTTGTGGGGAATTTTCTGATAAAAGTGAAATATAATCTGTCTAAAATAAGGGAGATAGTTGCAGCTTACATCGAGTTCTAAGGAAAATTAGAAGCTCTTTATGATCTTAGTCGGATTCAGTGGCAAAAATAACACAGGAGTTGACAGACAAGATGGCTATCTCCATCCCCTTCTTCTCCTTTATCAAGTTTTAGAAGAATTAAAAGAAAAAGATTTCCAGCGTATTAAATCATTCTAATACGACTAATAGTTCTGGATGCTGTTTCTATTTTGAAAAAGGTGTAAGAAAAAGGAAAGGAATTAAAAAACCAGGTTGGATATGTAAACTGATTGGTGCTGATAAAATAGGATTTAGATGTCGGCAGTCCACAAACTGTCTGCAAAAGCAGTAATTAAAGGGCTCTTATGAGCCTGCAGAGTACGCTCCTCCTTTAAGAGGACAAAATCCTTCTTTAAGTTTATCTTTGCAGACAAAGAAACTTGGGAGATCTTGCAGAAAAGCGTTAAGGTGTACCTTCTTCATTCATTTGTTAACAACAGCTATCAGAGTTCCAGACAGAAAAACGACGAGATCAATGACATAAAAACAGTGGAAAAGACAGACTTTGCAAGGTCCTGGTGGTCTAAGAAAGCACTGTTGATTCTGTCAAAATAAAATCTGTGCACTCACCGGCGCGTCGTCGTGATCCGTTGCCCAGTTAGTGACCATCCAGGCGTTTTCGATTTCGTTTTTAAGCCTTTCGCCCTCCTCTGAAAGACTAAGTTTTCTAATATGTGACGCGAAGACCGTGTCCCTTTGTGACGAAGGCCATACTCGCTTATGCACTTGGTGAAATACCATTGTATTGTCGGACAGCTTCTCCAAAACTCGACATTTTTCAACAGTGCCTAAAAGACGCAATAGTAACGATCAAGTAAGAAAAAATTGATATGAAGTATGAAAAATTGACATCAAGTATGAACAATTCGAAAAACTGCAACCGTTCTCTAAGTCCTACTAATGAAAACTTATATTGGTCAAAGAGCATTTTAATAGCGAGGTGCTAGAGTTTGAAACCATTGTGAACAGGAAGTCAAGCAGGCATCCTCTGGTCATTTCCTTATTCTTGTTATTAGGCTGAGGATTTACCCTTAACTGTTTATTTGATTTGTTAGACTTCATACACTATCCCCTGAAAGGCCGTCATTCTTGACTGGCGGGATTGCCATGGTTAAAAAACGTAAAATAACAAAATAAGAAATGAAAATGTCCTTTCAAATCAGCATCAACGAATGAAGGTGCACAAGACTTCAATTCATCAGAAAATCACAGTATAGCCACAAGAGAATCACTTCAAGACAGCCAACTCCATGGGTGGGCATTTTCAAATCCCTGCTGACGTTACAGCTCTTATCTTCATTTCCAATGAAGAGCCGGAATTTGGTTGAGATTAACAGACAAACTGGCTTGAAACGAAATTCAGAGACTTCCTCTATTTTCAGAAACTCTACTTTCAAACATGGAAGATTTTCATATTTCCTTTCGCGTTTAAAGGCAATCTGTCTCATTGTGGATTGGTTAACGAGAACAATAGCTGGAACACAATTCCAGCGCTCCGCCATATTTTTTACAATGCGATAAATGAAAGGGGGACTGGAAACAATAAAATATCCCTTTGTTCTTATAATCAATCAACGTCGTGACAGATTGCCTTTAAACGCTTCAAGGTGGCCTAATTCTTGCAACATGTCACTCCACACTTGAATCGAAATATGCCAATAGGTAAAGGTAGGCACCTGTCGCAGTGTACTAAGAATACTGGTAATTTTAAGATGCTGTTGTAGACAGTTATGAATGTGTCGAAATAAGTAAATTTCCTTCGTACACAAAAATTCTTATATTTGTTGCTACAAAAATGTAAGAGATAAAAAGGGAGTCCCCGATTGGACTCATTTTCACCAATCAGAATCCTTCACAGCCTCACATGGATGAAGACTCCAAGAAAGAAAAGAGGCCTCGTGCAGATTTCTATATTCCTACATTGGCTCATATAGTTCATTTTAAAATTCTTTAATATTAAAAAGTTTACATTAAAACTTACTGTCCCAATCCATACGAACATCTTTATCAAAAAAATAATGACACATTTCTCGCCCAGTAACTCCCTAGGAAAGAACAAACATTGTAAAAAACTATTTGCGAAGCAGTTAAAAACAACATTTAAAAATCGCTGCAATTAGCAGCGACAAACAACGAGTGATGAATACAAGGATCTAAATCCTGATATAAGAATCACGAATTTTCAACCTGCACAATGTGCGATGCTTTCAATGGATCACAAACTATACCATCTACTTCGAAGTCTTTTCGGTAAACCTGAAAAGGGAGAAGAGCAAGCATAAACTCAGGGTAATAAATAAACATCATCCCGCCATAGAACGCTCGCAAAAGAAAATTAGTACAAACGCAGTCTTGCAGCCAGCCAATGTATTGCGATTGGATATTACGACAATCTTATCATAAAACTCTGATGTTACATTGATCAGTTCCGCAAGGGGGAAAAGTCGAAGAAAAAAATTGATTTAGTTAATGATTCGCTAAAAAGTTAAAGAATTCCGAAAAAGCAGATAAAATAGGAGTCTCTGTTGCTTGCAAAGAAAATGAAGCTGCTAGCCAGTAGCATTTTTCGAAATTTAAACATAATACACAGACATTTAATAGTAAATTTTCTTATCAAAGATCAAATAAACTACAACAAGCAACTAAGCATCTTAAAATGCCGACTGCAGTGGAAAAGACAGCGTCACCAAACCGTAATCAACATAAAAATTTAACATAAATAAAATCGGTGCCTGTAGCATTAAAAACATCTTATGTGTGATATAGCGTGTGAATCGTAGATAACTTGTAGGTACCTTGAGATCCCCGTCTTCTAGAACCATGTCCCACCCGCTGCTATCTTTGGTCACATCTTCCTTGACTAGCATGAGACTTTCTCTTACTTTTCCGGTAACCTGAAATCACGAAGAGTCAAAAAGATAACATCGTGAAAAATGCAAGACAACTTCTTGTACTTTGCATTGCATTTTAGAAACAAGAAGAACTTACCTTAAGAAACGTTATAAGATCTAAGAAATAACTGCGAAGCGGCATGGAACAAAGGCTTGGCAAAAACTGTATTTAGAAACTCTTGTGCTGACGGCCAATGAGAAGGTTTTCAAAATCAAGGGAATATACAGATATACGAAAAATATTCAAACAATGAAATTGTATTTTCAAAGGAAACAGTTTATAACCAAATAGCTAATAAAATCATGAGAGAAAGGCCAAATTTCAAGAATATAGGATAGATTGCCAAATAATGTACAAAAACAAAGTGCATACCAAAATGTAGGTAAGAAAAGGAAGAATTCTTTATATAAAAACTAACACAAAGGCAATCTCGTGGTATATAAAAACTAACACAAAGGCAATCTCACAGTCCGATAATGTTAGCCTTAATACATTAGATGGTATGAATATATAGGCACCTCATCTGAAAGCCGGTGTTTAACTAATTCAACAAACACACTGTCATCCGGAGGAGGCGGTATTCTCTCCTTTGTACTGCTTGTCTACAAAATAAACAATGGATTGAAATTAAGTTCCAATTTAGCTACTTTGAGAGAGCTTATAAGATATAAAATCGTTTAGAGAAACCACAGGGAAATTCTGCATAAAAGCTGATGCATTTAAAATGTTAAAAAACCAACCAGTTCAGATTCTTCGTCTTCGCGGTCAAGGGCAGTCTCCACGGCATCGAAGAATTCTTCCTCGTTCAGTTTGCTGTATGGGCCTTCCTGTAACAAAATGAGATTTGGGATAAACACGGGTTATGTTGGAGAGTGGAAATGAAAACAAGAGAAGGTGGAAATGAAACAAGGAAAAATTGGAACGAAAACATGGAAAGGATAAAATGAAAATTCGGAAAGGAGCTATGGAAGCAAGGATCATTAAGTAATTAAATAAAGGCACGGCTGTAAATTCATAACTTGCTCGATATAAAAGAATGGTTTAAAACTTCGATATTGAAAATGAACTACAAACGATCGGTTATTGACTGAACTTGCATCATTTAAAATGTCGTGGCTGAGACACGAATGCTCTGAGCTGTGAAATTAAATTGGAAAAAAATCCTTTTTATTGATCATACATTTGTTTGCGAGTTTACTCTTACTAAAATAAAGGATACTCGAATTTTCTCTTACTTAAGTTTTATAAATACAATTATGGATTATGCAAAAACGAATCAAATTTTTATCAGAGATATTTCAATCTAAAGTAAGAAGCATAACAGTGACGTACCTCGTAATCTGGACCACCAACAAAAGAAGAAACTTTCAACTTATCTAGAGCCTCCTTGTATTGCTCTTGAAGTCTCTTGCTTCTGTCACGTTCCTGCCGGAAAGGGAAACATTTTTGCATGTTGAGGATGTAAGGGATAAACAAGTTCCGTAGAATATATAACAGCCCTGTGCAATAACTACATTCTCATATGAAGAAAATTCTAACATCATACAGAAAGAAAATAATTTTACCAAAGGCCTCGGAATACCAAACAAAATGACCCAGTTTTTAATTTCAAATTTGTTTTCCCAGTCAAAATGAATTCTGTCCCGTTTCTCCCAGACACTTTCGATATAGGTTGCTTATATAATTCGTAAAAAGGACAACAGTGATAACAGAGTATGTAAGAGTTATATTGTAGATTAAGGTTATATTTAGTGTGCCTCTGCTGACCGCTATGGTGGGTTGCGGGCTGCCTTCTTGCGGAGGCTGCCCTTCTTGGGGGTCGGTTATCTCTTGGGAGCTGTTCGGCCTGTCGGGAGGCGGTGGGGGCGGTGTTGTTTTGTGTCGTCTTAACTGTCGAGGTATAAGCGGTATAAGTTATGTTTCTTCTATTGCTGGGACTCTGCGGGGCAGCGGCGTCTTTGCTGCCTTTGGGCGGACTGGGTGGTGTTCGGGGGCTGGCTGGTCTTTAGGGGGGCTTTTGTGGGGCGGGGGCTCTCGGCTCGCTGGGGCGGGGGCTCTTAGCTCGCTAGGGGGGCTCTCGACTCGCTGGGGCGGGGGGCAGAGTTACCATCAACTCTATATTATCAATTCTTTTCAGTTACTCATGCTGTTGTATAAATTATGACTGACATTAATTAGCCTTATGCTATCAGCTACGCCAACCTTAATCAAAGAATTTATTATTATTTATTATTATAATTATATATTATAACATAATGCAGTTATCTACTCAAATAAAATAGCTATCTTTCTTTACAAATACATATCCCCTAATTCTCAGATTACAAAATTTTGGTTTCATTTTCCAAATAGTATTTTTTTGAAATAGTGTGCAAGTGAATGTTCATTCCGGAAATTACACATACATGCTTAGTATTCGCAAGTACTAACCTTTTCCAGCCTCCGCTTCCATTGGTCTTCTCTTTTGGACATTAATTCGATGCAGTGGGATAAAACCTGGAGTACCCCATCAGTGGTAGCTTTGAATGTGATTGCTTCGCCACGAAAATCGACTGCCTGTCGGCTTAAGTGATGCGATTGCAAATAGTTATTGCCGTCGTGTGGGGTTGGAGTGGCGGACAAGTCATCTAAAAATTGCGGAATATGGAATCGGTTTTCAATTCAACTCAATATCTACTAACCAAGCTATTAATTCAACCCATTAAAATGAATTGATTAATCGATTTGATTCACCTTCATCATCAACATGGATCAAATAGTTTTAATCAAGAAAGTCTAATACTTTTATTCATAATATTATCTATAATTAAGGCGATTTATATCATCTACAGTTCTAGGCTATGTTAAATCGGTCACCCACCAGCATCAAAGTCATCATCGTCAAGGTCCAGTCCTTGAGTCTCGAATCTTGGGTTCTTGTCGGCACAGGAATCGAAATAAGATTGTAGCGTGTCAATCTGACGACAAAGGATGTCACGAAATGTCTCCATTTCAAGAAGTTTCTCTTTTAAGCCATCGCCTCTCTATAAGGAAAGAAAATTGTCTATAGCAGCAATTCTTATGTTATCTTTCATCTTGTAATATTTTGAAAGTGAAAATGATTTTCTTTAAAACATCTTTGGCTTGATATCAACATTAGAAAACTGACCTAAGCGTTAATGATGCTTATCCTGTCAATAGAATACCATAAATCCTCGAAAAATCCCCCCCCCCTCGAATAAGCCCCCACCAAAAAAATCATTTTTGCAAATAAGCCCCCAAGCTTATTCGAGGATTTACAGTATATGATGTCCAAGATACGCAATTCGGTGTAGAGAACAGGCCGGTTCTAAGTTGCTATTCCGAGTTTCACGCTTAATGCGACATGAGATGCCTAGAAATGCATTTAATATTGCCAACCTGGTACAAACAGCAAGCTAATTAATGATCAGTATTCGTTGATCTCTGTCGTCAATTGCATACCCAGTTACGTTCTTATTTTTTAATATATTAATGAATATCATACGTCTTTAAAAACTGCTGAATACCTTGAAAGATGAGGAGGACTGTAAACTTGGAAGGGAGGTTAAGGACAGCACCGAGGCCACCTTTGGCAAATGTGTTTCAGATCCATAGCCTGATTCTGCTTGCTGCAAAAGAACAAGAGAGCTGCAATTATATCAAGCATGCACAATAAGTTGAGCCACGATGTTTATATACAAGAAGAGGACCAAAAATGGCTTTGAAAAAAAGCGAAAAATTTTGAGTCATACTAAAGCTTTTCGTGTGACACTCTTCAGAGTATAAAACGTCAGAACATAGATCGAAAACTCTACGCTAGGAAATATATATACCCAGTTGTGGATCGAAAAAGACCAATCATAATCGCGATCACGTTACTTTCGAGGTTACTCAATCAGTGCAGCTTGCCTGTTGAAAATGTTACCAATGGAGTGAAAATGTTACTAAGGTGAAAATGAACTCACTCTGTCTACACAAAAGCGGTTTTCTCAGGTTTATCTATATAGATTCCAAAACATCAGAACCTGGTCATCAGAACCTGGTCATCAGAACCTGGTCATCAGAACCTGGTCATCAGAACCTGGTCATCAGAATCTGGTCATCAGAACCTGGTAATCAGAGCCTGGTCATCAGAACCTGGTCATCAGAACCTGGTCATCAGAACCTGGTCATCAGAACCTGGTCATCAGAACCTGGTCATCAGAACCTGGTCATCAGAACCTGGTCATCAGAACCTGGTCATCAGAACCTGGTCATCAGAACCTGGTCATCAGAACCTGGTCATCAGCTTCTTTTTCTAATTGATGCTAGGAAAATGCCCGAATGCGATAAGAGCAAAGTCCGAGCAAAGGAAAACGGATGTTATAGATGGAAAAGATAAGATTGTTGTTTAGGTTGGTTGAAAATCAAAGTCTGCCCTGTTGCTTGGTAGATTGAGTTGCCTATCTGCATGTAACGCTACGCTTTTCAGGTAAAAATAACCTCTTTTCCAGTGAGAGATACTCGTGGCGTGTTTGCAAAATAACACAAGAAACATTGAGCTTTTTCAAGGTCGAGGATTTAAAATATAAGGTTTAGATGTCAAAGCAGTATCAACATCATGATTCCTCGGGTGAAGCCTATGGATGTTGAAGTGAAGAGCGAAAAAAACCATGTGGCCACACAAGAATAAACACAAATCTGTTTGATCATTATAATGCTTTCAAGAATAAAAAATTACAATAATTTGTGATAGCAAATCTTGGCATTTATGCAGATACCATTATCACAGGATAAACGTCAAGGGCACATTACGATATGATATGATATGATATGATATATGATATGATATGATATGATATGATAAGATAAGATAAGATATGATATAATATAATATAATATAATATAATATAATATAATATAATATAATATAATATAATAAACTATAATATAATGTAACATTATATAATAAATATATTAATATAAATATATAATTAATATAATATATATAATATAAATATAATATAAAAAAGATATAAGTAAATTATAATATTAATAATTATTATATATATAATATAATGAATATATATATAACATATATATAATATAATATAATAAAATATAATATAATATAATTTCATATAATGTAATATAATATAATACAATATTATATTATATAATATATATAATACCATACGATATCATATGATATAATATAACATTCATAATTTAAATAAAACTAGAGAGGTTTATTTAAAGTTTTCAACCATTCCGATGGCTCTGCTACGACGAGTTCCCGTGAACTGTTCCGCAGTAAGTCCTTTGTCTCTCAACCACGCACCTTGGTGACCAATTCGTCTATGATAACGACCAAATAAAGATGTGATGATAAATGTCAGAAACTCAAGGATAGAGAAGAATGAGGCACCAATGAAAAGCCCGAGTGACCCGCCGATACCAGCAACCAATGAGAAAAAATTCATTGCTGGCGCCTCCATAGCTTTCTGGTAGCTGAAAGATTTGAAGTAAACGTTCAACTGCAAAAAATTGGAGCGTATGAAATCTTCTGATACATTGGTTCGATTCAATACCTTAGACAAAACTGGTCTGTAATACTGCATGTCTACGTTAGTGGGCCATCGAGAGCTGGTTCCAGTGAGTTTGAAGGTTTCTTCATAGCACGGTAAGGGACAATCACACGTTCCTTTTTTAGAAGATAAATCTCCATAAAATTCCAGCAAGCAAGTACCAGCATCTCCTGAAACGTTTTTCGGCGGATTGGGTAACTTTTTACCTCTTCGACTTAAATGATAAAGTGCCGAGTTGGCGATAATGCCACATCTCTCATAAAGTTTAAGGTGATGGCAAGACTGCAAGCAGTTAGACTGCAAGCAGTTATTGACACCATAACGGCCTGGGTACACTGGGTCTCCCTCCCTATTAACACATTTAGATGTGTACGGCTTTTCCTTGCGAAATATGAACTTTTGCTCTATTGATATCAGCGTCTGAGTCCCTGGTTGGACGACAAACCTGTCATTGTTTGGGCATGGGAACACATCCTGTGGATGTACCATAACTAAAACGCCTGCTGCATTATCATAAGGTACTAACTCCATATAGTCATCTTGATTTACATAAAGTACTAAGTTGAGTCCTCCATATACTCCGGATAGAGTCTGGGTAAACTTGCCATTGCCATTGACATTGAAAGTCTTACAGAAGCCAGAATGATGGCTCAGAAAACTATCTGTGAAGTCGCTTCGATTGCAATCTTGAAAAGACCCAAATCTACACCAATCTTCGATACCATCGAGGAAAAGCTTATCTGAAGCGAACTGCGTGGCTTTCGTCAATGTTATGTTGGAATGGATCATAAAATTAAAAAAACCAGGATGTTTCAACATACTTAACACCTTTTTTCTCTCCATACTCTTGTTTAAGAAACTTTGAAAACGTCTTTCCATATCAGTGACAAGACTGTTGAATTTGCTTTTTTGGTAGCAGTTCAAATTACAAATAGTGACACTGGGGAACTTTGCAGTATCGTTTGTATGCTCCTCCACAAGCACATATGTTTGGAATTCAAGGAATTCCGCCACAAGGAACACAATGTTGGTGACGCTTCCAACAAAAAGAGCCAGAATTGCTAAACTCCACAGAAGTTTCAGACTCCAGTGTTTTGATTCCTCAATCTTTGAAAGGCCATGGATAGTAGACTTTGTCAAGTAAGACTCTTTTTGCTGGCTTCTGAGATTTGCTTCAGAATCAATAACTTTTTCGCGAGTACTTGATTCTCGCTCAGACTTTTTCGTGTGCTTCTCCATTCCCAGTTCTGTCTCGATTTTGATCAATTGCTGCTGATCAGAAAAATTTGTAATCGTGCTAGAGACAATCACACGTTCACACGTTCACCGTGCTAGAACAATTTTTTATGCGATTAAGTGTGTCCTTGCAGATTTTCTCATGAACTCACTTCGATTCAAGCCCAAATAAAACGAGCGATCAGCTGCTTCTTGTAAAAGATTTCTGAGTTTAAAGCTTATTAAACTGAGCATCTTGAGATTGACAGAAAACAACATGGAATTTTACAATAAATTACAGCTTTATTTAGAAACCCAATGTGCCTAACAAAGAAATTTTATTGGAAAGTATGAATTTATCTTTAATAACAAATCATTGAAAATGCTGCAAAGGAAAATTGAAATAACTCACACCTGTAGATTTTCTAAACAAGCGAAACACTTGAAAACAAATAACGGTGAAAAAAGGCTGATTTTCATGACTTTTAAAATGCCGTGTTCAAAGCAAACACATTAATTCCATAAGTCTCTCTTTTCATAATCTTAAAACCCTACATACAATAAACACTGCTCATAATGACTCGGTTGTCAATAATTCAATGCAGGTGTTCATTTTCATTGCCTTTTCATGAAGAAATTTTCACTAGGGTGACGAAATGCCCCAAGTGGATGAGCTTACAAGGACGATAGCCCATCGAACAAAAATCGTCATAGGATGTCCTTCTGGGGCAGAGGGGGTATCACCTGCCCACAATTGCTTTGATTTTTTAAATGCATGGACAAATGCAGGCTTACAGGAACATGTTTCCAACAACAGGAAGAGTTTTAGAGCGCTATGCCAAAAAAGATGGAAGGCTAGCGTTCAGCCAGCAAATTTACCGAACAGGAGAGAAACTTTAATCAGAAATCTTCAGTCATCCTCATACAATATATCACTGCTTTGATACAAATGTTTTAAAAGAATTTTCATAGACCATAAAAAGAGGATCTTCCGTCATAGTAAGGGTCGGAAATCGTTATATACAGCGTACTCTTATATCACCCATTCATGAAAATTGTTGGACGCCCCATGATCAACTGCCCCCACCTACAATTACGTCTGGATCCGCCCCTGGGTTATCCTCATATCATAATTGGGTGATTCCGGTGACTGCGCAAAAAACAGCACATGAAACTTTGTAGGCACACAAGGATAAAAAAAATCTCTTTGATTACTATGTTGCTTTCAAGAATAGAAATAACAATATTTTGTGGCAATAAATTATTGCATTGATGCTGATATCATTATCACGGGATAAACGTCAAGGACACAATATGATATGATATGATATGATATGATATGATATGATATGATATGATATGATATGATATGATATGATATGATATGATATGATATGATATGATATGATATGATATGATATGATATGATATGATACGATATCATATGATATAATATAACATTCATAATTTAAATAAAACTAGAGAGGTTTATTTAAAGTTTTCAACCATTCCGATGGCTCTGCTACGACGAGTTCCCGTGAACTGTTCCGCAGTAAGTCCTTTGTCTCTCAACCACGCACCTTGGTGACCAATTCGTCTATGATAACGACCAAATAAAGCTGTGATGATAAATGTCAGAAACTCAAGGATAGAGAAGAATGAGGCACCAATGAAAAGCCCGAGTGACCCGCCGATACCAGCAACCAGTGAGAAAAAATTCATTGCTGGCGCCTCCATAGCTTTCTGGTAGCTGAAAGATTTGAAGTAAACGTTCAACTGCAAAAAATTGGAGCGTATGAAATCTTCTGATACATTGGTTCGATTCAATACCTTAGACAGAACTGGTCTGTAATACTGCATGTCTACGTTAGTGGGCCATCGAGAGCTGGTTCCAGTGAGTTTGAAGGTTTCTTCATAGCACGGTAAGGGACAGTCACACGTTGCTTTTTTAGAAGATAAATCTCCATAAAATTCCAGCAAGCAAGTACCAGAATCTCCTGAAACGTTTTTCGGCGGATTGGGTAACTTTTTACCTCTTCGACTTAAATGATAAAGTGCTGCGTTGTCAATAATGCCACATCTCTCATAAAGTTTCAATTGATGGCAAGACTGCAAGCAGTTATTGACACCATAACGGCCTGGGTACACTGGGTCTCCCTCCCTATCAACACATTTTGATGTGTACGGCTTTTCCTTGCGAAATATGAACTTTTGCTCTATTGATATCAGCGTCTGAGTCCCTGGTTGGACGGCAAACCAGTCATTGTCTGGGCGTGGGAACACATCCTGTGGATGTACCATAACTAAAACGCCTGCTGCATTATCATAAGGTACTAACTTCATATAGTCATCTTGATTTACATAAAGTACTAAGTTGAGTCCTCCATATACTCCGGATAGAGTCTGGGTAAACTTGCCATTGACATTGAAAGTCTTACAGAAGCCAGAATGATGGCTCAGAAAACTATCTGTGAAGTCGCTTCGATTGCAATCTTGAAAAGACCCAAATCTACACCAATCTTCGATACCATCGAGGAAAAGCTTATCTGAAGCGAACTGCGTGGCTTTCGTCAATGTTATGTTGGAATGGATCATAAAATTAAAAAAACCAGGATGTTTCAACATACTTAACACCTTTTTTCTCTCCATACTCTTGTTTAAGAAACTTTGAAAACGTCTTTCCATATCAGTGACAAGACTGTTGAATTTGCTTTTTTGGTAGCAGTTCAAATTACAAATAGTGACACTGGGGAACTTTGCAGTATCGTTTGTATGCTCCTCCACAAGCACATATGTTCGGAATTCAAGGAATTCCGCCACAAGGAACACAATGTTGGTGACGCTTCCAACAAAAAGAGCCAGAATTGCTAAACTCCACAGAAGTTTCAGACTCCAGTGTTTTGATTCCTCAATCTTTGAAAGGCCATGGATAGTAGACTTTGTCAAGTAAGACTCTTTTTGCTGGCTTCTGAGATTTGCTTCAGAATCAATAACTTTTTCGCGAGTACTTGATTCTCGCTCAGACTTTTTCGTGTGCTTCTCCATTCCCAGTTCTGTCTCGATTTTGATCAATTGCTGCTGATCAGAAAAATTTGTAATCGTGCTAGAACAATTGTTTATGCGATTAAGTGTGTCCTTGCAGATTTTCTCATGAACTCACTTCGATTCAAGCCCAAATAAAACGAGCGATCAGCTGCTTCTTGTAAAAGATTTCTGAGTTTAAAGCTTATTAAACTGAGCATCTTGAGATTGACAGAAAACAACATGGAATTTTACAATAAATTACAGCTTTATTTAGAAACCCAATGTGCCTAGCAAAGGAATTCTATTGGAAAGAATGAATTTATCTTTAATAACAAATTATTGAAAAATGCTGCAAAGGAAAACTAAAATAACTTACACCTGTAGATTTTCTAAACAAGCGAGACACTTGAAAACAAATAACGGTGAAAAAAGGCTGATTTTGATGACTTTTAAAATGCCCTGTTCAAAAACAAACTACATTAATTCCACAAGTCTCTCTTTTCATAATCTTAAAACCCTACATACAATAAACACTGCTCATAATGACTCGGTTGTCGATAACTCAATGCAGGTGTTCATTTCATGTTTGCAAACAATATGGCTAACATCAATAAAGTTTTTAATGCTTTTTTGTAACTTAGTGACAAATTTAGCGCTGATTTTCCAAGAAATATTGGAAAGCTGGTACTGCAAAACAACAATATTCCATGCCTTTTCATGAAGAAATTTTCACCAGGGTACTCACAGGCAGTGGCGAAGCCAAAGTTCCTGCTTATCCTCTTAATAAAACTGCTTATCCTCTGGGCAGGACCACAAATTTCAAAAGATAACAATTTTTAGAAGAAGAAAAATTGATTATATGACTGATTCAAAGGCATTTCTTGTCTGGACTAAACCCTAAACGTCCAATACTCGTAGACAAAACTAAACCCTAAACGCCTCGTAGCCCTGTTTTTGGTTCTGTCTCACAATAGAAGAAAACAATGGCACTCCTACCACAGAAAAGAAATGAAATTTCTATTCTGTGCTTCTACCCTTCAGAAATGGCAGGACCTCAGGTCCTGCTTTTTCATGAAGGCAGGGCCTAGACTTTTGGAGCCATATGTTTTCTTACAATTTGATGATTTTCTGCGCTGTGCGTGGTCACAAAGAATATCCACTCTGGCCATAGTAAGGCTTTCATTAAGAAAAATAAATATTTTGATATCATGGATCAAAATAACTGTAACGAAGACATCATTGCTGTTGTAGAAGTCTTTTGCTGCTAGAAGCTTCGGACAGGACAGGGCTAAACTGTTGTCACTTGATTTATACAAGAATCGACCATTTGAAGACGGTACTTATGGATATCAAATTGTTTGGAGTCGTTCTGTTGGTCCTATTTACTGTTCAAGTCAGGAATATCACAGACATGGCGAGAAACCTGGCATTCATATACTTTTCTCTCAGACTGCAGAGAGCAAAGGAAGTCATATTCAAAGGGCTAAACATAAACAGTAGAAAAAGTTTGCCGCCGCTGCCGAGAGAGAATCTTCATTTTATTCTACCAGGAAAGTCGAGATGGAGGGGAGATGGAGTGTGCATGACAGGAAAAGGATTTGCTTAAATTTAATCTCAGCAGTTCGTTATCCTGTCTTAACAGGAACTACCATACCATTCAGAGGTCCCGATGAAAAGGACGCCTGCTTAAACAATGGTAATTACTAGGAACTTTTGTACTCTGTGACTCAGATTGTATTGTACTGGCAAAATGTCAATCTCTGATTTTCAAAACAAATTAATTCAAGACCCTATCTACCATGCATCATACCTATCCATGTTGTGACAAAATATTTTTACTTTTTAAATAATTTGCATCAATTATGTTTCCCGTATGTATTACAACTATATATGCCTATTTGTACAAGCAATTTCTTTTTAGTTAATGATTTAAAAAATTTTCAAATATTACTTATTCTAGAAAGAATTTTTGTGATGCTTATTTGGCTTCTTCAATGTAAGGTAGGAGGAGCTTGAAAGGATCTGAACCCTCGTCCCTTTTTTCCAAAATATAGCAGTGAAAAATGTTTCACTGCAATCTTGATTTCAACATATCCCGAAGGGTCTTCAGGGCGTGGCTTCACGCACTTTTGCTGGGGCATAGCCCCCCTTTGTAGCACCCCAGACCCCCTTTGGGCAGTACCACCTGTTCTTGGTTAGCTTCACCACTGCTCACAGGGTGGCTGAAAGTTACTACTCTGAGTATCACATTAGATAAAACCTTAATAAGCTTCATCAAGGAACTTTTTCTGAAAAATGGCAACTATTTCTGATTTTATCCACCCTGATATGAATTTTTTTAATTTTCAATGTTTTTAATAAATCGATACAATTAGTTAAATAGAGGACCCTCATGAAAAGTGCCCTCAAGTGACTGAGGCCGTCCTCTGTAAATATTTGTATTATTATTATTATTATTATTAATGACATGGATAGGTAACAACTAACAAAGGCATTGAAAAAGCTAGAGGAAGTTACCTTGGCAGCTTCTAGTGTTGAAATCCACTTTGATCGTTCATCTGGGTCTGCTGATCTCAAGTAATAAATATTATCGTTAACATGAACATCAAATCTGCAGTCGTCATATTCATGGCACTAAAAAGAAGCAAACAGAGGATTCATAAACCAAAGAACGCAAGTTGAATAACCATTGACAACTTTTTTACACATTTACTTCAATTTTGTGTTGTACTCAAAACATCTGAATAAAAGCTATACTCTATTTTGCAAAAAGTACAAAAATAAAAATAAAGCAACGGAGGGAATTTAATGCCATGGATGTTTAATGCCATAAAAATGATGTAAAACAAGAAATTACAACAAAACTTTTTGATAATGTACATAAGGTACAAATATACCAGTGTGCAAATTTTGAAGCAAAATGGTCAATGGCACTTGAATTGGATACATGTTATTTATTTGGTAACGGAAGGAAGGATAGATTTCCTAGAATAAAATCTTTATGGGAGATTGTAAATTTTATCTCAATGCTACAGCATAGCTACTGTTAGACTGTTTATGAAAGATGCTACATGATCCCTCTTTTTAAATCACTGGCATTATTGTTTTATAAGCTTAAAAAAATAACTTACAATCTGACTTTATATATGGAAATATAGCTTGAAATGGAAGTGGATATTTGGATGGAACATGCTATTTGCTTGAAGCACATAAAGGTGAAAACTTGATTTAAGATTCACTACACTTCTACTATAAGCTAGAGATTAAAGAGCTGGAATGGAGACACAAACATTGATGACAAAGTGTACTCACAGTGGACCACTAGGACAAAACGTTTAGGGAAAACAATATTGTATGGACTGGCATATATATAACTGAATGTATTACACTACAGAGCATAGAAATTTGCATAAAACTTTTCTGTATTCCTTGCTACCATTCGATCTGTCATAGATTCCGTTTCCACTTTAGGAATGTACTATAGTTTAGTCCATTATTCCCAAATTTAGCAAAAAAATTCTATGAGAATTAGTGACCATAATGGCATTTATCAGTTAATGGGATTCGTCACACCCTTGTCTCTCGCAGACTACTCATGATGAGTCATATGTCTAATCGGTGTGGGATGCACGACTGGCCTAGCCCCTTTTTCAGAAATTGAAACTCACCAAAACTTTCGCTCTCCCAAGACTAACGGATCCTCGACATCCGTACGCCATATCAAACTCCGACTTATAGTAAGAGAGGTTTCCGCTCTTCAATATAAAATACCGATCTTGCCATCCATGTAAGTAGTTTGTCCATTTGGAAAGCACTCCTTCCAGGCTAATCTCCTGTCTAAGTTCGCGAGGAGAGTCCGCATCATCTTCTTCATCACTGCAACTCAGGCTCAGTTCCTCGACCATATTAAAGGCCATCTTCTTCTAAACGCAGAAAACAAACAACAAACCGATATTCTGCGATAGCTAAACGCTCATTTGTCACTAATGTCGAAGCTTCTACCTCACATCATGTTGAAGGTAAAGAAGCATTTTCAGTACTGAACACCTTGCGAGCGATTTCCTTCCAACAAAAACAAGTGCTAAAACTGCGAAGGAGCAGCCACCATCTGTGCCCCAAATAAGAGGCTACAGCAAGAAAAAGAGGCTAGAGGACAATTTTCAAAATATATTGATTTCTTTACTATCATTATTGTGAGAAAAAAACTTGCAAAATTTTTAGATAGAGCATTAAGGTAAAATATTATTAAGGAAAATTTGATCTACGACACTGAGATAAGCCGTAGATATTGTCTAGGCAAGTATCCTACGTTAAACATAAATAAGTTGATAAATACAATAATTGATCAAATCAGAATGCCAAAGTAGTTTTAATCTGAGTTTTAATCAGAATCAATTTAATCAAAATTTGTGTGATTAAAGTTTTTAAAGAAGACAGGTGATGCAGCTTAATGAAAGATTCCAGGAAACTAGCGTGAGTTAAGCGCCCCTATGATTACGAGCTCTCTGGAAAGAAAGAATAAGCTGTAGAACGAAGTAACAAAGTCAGTTCTGTGAATTAACATTCTGTGAATTAGTAAAAGATTAGCCTCGGAGCATGAGCAGTAGCGTAGCCAGGGTGGTAAGATTAGGGGGCAAGGCAAGTAGAGAAAAGTAAAATTGGGGGTGCACGCCCATTTAGAAAAAATCCACACACTCTAGAAAGGAACCCAACTTTGAAAAAAACCTTGTTTTTCAGAGGAAGCCACCCGCTAAGACACGAGTGAAGTGCTAGTGCAACTTGAAAAAATCAATAACTAAGAATGTAATTATAAAACTTATCTAAAATTAGGCAATCAGATAACAGATATGAACAGATATGAAAAATCTTTTGAGACAAAAATCTGTCAACAGCTTGCAAATGAGCTTTTATTTAATGAATCGTTTAAAAATCGTACAAAAAAATGACACACAATATTAAGTTTGCTGTACAATATTAATTTTTTGCTCCTTTTAGATAATCAATAATGATGATGATATTATTTATAAGCTGACAATAATTTACTACGATTTCATAAGAACTAAAATATCATAAGCGATCAGTGGCACTTTATAAACATATAGTTTCTTTCAAAATGGAGGGAATTGCAGTGACTTCAGAAAAGATTTGCTTTTAAGTGCTAAATATAAGTTAAGGTGCTAGCATTGATTTCTGGCTAACTCTTGATTCTGTCGTTTGCCTGGTGATTCTCATGACTACCCCCTTCAACATTAATTATAGTCGATTTTAACAGAAAGTAACGAAATCAATATCCAAGATACCCATTTCAATAGCAAATCTGGACCTGGGACCTGGGACCTGGGACCTGGGACCTGGGACCTGGGACCTGGGACCTTGAAACCTGGGACCTTGAAACCTGGGACCTTGAAACCTGGGACCGCTTAAAGACGACCTAATGCAAAATGGCTCTTAAAAAGGGCCTGTTAAAGAGATGTCATCTTAATATAGGGTCTAAATCTACAGACTACAGGAACTGATGTAGGTAATTTGAATGTTGTACCAAAAATCTAGTTGCACATACCATTTGTTAATTATTAATTTAAAACCTATTTACATTCTTCCAAAATCAAAATTATTTGAAAAATCTTGCCTAAAAAATTGAGCTGTAAAATCAGCTTAAACGTAAAAATTGCAAAAAGAGAAGTAAGTTTGTGACTGAATGTTTTGTGAATTTTTTTAAGATACAAATATTTTTACTTGATCGAAGAAAAAGCATTTCTGTATCGCTAGCAACAATAACCTCGTGAGAAATACGATACCGAAAAAGAGCTGCTGGCCGCATTAAAAGGCACTTCGTCCCGTCTGTCAACCGTTTAGAGCTAACAATAGGCTTGGCAGCGCGTTTAAAATCGGGAAAAATTGCGAGTTAGCTTTGGATAAGGATACATTGCCGATTGGATACGTAGCAATAGGAATATTTGTAAAGTGCAACAAATGGGGAAATAAATTGCCAAAGAAATATGTCGGGACATTGTGCCTTTAAAGCATCTAAAAGCAAATATTGCTACAACCTTCTAATTTTATACTTGGCAGCATGTTGGAAAAGAAGAAGTTCTTGCGCATTATGCTAAATACTTCTGCTGTGTAAATTTAAAAACTGTCCTTTACAACACTGCTAAGAAGCTATGTTTATTTTAAGTTACGGACTACAATTAAAGAGGATTTACCCTAAGTTTGTATCAGAAACCAAGCCTTTGAAAAAGGAAACTCTAACATTGTTTGGGATTTCAAGGCAAGCTTAAAACGATCCAGAAATAGCTTCTTTTTCCTTTGAAGTTATCCAACTCTGTTGCGCTTGACATTTTCATTTTTGGACTGCTACAAAAGCAAGCAAAAAACGATCTTACATCTTTGATCGTTGCAGATTCTTTAAGCGATCGCAATACATTGGTTGTTGTACTTTGGAAACTCAAAGTTTCTAGCACAGTGCTCTCACATCTATCAATATTAATCTACTTACAATAATTTCAAAAACAATAGACATACAACAGTCTCTGTACACAAAAAAGAACATGCTATGAACGCTTGGCATATAAATGGTTGGTTTCAACAAAAACTGAAGTCAGACTTGGTTGATATCTATATTTAGTGTAACGAAAATTACTGCTCCACAATTCTGCCATAGAGTGCTCGATTCCGTATAGGCAGAGCTATACACACTATTTGGGGCATAGAGCAGGACGGCCCTAGCTTGCAACTTTGAATTTCACGCTCAATTGTGTGTCGATGAAGATCCATTCTAAGTCCCCTAAACATTTAGCATCCCCTGCGCCTTTGAGGCAACTGTTAATTTTCAGTGTATATTGATAAGCAATTGGAGATCAGCACCTTGTTCAGGAGGAAGAGGAAGTCATCAGTCACATATTCAATGTAATTTGATCGAATAAAAGGAGTTAAAACGACTCACAATCGATCAAGGCTGTGGCTGGTCGTCAGGCAAAACTCCCAAGGACTCTAGCTTTGCACGAAGATGTTGTATCTCTTTCTAAAAAATAGAAACACAAGTTTTTACAAGATTATACTAATTTCATATCAAATGATACATTAAGAGTCCAAATTCCACCATTTTTGTGTGCAAAATAATACAGATTAGACTCCATATTCCACTTTCTATGTGCGCCAAACCCTACATCTCGGTTCCACATTCCGCTTTATGTGTGCCCCAAATGATAAATTTGGATGCCATACTCCGCTTTGTGCGTGCCCTGAATGTTTGCCGGTGTGTGCCTATTTGGGTTCCACATTACGAGTTGAAGACTGTCATCTAATACCTCTGCATTGCTGATAAAGGAGCTAATCAATAGGAACGTATAAATGAGATCGATGATACCAACAGGACGTATTCAAATGAACAGAATAGGGCTGAGAGAAACAGCTTGTGGGAATAAAATGTTACTCACTGTTTGCGCTGTTAACTTTAACTCTAATTTCGAAACCTGCTCCTGTAGTTCATCTCTCTGTATTCTTAAGAGCTCCATTTTCTCTTCTGTTTTTCTCTTCACTGACATAATAATTCCTACAAAAAGAAAACCGTTCATTGCTTAAATTCTAAAAGCACTCAGGTACAAGAAATTAATCATTCTACTAATTACAATAGGGAGAGATGCGAAATGTGTCGAAGAAAAGTCAAATTCGATAGAGAAGGCTAACAGAATCTCCATCAACTATGGTTTTACTTTACAAAGGTTAGTTAATAGTTTCAATCAATAAAAAAGTTTCTTTGAAATAATAATCGTTTCCTTAAGCTCTCTTTAAATGTTGAGCAATTTTAAGGCCACTCATAACAAACTTTTCAAAAAAATTCACACCCAGAGACTAGGTTTGGGCTTGCTTCAGACTTTTGATATTCTAAATTACGTTAGCTCAAAAAAATGTTCGTGAATAATGTTTTTAAGCCAACTGTGCTAATAAAATCATTTCATATGTGTTTCAAGATCAAGAAAAACTACAGAAATCGGGAAACAATTTCAAAGCTGGAAATATCTGTAACTGAAGGGATTCAAAAGAGTACAGAATTCCGTTTCAAACCCACCATTAACAATCCTTGATATACGCCAGAGTCTCAACAAGATAATAAACTCAACACCACTCAATGCACCTTCTTCCTTGTTAACGCTGAAAAATGCACGAAGTTGTAGTTTTCATAAACACAGAAATAAAAATAAAGCTGGCCAGTACTGAATTTGAAATAATTATGCATCAGTGTTATAAAGTTTTTCTTGCATTGAATTCTTTGGCAAGGTTATATGGCATAGGTTTAAGCCTGACTGTTGTAAAAAGTATGAAACTTGACACTTTTAGTATAAAAACTAGTCAACACTAAGAAAAGGCCCGGAGCATTATGTGTATCTAAACTTTTCTCTATTAATGCAGCCTTTTTCATTATTTTACAAATAAACGCTGATATGAGGATCAAAAATGTCTCTCATAGATAAGATCTGATAGAAAAGCATCTAACAATGTGTAGCATTGTTAATCAAAGGCGATCATGTGTAGAATTGTTAATCGAAAACTTAAAGCCATTAATTGATAAAAGCTATCAGATTTACCAGGGGCTGTGAGGGGTGCAACATCCCCCGATATTTTTGTGTCCTTTTGGTATATATTGCTTACATTTAGTAAAGGTAGGTATCCTGTTGCTGTGTACGAAGAATACTGATACTGTTTAGATGCTGTTGTAGACAGTTATGATACATCGAATTAAGAAGATATATTGCTTACATTAAGTAAAAAGCATTTTTAAAAACCATAACAAATTGATGTAAAAAATTCACGTTTATTTAACTTCTTATATTCTTTTCCAAAAGTTAAAACTGGATTTCAAAAATTGGCAATTCTGTCATTCTCTCGTCACCTGAAGGGTGTGGCACCAGCATCCAATCATTATCTAACACTAACCCCGCAATCTTTGTCACCAGAATCTATCCATGTATCTTTTTCCTACTTTCTTTTGGAATAATGACTTCAGACTAAATTTACTGATTTGAATAAATAGCTGACGTTTTGACAATATCATTTTATTAGAAAACCCTTAACCTTCTTCTTATCATGTATCTGAAACAAGCATAAATGATAAAAGACTATTATTTTGGGGCTGACCTATGCCAGCTTGCCCTGCATCAATTCAAGAGAAAGTTTTTTAAATATACTTACAGCATGAAAACATCTAGCGAAAATGAAATTATCACAATGCAAGCATCAAAGACCTGCAAAGATGAAATATTGTATCTAAAAAAGACCCTTATTATTAACAATCATTAAAATTAAAGTGAAGAAACCAATTGTAGTAATTCTGTTTAGGCCATAACTTTTCTTTTTCATTCATTCATACACATTCTCATACCAAAGCAAGGGCATTCTCCACTTCACCCACAATATCACACCTTTGCTAATCCCTGTTATTTCCATTCTATTTGCTGAGACATGCACTTTGCTCATCACTCTAACTCGCCCTTCTGATAAAAGGCTGCTACCCACCATCCATGTTAAATTAAGAAAATCAAATTGTATAGTATATTGATTTGTCTAATTAGTTCTGTAAAATCAAGTTTTTTGCTAGATGATTCTCCCTTTTCTGGCTCTGTGTTATCTGTGCATAAAAGAAGACCAATCATGGTAAGGGTGGTTTAGTTGAAATTATTCGGGAAAGCTATTATCCTTAAATGTTAATCTGCCAGCAATCAATTGAAATGTAAGCCACTTACAAGTCAGAACCAAATAAAATATTGAAAAAGAGACCCATTACAATACAAACAGTTTCACTCCAAACAATGAACAGAAATTTCGAACTTTTTTTCAAGCTGTGATGTTATAAGGCTGAATGATAGGATTAATATTCTAACATAAGAGGTTTAATTACCTTGCTTCTGGCATAAAGTAATTTTTCAAACAAATCTCAACATATTTGATTTTGGGAAAAAAGCTACAAGCCATACCTCAAATTTATGCTTGAAAAACGACAGTCCTAATGCAAATAGTTTTACGAAAATCTAAAGAGAAGATAACAAGTTAAGACTTTACCAAAATATATGTCCAAAAATTAAATAAAAGAACATAAATAAAGAAAACATAAAGAAAATAAAGATATCAAGAAAATCTTGTGTGACAAAACCATTTGATTTCTCATGTGTTTTGCCATGAATAAAATTAACAATCTATCTGGTTTCTCTTTTTAAATTTCACCTTTTTAGTTTTAGATGGGGGGAGGCCCTCTCTCGATTAGTTAATCGATCAGAGAGCTCCTCCTTAGACAAATATATTTAAATACATAATGTCTTATAATGTTCTATGTCTAAGCTAATTTATTAGACTGTATGTGTGGATAATTATTGTAATGTTATTTTAATTATTTTTATTCTGTATTGAAATATATTTAGGTATATTTGTCAATGAAATCAAATTTAATCTAGACTTTCAGCAATAAAGTCGCAAAATGAAATACCTCAATCATAAATGCCGATAAAATTGCAAGACTCAAATCATGTAGAATATGTTCAGCAAGTTCTTTTGTATGTGATGCCTTTCCTTAAGAGAGAAGAAAAAAGGCATAAAATTCAAACACAGAATAAGCTCTACATATACACAATGACATTGATATGCAACACACCATTTCAACTTAGGAACTTTTTTGAAAAAGAATAGTCTGAATTTCTTTGTCCTTGATTTTTTAATCTAGTCTCAGATAAAGGACCAGAATTTTAGCCACATTAAGCTTTTGTGATGCTAACGCTCGTGACATTGATTTCATGAGGACATGTAGTTTGAATTTTATAACAGAATCCATCTTGATTAGCTTCAGAGGGTGTGAAATTTCACCTAAAATTATCTTGGTGGTCAACTACAATATATGTTTCAGGCAGCCCTGATTGGACAATAACTGTCATGTGCTCATATTTCTCCATGTCATCTGCAACTGGGTGTACATTTTCTAGCTTCAAATCTTTTATCTATATTCTGATGTTCTCAGACAAAAAGCTTTAGTATGTCAAAAAATATCATTTATGCCTATAAAAAATGGCAAACATATTTGCAACTCCTGATATTCAGCCCTAGCATCATAATTCTTATCACAACCCAAATGTTTCAAAACAACAACCCCTTCCTGATACTGCATGCTACTTCATCTGACAATATTTTCAGAATATAAAGAGTTTCTTATAAACAGAATCGCCTTCCAAGGTCTTTCTTGAATTGTAAGGTTCCTGTGAGGCTTTTCATGGACAGATTGTTAATATCCATCTTTGCGCTATTCATAAAACTGCATGTTCTTTAGACAATAAAGGCCAAAAGCAAATTTCATAAGTTCATCAGAGCAAATAAATACTAAGTGCTAGAGAAGACTCTTTTTTCTTATATTCTTTACATTTCGAACAATTTGGCCAAACATTAAACATTACCCCAATAATAAGAAAGTACTATGAATCATGTATAAAATACAGACATTATGTATAAAACTTGCCTTAGGAATCCCACTGTTTTTCAACAGATATTTGATAAACATGCATATAACATACCTTTTGTGCTGTCATCAACCAGCAGAGTGGCAACAGCAATTGCTGCATCAAGCAACACTAAAGTGATGACAACAATTTGATAGTTGCGGCTATGGATTAACTTCCTCAGCCTTTCTCTAAAATGACGTATTGCACCACTGCAAAGAAAAAAGGCTTTCTTGAGAAAGTCAACAAAGCCATAATTTGAAAGAAACATAAAAGTCTACATAGTGTTTGTCTAAGTACACTAAATCAGAGTCTTTCAATTTATTCCCCCATTGTCAATTTATCTCATTCTCCCTTCCCTCTAAAGGCCCCCTAAACCCCGGTCTGACACACTCAGTTTTCTGATACACTGTACACTTTATGAAGGCTAGATGATTGTTAAGCAACCTGCTTTGCTTCTCTTGTTTGGTCAGTTAATTAGAGTGATTTTTGATGCTTACGTCAATGGTTTTTTGTCATTAGTCAATTGTCATTAGTCCATTAGGCTTGGTGTGTGTGTCATGTGTTAAAGGCATGGCTCTGGGTGAGCAGCAATAGTTAAGGGTCCTTTTGGCTCTTTGTAGTTAATAGTCCTATGGGTCATGGGGGTTCTAGGGTCGAAGGGTCTAATTTCTCCAGTATGCCACATTAAAGTAGACCCCATTTATCACCACAACAAATGTTGCTTGAAAAGCTGGGAGAGCAAGATCAGTAATGCCAAAATACATTTCAAGGTGAGAGAGCTCTAGATAAATTAGCAAATTTCAACAGAGGTTTTTCCACCATTATCCTTGATGCCACAACATTAACATAAAACTTCAGCAAAAAAGTAAGGGCTTATCGTGGTTCAAGCTAATTTGGTATAGATTTTATCAACTTTCAAAAGGTATGTTGGATTTGAGGATATTTGCACAATTCTGGTCTTTTTTGAGGCCCTGTTTCAAAATAGCTATTGCAATAACATAGACTATGTTATTGCAGTTTTTGGTTGCAATTACGATGTCATAGTAATTGCAACAAATTCACGATATTCTTACATATTTCAATCTCTATTGACATTTTGAGAAACACACCTAAGATTTTTTGATACTGTACAGGCATTAATAATTTGGTTAAAGTTAATCACCTGATATTTTGTATGTTAAAGCTGACTAGGCATAACACGGAATATTTTTGTCTGGTCCCAAGTGATCCGTCATTCAAACGTGAGTTTGACTGTAACAGGTTACCCATATTTCAAAAACTGATGTCAATTTAACGATGTGTAAATACTTCCACAAGTTGTCACATTATCTATGAATAATGGCCTCGTTGGGTTCATTGTCCTTTGAAGAGGCACCCAGCGAGGTGTTAATGAAACAAGAAATAATTGGGCTGACATCCTCGCTGTTCCGCTTTGGTTTTTTGGTAAATCAAGAAAATTGTATCAGAATATATCAAGAAATTAAAAGTAAAAATACTAAACAGGATATTATCACTAAATTACATCCAGTCACGCTGTATGTAGATATTTTTAAGTAACAGTAAGTAAGTTGTTACCCACTTTTGACTGCTGCAATATTGGATACTGATCTGCAATTTTTTTGAACCTTCGATGTCGCTTGATTCATCGCTAAAGAAAGAATCGTTTATCTCTGCAGCAGGCAGATTTCTCATCGATTCTGATACGTTCATCTTCTCAGCATAAGACCTGCCTAAATGCCATACTTTGCTGGTGTTTCCATACCACTGTCGATGCTGCAACTGTTCTAGCAAATATTACTTCCTCAAGTATAGCCTCGGAGTGGCGAATTGAAGCTGAGGCTGCTACGAACCAGACGAAGTCAAACAGGTTTCAAAGGAAATTCCCTTTTTCCTATTTCCTGTGACAGTAAAAAGGTCATGGAATTGTTGGTGATGGAGCGAATTTTCCCTAATGTACGATAGTTGTATTTATCAAGAAGATGATATTGTCTTGGCTTGATATTAGAAGAAAAACATCAAAGTAATTAAACATAATTCTAAAAGTTTAGATACTTGACAGATTTTCCTTGTTTAGAAGTATTTGATAGGCTCGTTTCTGTTTTCTAAACATATAACTTTATGACGTCATAAATTTAAGTAGGGAAAATGAAGGGATAAGAGAAACGAAATAGCATTCAGAATCACATACTGTTATAAAGATTTTTTGTATCTTTCTGGATTCTCAGGGCAGAGATGATGAAGACACCATGATGACGTTTTATATTCATATGCAATATTTACTAAGGCCTAATTCAGACTAACCGGTTGATGATTACTTGACAAATCCGCGTGAGTTACTCCTTACCACTCCACTGGCCTACGCCAGGGAGTGGCTGTCTCTAATATATATCCTTTCTACTGGAGCTCCTACTCGCAACTAGCGACAATTCTTGCTGCAGTACCTACTACGCCCATATGTGTGTGTTTCCGTTATAACCTTATATTGCATAATGACCTTTGCACTTACTTCGTGCTACTATTCTCTTAATTGCACGCGTACACATACCTAATCCAATATAATTAAGTGTCGGCATTGCCACGAAAAAGGTTTGTTTTAATAGTTGTTGGGCAGCAGAGCCATTTGATGAAGAATTTATCAATTTCAGTTTGCGTTTATCATGATTCAAAGAGATTAAAATAAATACATTTGAAATGAGTCAGCATTTTCATACCTATTTTACAAGCATAAGAAAAAGGATTTTATAACTACAGTTTGGGTGCTAGGATACATGTAATCCCAGTCACAGGTATCTATGCTTCTAATTACAAAACACGCAGTCTTAAGCACATTCAACAACAATCCTTATTCTCACCTTGTTTACCTCTGTAATATTTGTATAAAATTGTTTGCTTTTTACTACTTTAAAAAGTTAGTTATAGGCAATTTATTGGGCAATACACTCAAGGGCAACTTATTCACCAAGCAGAATTTAACACAGACTGAAAAATTTTAAGCGACGATTTTACACTCCTCCGTGTAAAAAACCTCAGAACATAGATCAAAAATCTAAGCTAGGAACTATATATACCAAATTGTGGACCGATTTAGGCCAACCAGGACTGTGAAAGGTTGCCCAATCAGTGTCATTGACAATTAGCAAGTAGCACTGAAATGTGCAATACTGATGTACACTATAAAGCTAGCCTTTTCACCAGGGCCTATTTTAAGAAATTTGTAGTACTGCACATTTATAACTACATTTTTTATAGGAAATTTTGTTGTTGCAATTTTTGGAAATTTCTAATCATTTCGTTTTGTTTTAAGTTTTGATTAGAGAGTCTTTCCGATGGTCATACGAGATTTGCAATACATGACCTCTATATCGAACTGACGGGGAAAATTCACATTTTGTGAACAAAGCGAGAATCTGGGATAGCGGCAATTAGACACAAGTCTTTGAACGAGATAGGGTCTCTACGACCACTGGTAAAAAAGTTACAAGAAAGAAACCAAGACATTTTTTAAGCCTGTCATATAGTTGACAGGGTTATAGAGGACCTTTGCATGAAACGAATGTAGAGAAATATTCGCGGACTGGTATTAGCAAGCAGTAAAGATAGCATAATAAATTGATGTTCGGCTGTTTCATTCTTTTTCATTATTACAAATCAGTTGAAGGCCAGACTTGGTGACAGAAACCAGCTGAAGTCAAGGTTCATGAAACTGTTCAACCTCCTCCCATCTGTAGTGCGAAGCAAAGAATTCAATAATAACGTTTTGAAGAGCAAAATGTCTTCGGATTTAAAAGATGATGGGCTGTTTTTCAAAATTGAGCTGGCAGGGGGAAAAGGAGATGACAGCAGGGCCGCAGAGAGAGGGGCAAGGGGGGCCAATTGCCATAGGGCTTCGAGGTCTAGGGGGCCTCATAAAGCAATGAATTCCGTTTTAAAATGGAATTTATTAAAAGTAACAAAAATACACTTAAACGATTGAATGAGTTTAAGCTATTCGTAAGGTTGTTGTCGCAAAAATTTTGGCTCGCTTCGCTCGCAAATCGTCGCTCGTCTTGCTTACTTCCCCTCTCGGGCCTCCTAAACCTCTCGGCTGCCCTGGATGGCAGACAGGAAAAGAAGTTCGCTGAGAATGGAGAAAATAGACGAAGCCATGTACATTGTTTACATGAAAAGGAATAGAATAAAGACTCTTTTTTAGTTCTCCAATTGATCAGTTCTCCTTGTCTGGCGTACAATATTTACAGATTTACTAACTGCTCATATATTCGTTGTACCTAAAAAATGCCCCGGTGGACCTTTGGCGTACATGAAATGCACCTTGGCATCATTTCTGTTTATAAGCATGAAATTATAAACCAGGCTATAAGTGAATATAGTTTAATTAGTGCCTTTTTGTGCCTTAGACCCCCTGCCCTCTGAAATTCCTGGTTGCGCTGCTGCAAAACCACGTTGCGTGCCACAAAATCAACATTTGTTATCGAAAATTTGTCGCAGAGTGGCCCCAACAAGCAGCTCCTGCTAGCAACTGGCACCTTATTTTCAAACTTCATATTGGAATAGAAAAATAGGATTATTCATTTGCTGACCCGAAAGTTCATGAATAATTTAATGCATTGTTTTTGAATAAACAATAGTCTTACTATATTGACAGAATGCCTCTACAACAAAGCAATAAGTTCCATTCTCGGGCTTTGAGTTACCTTAGAGGAGTTTCTAAATCTGCTCATTCTCCGGCAGGGACCATTAAAAGCTGACGTTTGTTGTCTCAGAAAGAGCAGACCAACGTGAAAGGTAGGGTCATTTAAAGCTTTGCTTCTCAATTCTAATATTAACTAAATAATCGACAATACGATATTACTATCATGATTATTAGATACCTTTTTCTGTGATTCGGATTGATAATTGAAATGTGAATATAGAACAAATTTGATAAAGATACCCAAATCGCTAGTGTAAAGGCCATGTTTAAAGGAAATCGGTTAGAATGTATTTATCAGGGAAAATATCGTTTACTTTGAAATTATCAAAGATATCTTGAGAGTTGCTATGCACTTGCAAAAATTTTTGATATCATGTTTTACGTTGTAATTTGATTTCTTCGGAAAACTAAAGGAATAAAAACCTGAAAAAAGTGAAGTCCGTGTTCATTATTTAATAGTATATTCGTGTAGCTAAAACATTTTGTGGAAATATCCGGGGAAAAGCGGTCTTGAGAGGAATGGCAGAGTAGTAGGAAAGTTACCAATGAGACCCCCAGACGAGAGTCACGTTGAAGAGTTACAAGCAGTCTAAAAACCATGAAAATAACCTACCTATGGTTAAACATAATGCCATCGATAGTACAGTCCCAGGATATTGAAAACAGTTTGCAGGTAAACCCAAAAGTTATCGGAAATATTTAAGACCAGGTATGAAAGGGCTTATGATTGAAAATACAAAGAATAAACTTTGGTAGTATGCAGTGAAATTTTGGGATGCTAAAAGCTGACAAAATGCATGAAGACATAATATATAAAGATTGAATTGCGTGAATGCCAATTAATTCCCGCTTCTTCGCTTTTACAAGCTGTAGGTAGCTAAAGCAAAGAGTCGGAATATCATAAGAATTTGCAAGCTGTCTGCTTTACTTCCAAAGTTATGACTTTGTTTCGACCTGTCGGGACTGTTCCGAAGTCGAGTTTTGATAAAATGACTAATGTTTCTATTTTTGTCGTTCTTATTTTTGGACGCGCTTGAAGAATAGGTTTGAAGGACCTACCCTGGGTGCCAAGGGTTTGAAAGACCTGGCCCTCTGGCCTAAAAGATTTTCCACCCAATGAAATTTTATGCAAGGCGTCAAATGCATGCAACTTCTCATCAGACATTGATACCAATGGCGACTTCGGCGAAGCTTTTGAACTGTATCGAATAACGTCAAGCATTATCAAACCGGATTCTTATCATAACCGGATTCTTATCATAACCGGATTCTTATCATAACCGGATTCTTATCATAACCGGATTCTTATCAAAAGAAAAATTTTGAATTTCTCAAAACATCAATGTTGAATTCTTTTCAATGAATTGTTTGACACGTTTGACTTGAGTTAAAGATTATTCAGATTATTATTTGATCACCCCCAATATAAATGACTTTGTTGTATTTTGCAAAATCAAATTGCCAAAAAACCGTATAGGTAGGGAGACATTTGATAATTAAGTGCTAATGCAAATTTTTTTATTCATTTAGATTTATAGCTGCTGCAATATGTACTTGGCAGTGAAGATCGCTCTCATTCTTTGCGTCTTGCAGTTGACGAATTTATCAAACACTGATGGTATGTTCACCTAATAGCATATAGGCATCGGATGTGTGTATATTTTTGCCTTCTTCGTAGATTAATTTCATTTCTTTTATTCTTTTGGTGTCTTAAATTGGCATTTCCCCTGTCGAACAGACACTGTTGGCACTTTCATTGTCCATATTTCTTTAGGGACCCGGCACTGATTGGACAACTATATCGGTCTTGTGCTCGTATTTTTCTGATAGGCCTATTTCGATCTCTAAAAGGGTATATTTTTCATCGTGTTCTTTCGAACCCTTATTCCGATGTTTTATGCTCTGAGGAGTGTCAGACGAAAAAGCTTTCAGCCAATATGTTTTGAAATGTTTGCATTATTCAAAGCCTTTTTCAAGTTTTGTACCGCCAAAAAACTGTTCACAAAAATAAGGAGAAAATGTGACGACTGAAAGGCCTGGACACGACCCGAACCAACGATCAGACACAGTACTCTATTTACATATTACTGCGATACAAACACATTAGGGATTGACCTTTTGTGCGCAATAAAGCTGATTCGGAGTAGAGTTATGTTAAAGGCAATCTGTCTCGTTGTGGATTGGTTAACGAGAACAATAGCTGGAACAATAGCCTAAACACGATTCCAGCGCTCCGCCATATTTTTTACAATGCGATAAATTAAAGGGGGACTGGAAACAATAAAAAATCCTTTTGTTCTTATAATCAATCAACGTCGTGACAGATTGCCTTTAAATGTAACGGAAGAGAATCAGAGTTACATAAATCGAATGTGACTGCGCTGCGAGGAAAAACTCCTTCGCAGTCGCATTCCTTTCCGCAACCCGGATCCCCTCTTGCATTTGCACATATTTGCCAGGAAAACGAGCTGCTTAGCAACCTCAAGGCTCTTAGGTCAAATAATTACAAACAAAAAAGAATAAACAGGGAAGAACAATACTATTAATGTAAAAACCTGCATGAAAATTTAATAAGAAAACTCAATAAATCGTTTGTAGACCAAAATTTCGAATTGGCATGAAAGTGTTAACAAAAGCAAATATGCCTTGCGCTGTAATAACTATGGGCATTGAAATAACTCTTTTGCTTTATTTCAAAACTAACAAGCAAACGAAATTGATTGCAAGTTCTGACTGAAAATCTAAAAAAAACTTTCACTCTTTGAAGAGCACGTGCCTAGTTGTTATGGCAACTGAATTGATTTTAACTATCCCTATGATCTCACGACTATCGCCAAGCAACTATCTTGTCATCAACTATGTTCTCGCTGAGTGCCGCCAAGACTCACGGTAGACGTACAGCAAAAACAAAGAGTTGAAATTGTTAAACGAACAGTGATGTCCAATGACTTGAAGCAAATGCTCTATGCAATGCTATGGGTGATGTCAATATTGCTAGGGATGATGTCTCTAAAATCTACTGCAGAATAATCGCTTCACTTAAGCCTGGTTTCCATAAAATCGTAAGAGCGTCGGCGACAGTCTGCGTCAGTCTGCGTTGGTCTGCGTCAGTCTGCGTCAGTCTGCGTTGGTCTCCCGATTTTATGGGAACACTTTTTCTTTGATCGTTATGGAAGATGGAAGAAGGGATCGGCGACACGTTCCCGACTCTTACGATTTTATGGGAACCAGGCTTTAGTAGCATAGGAGCTAAATATTTGCCAAACGTGAAACATAAGTTTTTATCATTGATAATAAGAAAGGAATCAAAATTGCAACTTTCTGTGCTCCATTTGAGCTCAATTTTAACTAGATTTCGAAGGTGATGATGATTTCAAGCGCTAGGGCAAAACGTCATAGAAACGGTTTCTTTCTGTTTTCCTACGTTTGTGGGTAGGACCTACTACTAAGAGATAACTCGATAGTTTCCTTGAGATTTTTGAGAATCAGTTGATAAAAGGTTCTGAAAGCGAATAGCCACAGCGATTTTGCAAAAATCAAAGCGGATTTCCGGATTTTCAAATGACTCTACTGAAGCCTGTTTTCCAGACCTTTTACTTGAAAACGAGAAACCTCGAGCACAGGCTACCATACGTCAACATTTGCTAGAGAGTTCTGGCCAAATACTCTAATATATTGGCTTGATTGTGCCAAAAGTACACATGCATCAGGGCCCGCGCCACTCATCCTGAACTGAAGGGCCAACAATGTGAAAAAAGTTTGTTTAAGCACTTTGCCTTTGTTTAAGCATAATTCAAGCATCGGTTTACACACACAAAAGGAATTTTTAAGAAATATCGATAACCAACGGAAATGAATAGGTTGAGAAACGCCTTCATCAGAACTTTCTGTTCACGCATACCGATTTGAATATTTCCTTTGTTTTTTATTTTATTTGAAGAAGTTTTTTTGAAAAGCGTGACAGGAAAGCACCATGAAAATAAAGAAAGGAGCAGTAAAAAATCCAAAAATAATAATCATTTATCCATTTTAAACTTGATTATCGAGGTCAAAGTGAATGACGTAGCACTAACGTCATATCTTAATTTTACGTCAAAACTGAATCATTTCTACAAAAAAAATTACAACTTCCGACAAATAATATGGAAAATTTTGATTCTAGCACAAAGAATTCAGAAGAAAAGGAAGCATTGTCCATACTGGAAATACAGATGTGAAAGTGGACAGTGCATATACAAATACAAAAAATGTGATGGTGAAAAAGATTGCTTTGATGGTTCAGACGAACGAGACTGTCCTTCCTCATCTTCTAAGCCAGAACCAAGTCCAACATCATCTTACTGCCCATACTGGAAATTCAAATGCGGAAACCGACAGTGTATCTACGAACACCAAAGATGTAACGGTAACTGGGATTGCTCTGATGGTTCAGACGAACGATACTGTCCTTCCTCATCTTCCAAGCCAGCTCCAAGTCCAACATCGTCTTACTGCCCATACTGGAAATTCAAATGCGGAAACCGACAGTGTATCTACGAACACCAAAGATGTAACGGTAACTGGGATTGCTCTGATGGTTCAGACGAACGAGACTGTCCTTCCTCATCTTCCAAGCCAGCTCCAAGTCCAACATCGTCTTACTGCCCATACTGGAAATTCAGATGCGGAAACCGACAGTGTATCTACGAACACCAAAGATGTAACGGTAACTGGGATTGCTCTGATGGTTCAGACGAACGAGACTGTCCTTCCTCATCTTCCAAGCCAGCTCCAAGTCCAACATCGTCTTACTGCCCATACTGGAAATTCAGATGCGGAAACGGACAGTGTATCTACGAACACCAAAGATGTAACGGTAACTGGGATTGCTCTGATGGTTCAGACGAACGAGACTGTCCTTCCTCATCTTCCAAGCCAGCTCCAAGTCCAACATCGTCTTACTGCCCATACTGGAAATTCAGATGCGGAAACGGACAGTGTATCTACGAACACCAAAGATGTAACGGTAACTGGGATTGCTCTGATGGTTCAGACGAACGAGACTGTCCTTCCTCATCTTCCAAGCCAGCTCCAAGTCCAACATCGTCTTACTGCCCATACTGGAAATTCAGATGCGGAAACGGACAGTGTATCTACGAACACCAAAGATGTAACGGTAACTGGGATTGCTCTGATGGTTCAGACGAACGAGACTGTCCTTCCTCATCTTCCAAGCCAGCTCCAAGTCCAACATCGTCTTACTGCCCATACTGGAAATTCAGATGCGGAAACGGACAATGTATCTACAAATACCAAAGATGTAACGGTAACTGGGATTGCTCTGATGGTTCAGACGAACGAGACTGTCCTTCCTCATCTTCCAAGCCAGCTCCAAGTCCAACATCGTCTTACTGCCCATACTGGAAATTCAGATGCGGAAACGGACAGTGTATCTACGAACACCAAAGATGTAACGGTAACTGGGATTGCTCTGATGGTTCAGACGAACGATACTGTCCTTCCTCATCTTCCAAGCCAGCTCCAAGTCCAACATCGTCTTACTGCCCATACTGGAAATTCAGATGCGGAAACGGACAATGTATCTACAAATACCAAAGATGTAACGGTAACTGGGATTGCTCTGATGGTTCAGACGAAGAAGACTGTCCCTCTTAATCTCGCCAGCCAGCACCAGGTCCAAAATTATCTCACTGATTATTTGAAGAAAGAAGTGTACTTATCTTAAACCCTTTTAGCATAATCTGATAATATTGTTTCACTTACTTTTACTTTATTCAGCTTTGCACAGCTTTCTTTGCTTCACTAGCACACATAAATTAATACACACCTTGATGTATTGCTTTAATAAAAGAATTCGCTGAGAATGATCTTGATATTGTTTTCTGATCATTGCATATCCTATTTCTGCCATTAAAGTGAATAATGGACAGAATGAAATCATTAACATAAAGATGCACTGTAATTGGAAATGATATCATTTATAGGGAATAATTGTGAAAAGAGTAAATAGTGAACAACACTGAGGGCTGATTTTAAATTTTTGTTTGTCAATCAGCTATATGGAATTATCAACAGTAATATCTAAAAGAGCACCTCACGCCCAATAGTACAACTAACGTATGAATATAAAAGTTACACGAGGGTTCTTTTAATAGGAATTCGGGCGTTTGTCAATCCTTGTGCCAATGCAAAAATTTTGCATGCTGTTAGGAAATACAAGGCACGGTGTTCTCGATAAAATCAGTTAGCATGGGGAAATTTGCCTGGGGATTTTGTGCAACTGCATCAATGATCCATTACGCAAATGAAAAACATTTTAAAACCCAGGATTTCTTATAAGGATACTAAGACAATTCTTACTCTAGTCATATCTAGCTGTTACCACAAAAACTGCGTTTGTTTAAATTTCAAACTCGATAACATGTTAACGAGAACACTGATATTTGTTATGGTCAAGGATGGCTCAGTGTTTTGGGTCGCGGACTCCAGATCCAAGGGTTGGGTCCTGCACATGACGAAACTTCACTTAGAATGAGAAGAGTTACCTGCTCTCTGTACTTCTAGGCATAGGAATCACGATGTGTGATCACATCGATAGGAAGGACCAGAACACTGCTCGATTATCCTGGCTTCATTGTGATTTAAAAACCACCTTTGAAAGTAGGAAAAAAGAAAACGTTTTCAGCCCTAGGAATGCAATGCAAACGAAATTTTACTGCTGATAGATAGGCTTGAGAAATCAGTATTTGTACCTGTATCTGCATTGGTATTGTATTGTATTGTATTGTATTGTATTGTATTGTATTGTAATGTATTGTATTGTAATGTATTGTATTGTAATGTATTGTAATGTATTGTATTGTAATGTATTGTAGTGTATTGCTACCTTGAATCCGGAGATGTACGACACTGGGAAGCTGAGCTTATCGAGGAGTGTCCTGGTCCTTCCTCTCGATGCGACCACACCTCGCGATTCCTACGCCCGGAAATACAGAGAGCTGGCGACTCTCCTCACTTTGGGTGAAAGTTTGGTCATCCCAGGGACTCGAACCACAGACTCTAGAATCTTTAGCTAGCGCCTCTAGCCGCTTAGCTTTCCTCGCTACAAGAATGCCTGCTTTGACAACCAAAGTATTTTTAATTTGATTCTAAATCCTTTCGATTTGATCTTACAGCGCCAAACCCAAGCTTGTTAACCAGTTCGGGGAATCTATTGCAATATAAATAGAACATTTACATAAAATAAAGTACGTACAGGAAATATCTCTAGCTAATCTGGCACAGTAGTAGACTGGTACCCACTCTGTATGAAGAAGGGTGGTTCACTGTCTTAGTGGTGTAAAAAACTCTATGTTGGAATTGTTTAAGCGATTGTTCCAATACGCGGGAAAGGAGACAACAAAGTAAGCTCTTCGAAGTACAATAAGAAACTTCATCTAGAGATATAACTTTACAGATAGGCCTAACTAAAATTTTTTACCTGATGATAAACGCAAAAATTACAGTTTGAGATATTTAAAGAAAATTTTACTGAATGGCTTTAAATAAATCTTTGTAATGTTACCGCTCAGGTTTTACTGATGTTCTTAATTTTTTGTGAATTGATGTAAAAGTCCACCTAGCATTTTAAACATCTTTTAACTTGGCGAAAGACGTTCACAGTTGAATGCTGAGAAAATGGTGGAACAATTAAGGGTTCCTTTGCAGTGACTTTTAGCATTGGCGGTTTGAAGCATTTCAGCTTGTTTGGTAAAAATTAACATTAATTAACATTAATTAACATTAATTACTCTCTTATTTACTTTTCAAACAGGAATAAAAAGCCTCTAAATACAAGTCAACAAGCAATGAGACAAACAGATAATGAACACGAAATTTAAAAAAAATCAGTAGTTAATGACACGATTATCTACGTTAACCCAATGTTTAAACGACATTTTCTACAAAGGTGTATTTCTAAAAGTCCTGAAATAATTTAGGCCAAAGACGCTACCGATTTATCGCTACCAATACCTTCGATGGTATCTTAATACCTAAGTATTGGTTTTTCAAGAACAGGTTTTCTCATAAAATATTGAAAAGTTATTCACCTTTAGTGAATACTAATAATTGAAAGCGAGCGGAGAAGAACGAAATTCTCTTTTGGTCTTTGTACTGTACTTGAAAACTTCTGCTTGCATCCTCTCATCTTACAGTAGAACCAAATATCGCAAATACCCAGGCCAGTGTACTATTCCTTGGACTTACAAACATTCAAAGTCGACTAAATCTGCCCTAATTTATACAGTACAGGATATTATCGGTAAGAATTTACAAATTAACAATCAAATTTATGTAATAATATGCCACGTATAGTTTCTTTTCAATGTAGGAATACCTTGCATATTTTATGGTATCTTCTTATTTAATAACTTGCAGTACCTTATCCGCTTTGCAAACTTCTTTACATCTTAAAGATATTTTGGAATAAGAATCTACTTCGTATTTCCTTATCACCAACAATATTTAGTGAATGTATTTATAGAATGAATGAAGCTTTACTGAATGGTGAAGCAATATAGATAGTGACAGAGTTCAAGAATTGTGTTTGTCCATTATCCAATCATTAAGAACAGAAACAGAAATGCTCTTCGAAGCAGAAATGTCCTTGAGTGATGAGCTTGGATCCTTGTGGAGCATCAAGTACTATGAAAATAGGTATTATGTAACAGATGTTGTGGTTAGCCTTCATCCTTCGGTGGGGTGAACCAACCTGTTTAAATGTAGACGCAAAGTTAAGGAATGCCTCGACCTGAAAAGCTTACAGTGTTTCGCTTAAGATAAAGCTCTCGTGAAAGGCTCAGCAGAGAATGTGAAGGAGAATCAGAAGCTGCAAGCGAAGTCAAAATCATGGTGTTGTTATCGTTAAAAGGAAAACAGTCACTGATGTTTCATTGATGATTTCTCACGGCTACGCTAGGAATTCAGGCCCCGCTTACACGATACCGGATTCACTTCATATTGGATTCGTTTCATACCAGATAGGCATTCTGTTTACACAATGAGGACCCAATCTGATATGCTTTCGCTCCAGTCAAAGTATTATTAGAACCAGTCAAAAAAGGAAGCTATAAATAAGATGCTGGTTTCGTGAAAAATAATGATGAAAAATTATCAAATTGAGAAGACAGCTTTAATATAAAAGAAAAAATCGACATTTACTGGCAGCAAAATAAGAAAAATAGTATTCTGGGGCGTGTGTGCTGTCCTATAAAAATGATTTGTGAATTTCTGCTTCCAGTGTCAGGCATTCAAATTTATTATTAGAACATTGGCTCGATTTTGAAAATGTAAAAATCTCTTTCACGTTACCGGAGCTGTTCATTTGCTGCAAATTTTCTTAGATAGAAGGTAATATTCAGGCACAGAGAATACTGTTCAATTAACAGTATTGTGAAAAAGGACTTACCGCTTTTTTCGTGTATCTGAACCAAAGATTTAAAAGACTGCTGTGCACGTTGCAACGAATAAATCATATTCGCCTGAAAACCAAACTTAAATTTATTAAAATATTTTAGTAACATTTTTACTCAACTTTCAACCGTCCTGTTCTGTACACCAAATAGCATGTACAGCTCCGCCTGTACGGTATCGAGCACTTTATAACAGAATTGTATAACAGTAACTTTCATTAGTTACATTTTCATAAAAAAATAAGAGGTACCGCCAGAATTCGCAATGCACAGTAAAAAGATAAAAGACGTTTTAGCCTTACATGGCAAAACAGACGAGTGGGCAAAAAAACTTCGGCCGGCTCACCTTTTGCAAAGAGTAAACAAATGACAACAAGTCTTTTGCTTTAAGCGTATGGTTTTTGCTTACCAGCGAAAAATGTGAGCACAGCTAAAGATCTCACTCTTCAAGATATGACTGGCGACCGTATTGATATAAGTAAGTAAATATGTAAGTAAGTACATATTGCAATTAAAGCTCTCTATTGCGAGCCAACAGTTGGATAATGTATAATAATGTATATTATTCATCAATGCATATATGCTTCTCTAATTATTAAATTTAATTTTTTGTTGGTAGCAACCACGTCGTGGAGATATGGCTCCAAAGCTATACGGAGTTATTTCTATATGTCAATTTCGGCAAACTTAATCGTAAAAATTTAATGCTGAGAATTTATATGAAATGGCAGAAAATAAAATAAGAAAAATGTTTAGTTTGTATTAATAAGCTTATTAATTGATATCAATTAGCTTATTGTAATTGTTTATAATTGAGCTAGAAAATTTATCCAACTTTTAGAAAATGTTAAACAAAAAGAGTTGGAAGAGGTAACTTCAAGCCCTTCTGTTACCTTTAGAGAAAACAAGAGCCTTACGGGGCCTTTATCACACGCATGGTGTATCATTGACAAGCAAAGCTATTCCTAGGCCTATGAATTTTGGCATCAACGGTGAATTCATAATATGAAATTAGTGGAAATAAATGCTCATATAAAAAGATTTAATGGCGATTAATGCTTGAATGTTTATATTTTTGGGAGCTTACAATAGAATGAAATATTGAAAACACAGATGTGAGTTATGTTTGTATTAGTGAATGCATTTGTTGATGGAAAGAGGAAGGGAATGTCTAAATGAATCAAACAAATGCTCGAAATTGGACCCATACCCGTGCATTGTCACTGAAATTAATTCTTGCTTTGCCTTTAACGAGAGTTGCTGATATTTGCATAATGACAGCTTCAATTGAATACGCACTACTCCAACCCTGAAAAAAGGGTACTAACAAATTCAGATATTGTCTTTGTACAGCATTAAGCAAAAATAATCAGGAAGGTAGTTCACTGTGCATGCGTGATGCTATAAGGTGAGAATGCCAATGTACCGACCCTGATAATAATATTGGCAACAAAACAGGATTTATTCTATGTCACGCAAACTCCAGCAAGGTTGAATTAAAAAGCTCTATGATCAGGATGAGTGTCGGCAATCTGAAATAATGTTGGACCGTCATTCGAAGACACAGCACTAAATATTGAAATCTTTCAATACACGATTTCCTAGTTGTAATGTTGTACTCAAAATAGCTGTACTATCAATAGAAATTGTGCTAAAATTAAGTATGAAGAAATCGCAATGAGATAGGTAAACTCTGGTGTGATAGTATAGTTATAAAAACTTTTATTTACTAGTAATCAATAGAATGGATAGAATTTACATCAACTAAGCACGATCCATATCTTCGTGCTTTCTTGGGCCATAGTTAAGGGTCTTAGGCTTGATCTTCTTGTAGTAGAATTTCATGGTTTTCTGAATGATATCAAAGTAGTAATTGACCAAGGAAAGCCACCCTTATGCGATCCACGAATTATTATTATGCATAGAAAGTTTAAAGTTAAAAGAGGTAATAAATTTATGCACGCTGTGCAGATCGCAAAGTTTTCTTGCTTTTAATGCTAAAAATAAGTAGGAAATGACAAACTTACCTGTGGAGTTAGCAACTCCATACAAATGGCTCCTCCAGTGAGTACATAACTACAAACAAAGAGGACGCATGACTTTATAAAATCTTAAGATTGTCCTAAGATTGGTAAGAAGATTTAAAGCCACGGTCAATGAAAAACATCATTGCAACGACTCTAGCTGAAGCTTCTAATACCATAATAGGGTGACTGATGGTAAGTACTTGAAAAATGAGTGAAAACTCCATGGGTGTTGGGAATATTCGAAAGAATGAATGTAGGAAAGAGAAAAACAGGGCAATCGAGAGAGAGAATGACGAAATGACAGAGGAATGAAAGAAGAAAAACATAAGAAAGAGAGAAAAAAATAAACAGACAAAAAAAACAAGCAAACAGGCTGAGAAGCCAAAAACAAGAGAGAAGGAATTAAAAAAGAAAGAAAGAACAAAAGAGACAAAAAACAAACAAAGCAAGTAGGAAAGAATCGACAGAAGAAAGAATTATAGAATAACAAAGGTCAAAAGTGGACCTCATTCTAATTCTGGTTTTGCTTTGCAAAAATCATTCTCCAACCCTGCCTCACTCAAAAATTATTTTGGGATGGAACATATATTCTGTTTTGACTGAACCACTCGCTCTGGTTAAAGGCAGTCTGTCCCCTTTTGTGCTCAACTTTATTTTCACGGGAGTGAAATTCACGCACCGTTCAGCTTGATCGATAATTAAACGTTTTAAACCAACCAGAAACAACTTTGATTCCAGAGCTTTTGAATCAAATGACTGTGTTCCCGTTGTAGTGAAGCGGTGGCTAGAAAAATATGGCTCCCTGTTTGGTTTGTGCGACAGATATGTTAACAGTGAAATGAAATGCTTCCATTATCATCATTCAATTCCAATAATTAAATCTTCTTGTCGTTCCCGATAGCTTTTTGCACGCAGTTTCAAATGTCGTCCACTACCGCAGCTAGGCCAGCCAAAGCAAGCATCGTAATCCGTTATCCGTTAAGGCGGCAAGACCTATTGTTCATATTAGCCAATCATTGAAGGGACAGACTGCCTTTAAGCCTTAGAGTTTTCTTGTCTTAACAAAATGCTGGCTACTCGACTTTATGTTTACAACTTTCAGCTGGCAAAAAAAACGATTCTTTTTATTCAGACACTGCATTAAATGCAGGTGTATGACTTGGTTTTCAACAAAACTGTGGAAACGAAACAGTGAATGCAAATAAAAGAAATAATAAAAAAGAAATGACGCATTTAGAAAGTCATCGAAAACAATAACCTAATAAAATTGAGCTCTTAAAATACTAAAGGTAAGCAGCAATCACCTTTGCCTGATAAAGGGAAAAACTGATGACGTACCACTAACTATGTACAACAACTTAATTTTGTACACATGACCTGAACTTTTGAAATGAGTTTTATCTGTTACAGGTTGCCCAATACATAGCCACATGAGCAGAGGTTTTTGCCCCATCAAACCAATGAAATTTGGCCCTTGTTCTAAAGCTTAACAACCAGGCCGAAACAACAGAAATCCATTAGCAAAACCTGGGACATTCAATGACCATCTCAACCGCATTGCAACCATGTTACCCATTGGTGGTATTTCATTGTTTCCTTGCTGCTCATGTGGTCAAATTTTTAAGATTCTAAGAATAGATTAATGACGCCATCACTTAAACATTCTATTGCTAATACCGTAAATCCTTGAAATCCTTGAATTGCCTCGAAAAAGTCCTCCCCTCAAATAAGCCCCCACCCTAGAACTACAAATTGTCAATAAGCCCCCCCCCTCGAATAAGCCCCCACTGCTACCGTATATTCTCGAATCGGACCCCTCAATTTGACGGTTTCTGCCATCTGAGGTTGCCTATGGCGTTTCATTGAATTACCACGACAAATTCGTACTTTTGGTAGTAATTAACTAAATGCTCATAAAGAAATTCATACTAAAATAAACAAGGTCTTTTAATAATGTCTTCTTATTGTCTACAATAATTTTATGAGCCCCCCACCCTCGTATAAGCCCCCCTCTCGAATAAGCCCCCGTCCAAAAATATAAAAAATAAATAAGCCACCATGGAGCTAATTCGAGGATTTACAGTATGTTTAGGAACACATAACATGAATGAAAATTGTGTGTCATTAATAGGTACATACCCTCCAGTAAGAATAGGATAACACACACGAACGAAAGGTGGCTGGAATGGAAACCTTTCCTGCAAAAAAGAAATGTTAAATTATGAACAACTCGCGGAATGAGAATCAAAGGAATGCGTTTCAGTGACAATAGATCTAATAGCCAACATCAAGAGCCACGCGCATATTCAACTTGAAGTTAGAGAAAGGCTAAAGTGCCTCTAGCTAGGCTCTAACAAGGGAAAGGAAGGAAGGATTAGGAATAGAGGAATAATCAAGCTTATCTATTTTTGATTTGAATGAAGACAGGTGGTCTGGAAGAGTCTGGAAACAGGAAGGGGGTAGAGTAATCAAAGCTTTACAAGATTTAAGGAGGAAGGAAGATACTGGGCGGGTTTGCAAATACCTGAGGCAGTTGTCTAATGGCAAAACGAAATCAAAACAGCCAACACAACGAGCAAACGATTCAGCTATGTCAAAAATTACAGCCAACAGCTAAACAAAAATGTCATATTTTGAAAAGATTTCCAGGGTTTTTACTATGAGTTGGATTTTTTTCTTTGATGTCAAAAGACCTCGGTGCTTGCCCGGGACAATTTAGCATTGAGTAGCAATGAGCATCATACTTTATAGAAACAAGCGGAATTTAAAGAACGTTAAAATAGATCTTCTAGAAGAACCTATCTTAAATTTTTGCTTATGTACGGTTTATTTTAAGATGTTTAGGGGCTAAAGGACGGGACAAAATGTGTAATTTTACAATAAGTTGCGTCAATTAGGAAAATCTCCATTCATGGCAGAGACAGGGATTAAAACATTAAGAGTTGGGTTGTGAGTTTTACTATGAAACTTTAGAAAGTAGTCATATTGCAAGAGGCTGATACATATCCTTTTGTGAGGATAGATTTTCACTCAAATGCTTCAGATTGCACTTGCAAAACCCATTAGGAGTGAAGCTTGGTCTTCATTGGCAACCAAGGCAGGCTTGACACAAGCATAAGCTAAAGAGTACTAAAACATTCCGTTTCCAGTAAGGATATTCGCAGCACAAGCACAATTGCTGCATGAAATAAGGCCAAGCCTTATGCTTGTGCCTAGTCAGTTATCACTAGCAAATAAGGTTTTTGCTGGCATCGTGTTTGCTACCAAAGGAAAAAAATTGTTCTTTGTTGTTAAAGGGGTGTGACGGAAGTGCATGTATGAGACTGAAGGCAGCAAACGGAAATATTCAAATGAAGATTGATCCTTGATATTGTGCCTATTCCGGAAACATATACCTGCCTACCTGTTACACCCGGATAACTCTCTCGGAAAAAAGGCCTATACAGAAATGCATTAAGCATCGCCGAGTCAATATGATATCATTTTTCAAAAATGGGATTTATTTATGTCATATGTGTGTAATAGTATATGTAGAACATAGACTTACTGTAAAAGTCATGCTTAATAAGACTCCATCAGCCGTTGCTTCTTGTTTTTTAAGAGTCTGAAGGTCTTTGTACAACTTGCTTTCTTTATCAAAACTGTAATGTCAAACAACATCAGTTAATTGAAACCACCATCGTAAATCATCATTGTAGTTTAAGCTGATGATACCTATTCACGATCGAGCCTTTCGACAAAGTATTTCTGTTCCTAAGGCTCGCATTTGACAACTCCACCTTTTCATAATTCAATAAAACTTTGATTCCATTTGATATTCAAATTATTCCACAATAAATGTATAAATTTCAATCAAAAGCCTCTTTTGGAATGTAATACTCGAATCGAGTTTGATTGCACAGAACAACAGAAAAAGTTAACGCCATTACAACTATAATATTTTGCTAAACTTTGTTTATTGGCAAAAAGTGTGCACCTCACAACATTAAAACGTAAACACTGGAAAATGAAAGCTAAATTTTTACAGATTATCAAAGTATTGCTGATTTTGAAATCTGATTTTTCATGTATTTTAAAAAAAATTTCGGAATCATTTTCATCTGTTAGTCAGTTTTATTTTGTAATTTTGAAAACCAGTTGAGAAACAAAATAAAAATTTTCTAAGAACAACTTTAATTCGCTTGGTTTGAAACGCTTAAAGATTTCAAAACTTAAGAGACAAAGAAACATGAATCTAAGTTCGGCTACATCAGTATTCAGAAAATTACAAAGCTATTATACGAAGACTGTGAGGAAAGCTCAGTGGCAAGATTAGCGGACTACAGATCCAATTGTCCATGGTTCGAGTTCCTGAGAGTTGCCAGCTCTCTATAATTACAGGCGTTGGAATCACGAGGTGTGGTCACATCGAGAGGAAGAGCCAGGACACTGTGTGATAAGCGCAGCTTCTCAGTGTCCTAAAAACACCTTCAGATGCTAGGTTGCAACAGATAAAGACAAAGTGAAAAGATCTACCTTTTTAATTTGATTCTCCAATCATATAAACTATCTTCGTTGAGTTCAACAGTATACGAACCTATAAACACAATGATAACGTAAGCAACGCTGAATAAGAGGCTGTGAAAAAAGGGAGTCTTGCAAAAGATAAGATGATATATGAAACACTAGAAGAGGCACTTTAAAAATGCCTCAAGGTTTCTTGCCTCCATTTGTAAATAGTTCGACCATTCATTTATGGTGTCTCCTGTTCGGGTGAAAATAAATTCTAAATAGAAAGTGTATCTTCTTTTCCTTGCCATTCTAGAAAGTATTTGTTTAGAGTTCATGAAAAAAACACACGAACACGAGGGAACGATTGTTTCGACGTTTATAAGAACTCGCAATTAGGCAAAATTAGCGGAGCGTTTACGTGATATAGCAACGCAGATGTCGGAGCAAAAGTATGACGTGATTGCCTCGGCCGGCCAGTGGTGCAATCAAGCTGGAAATTTGACCTTGAAGAAAGGAAAGCTGGAAAATCCAACCAACTGCATAATCTTTTAATTCACTAACATAGAAAATGAGCCTATCAGTTTGTTTCTAGATTTGACATGGTGTTCAAGTCTAAGCTGATCAACTAATTGGCTGTTTAAAACTTTACAGAACAATCGCTAAGTGAGAATACATAAAGAATAATGACCCTGAAAGAAGAGATGAGATTTCTCTGTTTCGGCGTAACACCAAAAATAGTAGTAATTTAGAGACTGGAGCTTACTCAAGTGTTGGTAAAACGGCGTTAAAATTATTATACGTGTGTCATACACAGACATAAAGATGTATACCGTAAACCTTTTTCTAAGCCCCCTCTTAATTTAGCCTCTTCTTCATTAAGCCTTGTCTTCATGAATCTTTTTCCCATTAAGCATTTTTATTATAAAGCCTTCTCTCCTTCTTTTTAACGTAAGAATTGAAATAATCATCTATCTACATTATGCACATGTCATGCAAAGGTCGGTTGATACGACTGCACGGTCAACCTGATTTAGAAAAAGCCACAAGAAGTCAGCCTGGATGATACTGAATACCCAAAGACAGGAACATCGAAGCGGGAACAGGAACTAGGCCGTATCTAAGGTTTTTTACTGACATGAATAGGAAGATTAAACAGAAAAATAAAGAGTTCACAACACATGAAACTTTGTTACAATTAACAAAGAGATTAGTTCTTTCAAATGCTTCCTCTTTGTAACCTCTCCTCGATAGTAACCCCCCTCTTTACAATTCATCCCTTAAAGCCCAAAAGATCAGCTGCAATATTCCCACGGCTTCGCAATGCTTTATAGAGTTTTACGATACTTACACTCCTGGTTTAGAGAAAACTATTTGCTAATTGCAGTCAAAAATCTGGAAGGTATGAAGTTGCAGCTTTGTGATTCCTACGAGCGCAATAATGGGGCAACTGGTGCGATTTCAAACCTTCTTTTTCAAGACATTCAGTTACAATCTTGGAGATATAGTGTTGAAGAATCTATTTAGTTTCGAGAAAAAGCGTTGCCAAAAGTTGCATGACATATTCTTGGCATTAATGGAGAAAAGCCATTTTCTAGGCAAAATAAATATTGGCTTAGAAATATAACGGGTTTTAAAGAAACAGATACGCTGTCAAAGAAGTAATTAAGTTTTTTGGATTGGATCTCAGGAATTTTGTTCAACTTCACGAAATCAGCTTCACCGTGTTGTAAAACTTGTTATTTCTTGATCCTTTTCTAATCTTGTCAAGATTTTTCAATGCAACTAAAGCCTTCAGAAGGTGCAGAGGTCAGTTAGAATCTGTGAAAACTAATATCTCATTGAACATTAACCATCCACCCACTCAATGATCTCTTCATAATCAACTGGGTCGTGTCCTTGTGCAATGATGTCACGTCATATTACTTGCAATCAATATCGCATATAAAGACATGCCTGCTAAAAAGGCTAGTTATATAGGTAGTTATATGGTTCCATGTCTTTATAGATGGGCCTAAAGTAATGTAAAGGATAACACCATGGGTGTAAAACCGGGGGCAGGGCCTTTTTTAGCATACTAACTGGGGGGCAATCACCTCTCCAGCCCAAGTGATCGTCAATTGTTTTAACCCATTGGCTATCGTCCTCCTCTTTATATTAACAAGGCTTCCTTTCTCCCCACCTCCCCATCTCCCCCCCCCCCCCCACCGAAACTAATTTCCATTCGAAAAGGCTATAATTTTTAACAATCGTACAGATCGTGTTCAGCCTCGTTAGGTTGTTCCGGCCTCTTTTGGCACAATCACCATATGAAAGTATCAAAAATGCAGGAAGTAACAGAAACGTCACAGGACTGATCTTGTTGAACTCTAAATTTGACAAATACGTAAGACAAACTTGTATTTATTCATGTTCTTGGCCATGTGTCCTGAACCAACGCAGAAACGATGCAAGATTGCTACATTTCAAATCAAACTAAAAAGCTGGTGCAAATCACTGTTTTTTCAATAAGACTTTTTGAAAAACTGAAAGAGAATGTGCAGGAGTTGAAACATCGAATGAGCTTGAGACTCACCTATTCTGAAACTCTCTGATTTGTAAACATTTCGTAGCTCTTTCATCAATCTATCCGTTGCTTGAACAGAGCCACTGAATGTTCCCTGATTAATTGAAATAAAAATAACAATAATATGAAATATAAAAAAATCTGATACTTTAAAAGTGGGTGCCAAAATGAAAAAAGTATGGAATCCCGAACAGTACCAACATTCTTTCACCTAATTAGAGGAGTTGAAAAGAAGAAATTCCATCTGTGGGGCAATTCACTCTTTTCCACAGGGGATTCTCACAAAAACAAAAGGATTTCCAACAAAGGTGTACGAGATTGTCATGGAGTGATTTCCCCTTGGTAACATCACTAAAAATTAATAAAAGAAGGGGGCCTAATAACAAAGTTGGAAAATTGTAAATGCCATTATTTAGGGTTTAATAAGCAAATGAATGACATCTATAGTAAGAAAAATTTACCCAAAGGCTTAAATTACAAATTTTCTGAGGGCAATTTGTCAATCATTCATTACTTTAAACAAGTTCAAATTTATAAAAATCTATCACTACAAAGTTGCATTATCATATCTGTTGCTGAATATAACATTCACTCTTTCATCTAAAATGAATAAAGTTTGATTGCAAGAATTTTTTCTGACAGGTTTGTTTCTTCAGCTATGTAGATTGTGATAACAGACCTACCTTTAAATGTTCTTCCCTGTGATTCAATCTTATTTTTTCAAGAACAGCAAAATTTTCAGCACCAATTTCATCTTTTTCTTTGGATTCTTGTCTAAAAATAAGTTAAAAACGTGCTAGTCCTACCACTATTCAGAAATGATAGCATATGTTGACCCAAATGGAGCAACATGATCCAAATTTAGGTAATAAAGTTGTTTTTCAAAGCTTTTTAGCTAGTGCAGAAATTGGCTTGGTCTCAACAAACATTTTAAGAGTTTTAAAACAACAAACCTTGATAAAACTTGACCTAACAAACAGTCATACATGTTAATTAAGTTAAGAAGTGTGAAAATAAAATCTCCTTCGCAAACTAGTATTTCAAAATAAGTTAAAATATGAAGTAATTGACTATTGAATAATTTGTTCTTTGTGCTTCAAAGTCTCAATAGCATAAAAAAGCAGCTAACATTTTTTCATGCATAGGGTTTTTTTTTGCTCAGGGCAAATTTAAGGTATTTACAACCAGCAAATGTAAATGCCAAAAAACGAAAGAGACATTATGACACGATTGACAGAGTAAGGTCGCTTTTTGATAATATCCATTTTAAAATCATGAAAGTAAATAAGTCAAGATTTGTGTAGAAAATTTTTTGTTTTGTTACTAGTTGACTTTCAATCTCACATCAATAAATATTCCCATTATCTTTCTGGTCTTTACCCAGTCACGCATACTCTGAGAAATGTGGGCCAAAGAATACAAAGTGTGTTTTGAGAATGCAGCAAAATTGGGATGATGCGTGTGGGCCATGCTGCAAAGACACTTTTGTATTTGTATTTCTGCATTTTGCTACCTGGCATCTAGAGGTAGTCTTTACAACACTGAGAAGCTGTGCTCATCAAGCAGTGTCTTTGCCATTTCTCTTGAGGTAACCACACCTTATAATTACTACCCTGGGATTACAGAGAGCTGGCCACTCTCCTTACTCTCGGTGCAAGTTTTGTCATGCTAGGGGCATGAACCACGGACCCTTGGATCTGCAGTCAGCATCTCTAGCCATAGAGCTATCCTCAAACACTAATATGTGGCAAGCCATCCAAGGATTGCATAAAGAATAAATAGCACTACAGATTCCTGATCTTTTTAGCCATGGGATAGGATAAAGAATGTTAAAGAGCTAAAAATGGCATGGCCAAAAAACTTACGAAGCAGCATCTTCTTCAAACTCTAGTTCTTCATCTAGTTCAAAATCATCTTGATCCTAAGGAGTAAAAAAACTTAATGTTACTTTTGGTTGGATGAGATGGAAAAAATTGATTCAATTAGATGTCAATTAGATGATTAGTTAATATCAAGTTGCTGTAGAAAAAAATTAAAGTCAACTCAATGAAAATAAAGAATGGTCACTTCAACTTCAAACAATAACACATCAGATTATTGTGAACTTGATTAATGTTAAATTCATATTTGGTGGAGAATCTTTGCTATAAAAGATACAAGATATCCAAAGCACTGATATATGTGAAATAATTGACGAAATTCAGAAACAGGATAATTATAAAATTTTGACAAAGACTTTTTGCCTCTGCTATCCACCTTGCAATGATTAAAGAAAAAGAAATCATGAAATGGAAACACCAATATTTCCTTTGCTCTTTACCTGCTAAGTAAAACTGATGTTTAAGAATAAATTTACTTTTCTAATTATGCAGTTGCAAATTTCAGTTCCTCTACAAATTTTTCACTGCTTCAGTTTAGCATCATTAAAGAAAAGACAGGCACAAGGAAAAATGGCATATTTTGATTATGCATGCCAATTCAATTAAGATGACCTGACAACATGTGGGGTATCTTGAAAACCAAGCATAAGGGTAAAAAATACCTCAATGCCTTCATCTTCATTTAAGTCTGCATCATTTTCAGCTATGTTTTCAGTGGTGGAATTCTCCAGTTCACCCTAACAAAATATGATACACGATACAAACCATGATAAAAAAACAAACTACAACTATTTTAAAAAATCCACATTGACAGAATCATAATGAGATATTATTCTGACAAAATTTAAATCTTTTGCATATTCAGATGAATGAAATCTTTACCAATTTTATGCTATCTGCATATGTTGATATTCTACTTTCTGCAAAAATATATCTTAAACTGATGATGCAAAAACAGATTATAAATATAATTGATGATGCAAAAACAGAAAAAGCAGATGATGCAAAAACAGAACTTATTCTGAATGTTGTCCTTCTGTGGCTAGATATTGTTTTGATGCTCAAATTTAATACAAAATCTTATTAGCAAGTGTTTAAGGAATTTTATAAATTAACTTCTTCTTGGCCCAGAGCATTCACATTTCAACAGAAAATTTATATTCAAGGGCAAATGGGTCTGAGCAATGAGAAGAGTTAGAGATCTGTTGATACTCATTTTATAAGATTATCGGCAGGAGGTGCTCAAACCTAATATGGGGCTTAGGGAAATTTCTACCCAAAACTCTGAACCATATCCTACTCTTCAGGGAAGTGAAATTATTAATGAGCATCTCATTTGAGTTTACTATACAAGTTGTTGAATCCTAAAACCGTTACAATCAAATGTAGTTGCCACTCACTAAAAAATTTGGTACAACTTATGCAAAATTTTGCATAAACACATGGGTACAGCAAGGGGCAGATTTTAGAAGCAAAGATTGTATGGGGCTAGATAATGAGTGGACTTTGGTGCCACATCCTGCCTAGAAAATGATCAAAATTACCTTTTTTGCAATTCAATTTTAACTATAAGATTCAAATCCTTGAAACTTTAAGAGTTGAAGAAAAGAAGAAAAATAAAACATAATCTTACACTTAATTACTTATTACTACCAAAAACATCTATATCAAATCAAAGCAAATGTGACCTAATATCAAAAAAATATTGGGGGCTGTTGCATTACCCAAGCCCCACAAGAAAAGTCTGTCCCTGAATCTAGCTTTATAACTTGCCAAATGATTAAGGTGTATATTGTTTATTATTCATTATTAAAAAAGATTTTCTCTTACCATTACAGACTCATCATCTAAATTTTCCAAATATGACGGTACTGGGGTATTTATCGTTCTCAGCAGCTCCTTTACAAGGTACCTTGTCATAGCAAGAAGAAGTCTGTTTGACTGTGTGCTTAAATTGTTCACAGCCTCTATAATATCTGTAACCGCTGCATCCTCTGACTCTGAAAACCACATTGGAGGTGGCTGTGGATATATCCCCTAAAATTCATTCAGATATTTTCAGAAGTGGGGTTTACAGAGGTTTTAACTACTTGCATATAGACAAATTTGTTGCCTGTTTGTTGCAAAAACAGATAAATGTTGAAAACTGGAAATACACACATAACATAGAGGAAACAAAAACAGGCTATGCTGTCATTGTCATTCACACATAATGAAATTAGCTATATATTAATATTATGCCTTATAAGAGGATGTCCATGAACTATTTGAATTTGTCATCAGCTGGCTATATATATTCAACACTGTTGACATAATTGCTAAACCTATTCCACAGTATAATTTCATATCATCACAAGGAAATGACAGGTTAGTCTATTCCAGATGGCAGTGTCAAATTAGGAAGAGAATTTTGAGGAATTAGTGAATACTTTTAATCTCTTTTTGAAAACAGAAAAAATGGCATGGAGATTTCCATAAATTCTAAGAAAAAAGAGAGTATTCTTTTTTACCAGAAACTGAATATCAAAGGTCCTTGCTTATGAAACACTGAAAATCAACTTAAAGAAGCAAAATATATTTAAGTGGCGAGATTCAGACTTAAACGTACAGTGATGTTGCAGGATACGACATGCTTCATCCCATTCTTTCCAATAAAATGAAATGTCAGGTCGTCAAGGGTTGCAGAAACAGTTCTGAAAAACTCATGTGTCCTTGGAAAAGTATTTTGGATATGCTTCACTTCAAACTTCAATCCTTGTAGGTTCTGCGACATATTTTTACGCCTTTTGGTCTTCACCAGGTTCGTGGCGTCGAGTATAGATCAGAGAATGGCTGCCAGGACTTGACACGTTATAAAATGGCTATCACTTACTTAAACCAACAACTAAACCACACAATTCGATCATCTCAACAGCTTGAGCAGTGCTTTTTCATCAAAAAGTTTATTTTCTTGATAACCATGCAATGCCGAGTCATAAAAGTATGCAAAATCGTGGCCCTCTTTCAGCAAAGCTCGCGCTGAATTCAACAACGCAACATCAACAGTAAGAACTCGATTGTTGGTTTCCTCATTCCGATATCCGTTGGTCTTCCTACTTCGATTTAAAAAAAATAATTATATTTTGAAAAATATACTGCAAATATTTTGAATCAAGAAAGAATCACTTCTTCCTGGAAAAGACTTGATAAATCACAGATGAATTTCCACCAAGCGAAGGCCACCAAAATGGCCTAAGTTACGTTGCTGTATAAAAGAGCAACAACAGCAACTGTAGGTTGTGTGAGTTAGTGGTCACCAAGGTTATCGAATTGCCTTCTTAAATACAGTTTTAGTTTACACTCCAAAGATAGTTTACACTCCTAATGTATACGCCCCGTTAATACCAGTTTATCAGCTGCAGGTCAACCTTCTTTAGTGAAATGAAACCTAATTAATGATAGCATGTGGTTCCAAACAGTAAAAACCATATATGATATGCTCTTTTGGTACACTTTGCAAACGCTGGATAATTAATTCATGTCCCTAGTTTGCCACTTTTCTTTCAGATATAAACTACACTACCAGGGGAAAATATTCCAACACCTGCGAAGGCAAATAATAGGGTTTGCGGAAATAATTTTTTGCTACTTGATTAGACTATTGTTTAATCAGCCAACAACACCCAAGTAAGAAAAGAAATCAGTCTAATGGATGCTTCAACTTTCTCTTTTCGAGTTAAAAGAGGAGATTCCCAAGCGTTACCTGTTTGCCAAAATAAGATGTGATAATTATCTATCAAAGTGCTTGGACAAATGTTTATGCAAGAGTCTCTTTCATCAATTATCGCCACAGATCCTGCAGTCATGCCTAAATTGCAGTGCAAGATTTCCTTTGTGATGGGGTGCAGAAAATGAACCACTCTTCTGTTTTCTAAGTTCATTAACTTTACTTTACTGACTAGTACCCTAAAATTACTTCACCATTTATCCAGACAAGCAAGCTTAAACAAACTTTCGACGAATATCTGGTAAATTGTTTGGATGTGTTACTGCCATTGCTGAAACACTCAATTCTAATACTTGAATACTTTAAGAAAACTTATATTTTCTAAAAGCAAAAGACGGGGGAAACATCCTTAAATAGGGAGCAGATGTAGGCGAAACAGGCCCACGTTCACTAGCTGAAATAGATATTTTTCCTCTGTGTCTGACAGGTGGGTAGGGGACATCAATGTGCCCCTTTTACCCTCGTGCTCCCTGATTCCTATGTCTATCACTATAAGAACACATTTTTGCAGCAAATCTAACTTTCATGATTCCTTTCTCAATTACATCAGAGATGATCACAGTAAAACGCTTTAGGTGGGCGTGAGGAGTGTGAAACCTAACCCGAAAAAGCGCTGCAAAAACTAAGAGTTTTTTGCTAAATAGAGGCGCTTAGTCGGCAAATCAAACTTGTCGGCAAGTTAAGGATGGCTCATTCACTTCGTCGCGAAATAGGACCTGGATACCCTCTTGAGTACTATTGCTAGCAACGGGCCTGACTGAGCAAAAGCTTGCTCTACTCAATGTCAACAGTTTTTCATCCAACATCCTACGCTAATTTTTTCCCAGGTCAGGTTTTGGCTTATCGTTGTTTATACATTTCTATAATTGCCTCTTAACTATTCCTTTATCATATAAGAATTCGCGGCAAATCTTCTCTCAGTGCAAAGTTGAGGCCTATTTTTTTGCCATTTTCGTCCATCAAAAAATATAAACAAACTTGGAGAGCTTTCCTCATTCTTAGAGGAAATGTTGTTGTTACGTTTGCTAGCAGCCCTTTGGGGCCTTTTCCTCTCCAAGGGGAAATCGGCCATTCCAATAAGAAAAGTCTATTTTCCAGCTTAAGAAGCTCCTAAACCATGACAACGATATGCGAAAACAGCTTTTCTCCTATAGCAAATGTCTTTTCTTTGTCAGAAAATCTTATGCATGTAAACATCCTCGATTTTCTACAAGCAGTTATTTCTTTGATATTGAAAAATAGACGCTTGCGCCTTTGAGCTAAATTTTGCGAAAAATAATCTTTAGTCACGCAAACAGTGCAAGTCCAAAGCAACTATAGGAAGTGCATACTTTTAGGTAATTCAATGCAAGCTGTGTCTCTTGCAGTAACAAAGTATCTACACACCTACCTCTTGCAACGGTCACCTCTCGACAACGAACATGGTTTGTCCTAATTGGTCAAAACACTCTAGGAACCTCTATACAACGGACAATTTCTCTGGTTTCAAACGGTGTCCGTTATACGGAGGCTCAACTGTACTCTAAAAAACTGTATAGAACTGTATCAGAATAACTGAATTTTCTTTTTATTCATACTTTGTTGCAGTTTATGTCTGAATTTTAATTCAAGTCTAAATGTTGGTTGGGTTTTACCTTGTTGTGTGACTAGAAATTAAACTGCTCTCATCACTAATTTTAAGCAAGACCCATGTCTATAAACCTTAATGAGGTGACTGGAATACCTGTATTGTGAATATGTGGTTTTAGGGATATCTCCATTGTGGTTATTACACTGTTTCCAGCAAAGTCAGATATACCATCGAGCTCATCATGTGCCCCTCTTTACTTCACTTCTAACCTAATTTACTCTTCTTCAGGTTTTCCTTTTAAAAAATATACTGAAACCTTACGATTACTGTTTTGATTACAAAATCAGTGCAAAACGAGGAAGGTGCGAGGAAGAGAGCACTCTTAATCGCTCTTTCTTATTAACTTACCTAAATACTGAATTCTTAAAGCAAAATTCGCATACCTCACTAAATGCCAAGAGAGACCATCAATTTACTCAATCAAGAAATATTCTACTCGATATCCATTTAATGTGTTAAACGTAGCACAATGTATTAATTTTTTTACGTAAATCAACCAAGGTCGTTAGTTATTGTGAAATGCGTTTATTGCAGAACAGTGACAAGATTTCCACGCTTGAATAATTTTTTTAATTGGTAATGGAATAACATTTGCACAATTCCTTGAAGTTCCGAACAAAAGAGACCTTGATCTGTGTTCAAATAAATTGTTAGCACAGCTCTCCTCTGAGGTCTGGTCGCGCTATTGTTGTTTTGATAGTATGCAAGCAATCACACTGCATAGTGAACACATAAAAGTTGATGCCTCCGACGTTGCTAGTTAAATAGAGAAGAAGCGTGGCCAAGCAAACGCAGATTCAAGCTTAAGCAGGTCGACCTCATCTGGAAACAAAGAAAATCGCCGAAATCTACTTGTGTAATTGCGTTAAACCGCCAATGTTGCAAACACGAGTTCCATTTGTCATGAGGGCTAATTCCGAATAAATGCTGGATTTTTTAATGCTCTGCGATATTTCTTCACGTCAGATAGGCAGCTCGGGCAAGTGGAAAATCGAATGTTGTCAGTAAACAAAGTCGCATAAATTTTTACACCAATCGAGGAGGAATCGAAGATTTTCGGCAAGTTTCCCCTTTTCGTGCGGTAATCATTACTGCTGTGAGTGCAATTCATGCTCAATCGAAGATTACACATCAGGACTTTAGTGGTTATGTTCTGAAGTAATAGGGGATCGTTGATTAGATAAAAACTGATTTTTGTGGTACCGAAAACATCTTGTATCTAAAAAGCGGAATAAAAAAAGAATGGCCGGAGTCGAATCATTATGCGTGCTTGGACAGTCAAAGCCAATCGTGGAAAACAAGACCAAATCAGTGATATCGTCAACCAAATTAAAGAACATGAAAAACAGGCCAATTGAGAAAGTGTTCACGGCATCAGGGCAAGCCCCAAGCCCAAGCAAAGATTTTTTTGAACTGATTATTGCTAAGGATCGTGTGATATGGCGAGCATGGCGCATTAAATACAAAAACCATAGAATGATTATGCCTTCTGAAGAGTGTATCAGCTATGATGAATTTCAGGATGATAATAGGATCCAAACTGAAATTTTCAGGAACCTCGGCGACGACGTCTTGCAGGTATCCCTTGGTTATGTCTCTAGGGAATGGATTGCTCGACTGCCTTCTTCCGTATTGAGAAATATTGCTGCATATCTTAGTATCAAAGACATCACCGTTTTATCACAGGTAAGGTGGACTTTGAGTTGGGAAAAATGAAGGGGTATGGTTTTCTATAAGCCCCAATGCATTTAGCAAGGGGTCTTGAGCCAGGGGAATCAGCGGGGGGGGGGCTGAAAACCCCATTGATGCCGGAACGTAAACATTTACTGCCACTTGCTATTGTTATTCGAGAGTTTTTGTAATTGTCCCCACTGAGCTATACCCCTAATGAAAGTGTATAGTGAATGTTATCTTTTCTTCCAGAAAAGTTTTTCTATAATGCATGCATGGTTTCAAACTATTTTTTTCGAAGGTCAGGGAAGTTCTATATATTACAGAAAGCAGATAATTTTCAGTACAGTTGTGTGCAAATATATGAATTCTTGTTCACTTGAGTAACCTTTGTTTTATGAACTCATGATAAGTCGCTAATACCTGCCCTACAATCTATGAATAGTTCCTATCTATTGTATGGTGATGTCCCTGGTGATGTCCTGGCTATCACAGGTAAACGAAAATATCTCTTTTCAAGTCAGTGGCACCACTTCGATGTTTTATATCAATACAACTCACTCTAGATAAATGAGACCCTGTACAAGTGGGGACTTTTAATATGTGGAACCTATTTTTCACTACCCTTGAGCTAACCAGTAAAAAAACTATTAGCCTGCGCGAAATTAAATTTCACGAAATATATTACTTTGGCTCACTAATGAAGATAAATTCCCTCGATAACTGCATGGAATATCTTCTAAAATAAACCCACTAGGGTTTTTAACAAATTCACGTTGTGTCACCCCTCCCATCCTAGCCTAATAACCAGATCCACTATTTGCTTTGGAACCGGGGTCTAGTTATCAGGCTTCTTCCATCCTAGCTTCGTACAATCTCTCGCTGAATGTTCATTTTTCTACTTTTGTCCCACTCACCAGAAGATTCGCTTAACTGGGACATTTGCAAAGTGGAGCAGATAATCAATGTCATCGGAAGGTCCAAGCTAATGGGGCACATAATAGGGAAATTATTCAGGAAATCAAAGTAACCACGTCTAAAGACATTAGGAATAACGCGTGCCCTGACAAATCAAGTTCTTGTCGCTGAGACGAATCTGAGGGCGTTATCTGAATGCTAATCTTTCTGTCAGCAGAAAACATGATCCTTCGCAAGCACAACTGAAATCGATCCAGATATATATTGATCCCGACTTCCTGATACAAATAACAAAGAAAGCTTTCTTTGTGCGGATGCTAAACCTTCAGGGGGTGGGGTGGGGGGCTTAATATTGGACTTGCCAGAATGGAGCCTGAAATACATTTGCTTGATTAGGGGGTTTGTAGCCCCTAGCTTTTATCTCTTTAACGCCTATGTTTGTACCCTTGAAGGTACTCTGGAAGCAAACTTTATAATTGTTATGGAGCAACGAAGAATTACTTATAAAAGTAGCAACAAAAGGTTTGGAAATGAGGGCACCCATGGATACCAAGTCCAACCAAGATAAATAAGGCTTGGAGTACCTTCCAGGGAACGTTGGGTTATGCAGATGGTCAGAACAGAATAAATTAACCCAGCTTTGTACTGTCTTGCCCTGCCATTAAGACTATTGTATTGTATTGTATTGTAGACGTTAGTCTTTACAATAATGAATATACACTAATTAAGACTAACATGAAGCAATTTCAAGGATTGCATAAGACAGTTCATTTACTGTAAAACGAGCATGCGCACTTGTCTTCAAGGAACCAAGTTTTGATCAGGTTCTCAAATTGTCTAGTATTTTGTGCTGTCTTTATTGATTCCGGGAGTGAATTCTAGATTTTAGGCCCTTGAAAATGATCTGATACCATTATTGGTAGTTCTGGCTTTTGGAATGTCAAGAGGGTTTTTAAGTCGAAGACTATGGGGTGTTATTATATCAAAGTAACTCGAAAACGTTTGCGCTTTTAAGCTTACTTTCTTCTAAAAATTTTTCTTGCAAACATAACGACTGAAATCAGCTTTTCAAAAACAATTTTAGAGTCTGTTTCTATTAAAAAATCTATCATTGTTCTTTTTAAATACTCATTGACAATAAATAGTTCTCTGCCAGGATACCGGGACAAAAGGCTGTTTTTGCAGTTGTAAGGAATTCTGTTTTTCGTTGTAGGCCTGCAGCACCCTGAGGCACGTTGCCGAGACAGCCAGTTATGGCAGGAGTGCTATTGTCGTACGTTTGGTGCGTGGGACGATCTCCGAGAGCGACGAGCGAAGAAAATCGGCTGGAGGAAAGTGTTTATAGAGGAATGGGAACGACTTAAAGATATCGACTGGGACGACCTTTGAAAGGTCTCTGTTTGGCTTCCAAAAACTATAAAGAATTCTTCGATACTGCCAAGCTTCGAGTGTTTTGAAACATACATGATTTAATTAGGGTGTCTGAGATTCACAGTATTGTTTGCTAAAGATTCTAATTTATATTTGCATTTCGAGTAGATTTTTGTCGATAGGTTTATGATGCAGAAAAGGTAACGTTAGTGCTTAGCATTTGTAAAGTATCTTTGTGAGCAGCTGTTGCGTTTAGTCATAAAAGAAATGCTTTTACTAAAAGAGTCATAGATTTTACTGCCAGGAAGTAGCCAGTTGAGGCTCCCAGGGTTGTAACTGTTTGGCTAAAAAGAAGCCGAAAGTATCATTGCAGTATCCAATGCTAAATAAGGAAATGTTATCCAAATGCTATCCGAAAAGTCAAAATGCATTGTTAATATACAAAAGTTTATTGGTTGAATAATCGACACAATTAATTTTAGAGGAATTTCATCAACTGATGCTTCGCAAAAAGCAGAAAAAGTTGCATAATAATTAAAGCAACTGAACTGGGCTTATAAGGTCTTTTGGTGAATTCGTTATTCCGGTATTCCGGTATTCCGATGATTCAGGATGTCGCTGGCGACAAAAGGCGAAGTATCTGCAACTGACACTTGATATTTTGAGCATTTGTTTGAGGAATTAGAGACACCACATTCCATGGAGTGAGTTAGTAATGGGCGTAGCCCTTGAAAACGATTACAACCACGCCCTTTAACATTACTTTATCACCCTTCTTGTTCATTTTTCAGTGCTACTTCTTTCAATAGGTTTAATTTTAGAAATATGAATTACCTGATGCGCAACGGATTCACTCATATTTAGAGTAATTCAGTAAACCATGATGTGATTGATGTTTTGAGGGGCAAATCAATTCTTCAAAGCCCCCTTTTTGGCGCCATAACGGATTTGTCTTTCTTTTAACTTTTTGATCCCACATTTATCTGTTTTAGCCAATTGATTTACTGTCTCGGAACGTCCCCCGTCTACCTACAGGCTCTCTGACTTTACAAAGTATATCACTTACCGCTATAATTCTTTGCGATCCATTATTCATTATGACCCAGCATCTTTAATTCCATTAAATCTAAAGGATATTTTCCCTTGGTTTTGAGGGCGTTCATGATCTTTAATCGCCGGGAAGATAGTGTTGTGAACTTGCTGTAAATAATTCGTAATGCATATACAGTATTCTCTCCAATTAGCGGACACCGTCGGGGCACGAGCAAGGTTTCCGCTAATTGGAAATGTCCACCTTTTGGAAAGTTTTGCAATGTAAGTCCCAAATTTGAAAATAGACCCGAGTTTTGTATTCAGTAATCAGTGTAATCAGTGGTGGCGCCAGGGGAGGGCTACAGCCCCTCCGTCGGAAGCATCTAGCCCCCCATCGGAGGAAGTTATTGGAAAGAGGTTGAATCGTGGAGGTGGCTATATCTGGAGATTCCAGTAATTTACCACTTTCATGGATTCATGGACAAGAAAACTTAGTAAACTGGGCTGTAAAGAAGCTCGAAGCTGTAAAAAAACAACTAGATTGTCAGAAGTCAAAGTGTTTGAAATAGATATTTGAACAAATATTCATTCGTCTAAGTTTTTTGTTTGCTAGCTCCTAACTTTTTTGTAATGTCCGCTAATTGGAATAAAAAAAACCAAATTGTCTATTTTATGCAAAAAAAATTGTCCTCTTTTAGAATGTCCGCTAATTAAGTGTCCGCTTTTTAGAAAGTTTTTTATGAGACTTTGACCAGAAAACAATCGGGGGAAAAAATTTGTTCGCTAATCAGAGGTGTCCGCTTTTTAGAGTGTCCGTTAATTGGAGAGAATACTGTATCACTCACAATTCTGATATTTAGAGCGTGATTAGGAATGTTAATAAAACTGACCACACTGCATGAATTTCTCTGCGTTTTCATGCTAGATACCTTTCAGCGTCGTTTCATGATTATGAGAGTCAAATTTTCTACTACTCATTGAAGTAGAGAAACTCCCTTGTTGCTGATATGATGTCCCCATAAATTATAGGCCTTACTTTGCTGAATGTTGGGGTTTTCTTGGGCACGTATAGAAAGAGGAGGGATCAAACGAATTGGAATTAACCTACAACCATACTTCCCCTCATAATGATGAAGCAGCAAAGATACAGATGTAGTGCTTGAACTGCCAGGGCAATGAAGGGAGGTGGTCGTAGAGAGAATGAAAACCCCTTTTGAAAATCTTCCATTGCAAAACGAAGAGCTTTTGCCATCTAGGGTGTACTTAATCGGATAATAAAGGATGTGTGAGAAGGAAGAACCGCAGAATGAGCTGTCCGCCGGATTCGGTGAATCTTGCAATGAGATTTTAAAATGGAAGATATACAGGAATGACACTTTGTCGCTCATTTTGTCAGCAAACAGGATCTTGAGCCCCCCTTGAAAACAGTAGTTAGCGACGGTCCTGTTAAAACTCTTCAAATGATACTCTTTATGCCTTAAATGATCCTGTTATCAAACTGTTTTTGGGGGAAACACAGGCAAAGATGCCTCTGCCAGTAACCCCTTGACCATCCATCCTCCTTGGGAAGGTAAAATATGACGACGCTGCCAGATAAAACTCTAAAAGCAAATTACTCAATTGGAATCTAGTGCTCTTTTTTAAAAAGTCCTGTTCTTCTAAAAATTCATAGAAATCCTCTTGCTTTGGTGCAAATCTTGTCGTATTTTTGCCTGAGTAAATTGCCCCTCGATCAAAACCGATAGAGCCAATCCGATGGAAAGCGCCCTAGTGACATAGGAGAGCATTGAAACACACCATATGCACACAATGGCCTTTGATCGTTACAGTAAACATATCTGATATGATCAGACGAGATCATTCGATTGTTTTTCTTGCAACCAGCAACCGTAAATAGTGTTGCATGGCCTGTCGCTCCGTGCAAACATGGCGGATTCGAGAAATGCAGAAATCAGTAATTCTCATCAACATCTAACGCTTACTGTTCATCCTATGAACGATTTAATTTAACCAAATTTAATATGAATTTATAAACACTTTATACAATATAAAGTCATAAATTATAAATATGAACAATTCTCCACCGAATGGGTCTATACAAAGTAATTTATTTATAGAGCAGAGTTTACTTTCAAGGCAATAAAAAACAGAAGAAAATTATCTAAATTGTCAAATAATATCAAGGATAGGTATTTTTCAAGAACATCAAGGATAGGTATTTCTCCCCTTTTAACGCATAGGCTTCACTTTCAGGGTGTCTATTTGCACAGGAGGTGAACTTGCTACAAGTTTTTCTCTCTATTTAGTCGGAATATTCCTGTTTACATTTTTCATTTATGAAATTTCACATTTCCCAGTCTATTGTAACTGAAAGGGAGGGAGAGACTTGTAGCAAGTACAGCAGGGGACGGCTACTTCTCTCTTTTGGCAAGCTTGTGGCGCTGCCTTTCAGTGTATCTAAAGGGGTTCCCAGCCTGTACCCCCTCAAGAAGATTTCTGCTGCTCCATACAGGTGGGGGGGGGGGGTGGTAGATGTTGGGCTATGCAGGGTATTACTTGAATTTGTTTGGGCGTTTGTCTCAACGACTGCATCAACAGTTTTTAGAACTAACAAGCGGTTGTTCAATAAATCATGGCTTAGGCCTAGGGGAGGAAAAAGTATGGGTCCGAAGATTACAATATTGCAAAGGGTTGTGAAGAAACTAATGGCTAATTTTTTGAACGTATCAGCCAACCTTTCTAGAAACTTCTTTCATTAAATTTTAAGCTTGGGTGTGATACGCATTTGGTCAGTTGTGGCAGCAAGATTAAATCACAGTCTGAATTTAGAGATTCTTTGATCAAATTCAATACCAATTTTTCGTTCCAGAAACATTAATTTCGGATACCGCAATAACCAAGAGAGGTATCAGAACGGCGAAACATCTGCACGAAAATCATTCGAGGTCAAACGAGGTTAAATAAGGTCAATCAACGTCAAAATGGCGGCACTGGGAATTTGGGAGAGGTGTGCATAGGACATGCACTCGTCTTGTTTTTTGTTAGGAGGGGCAAGGGGACATATTCATAAAAGTACCTTTAACGTATTTATCAAGGATGGCTATTCGAGCTCTATTTTCGACCGCAGTATCTGTTTGAATCAATTTGCTTTTGCTATAAAATATAAAATTGATAATTCTGGCAAAAGGACCGTCTAAGGAAATGATGAAAAGACTGATTGCTTGACATTCTAGAGGCATCAGGGACTTACGGGGGACCGAAATAATATAGAAAAGTTCTAAGACAGTTCAACTCCGTCTTAAAATTCATCATTCAAACAAAGAACCAGCTACAGCCAGTTGGTCATGAGGCCACTCACTAGAAATCAGTCACTGATGACATTTGAACGGAGCGTTCAAAAATACAACGATGGAGAGTTGAGGCATGAAAAGTAGGGTGGTTTCAAGAATTGAGATGAAAGGGGGGGGGGGCACTGCAGCGGAGATGTGTAATTAAAACAGACCTTTTCAGTCTGAATCCGCAGGAACCTATCACTTCGTAACTGACAGTAGGCATTTTTGGCATCTGAAACAGCTTTATTTATAAAAGTACTTGTTCAATGTTAAGGATACTGGGTGTGGGCTATTGCTCCCTTCCATTCCCCCGATCCTTTGAACGTCCGCCTGTTGTACCCACTTCCCTTAATACAAGTAAATAAAAGTTGCTCATAGTCATCATATGACTTTGCGGAATCGTTCTCTCATCCTTTCAAATATCTTCAAAGAATCAGCTGTACCAACCTTGCATTGATCATATTCTCAGCCCCTGAAACGAGGTTCCAACGATATCATTAAACTGCATTAATTGGCTGCAGCTCCTTCCTAGTGGCAGGCCTGTAAGTCAATCCGTACCTGTTCTGGTATTTTCTGACCTCTCTTCGACCAAGGAAATGCGTAATTCCCATGAAAACGAGTCCAACAAAAACTACAGCGATAATGATGTAACCACTAACCTAAAATGGAAATGAAAAAGATACATGTATATCAGCTAAAAACTTCTCCCGTTAGTCTATGCTGGCACCAAAGAGATAGGACAGCGACAACTTCGAACGGTTGGCACTCAACTGACAACTCGTGTCTCCCTTCAACGCCATGATACATAAAAAAGGAGGTCCGATTAACACTCTAAACATCTAAACTGCTTACTGTATTGAGAACAACATCATATAACAAAAATATACTTGGATTGCATGTAAAAAGCTATCCACATAAACATTAAAACAAAAAAATAGTGGCTTTCATGAGGACCTTTTGAATATTGTCCTTTGGCGAATGTAATATGAAACTGTATACGTATATTTACATAAGCAACTAAAATGAATGTTTACCGGTGTGTCATAAAGTGCTCGATGTCGTATAGGCAGAGCTGTACACGGTATTTGGTGTAGAGAGCAAGTTGTTTCTCAGAGTTTCACCTTTAATACACAAAATGGCGTATGAACATGGCATGTTGCTATGTTACTAAATTACTACAGTCGCTTTTAATGTACAATGTTGCATAAGAATCCTTGTCATAGACTGAATATTTACAGTAGGTATTTAACGGATTCGTGTTATTTAACTTGGAAAGCCTAAAAGCTAAAATCCCGCCATTGTTATTCATTTCAAATCGATTATACCCTACTCTTTTAAGTAAGAAGATCACACCGTTCCTGACGTGCAACATGCCCAAAAGCCACCAAGAAATTGCAGTGAGACGCAAATAAAGTTTATACAATGAACATTTTGTAAAAATTGTTCAGGTTTACAATTCACATGCTTATCTTATCACTGTTTTGTTATCTTTCATTTTCCCTTCCCGCCATTATGAATTCATAGGCAATGATAACAGGATAATTTCGTCTGAAAAGCAGTGAGAAAATTCTGAAGCCAGTGCCAATAAGACATAATTTGGCTTAAAACATATTAAAAGTTGGCAGAAGTGAAATTTTAATAAGTTGCAGATGGAGGATAGCACTTTTTAATATAATATTTGAGACTTTCGAGCAATATAATAAATATTGTAAATGTAATATGAAGAGAGATGGAAAAGAAAATATTGTATAAAGGTTAAAATATTCCATGGCTGGGTAGGGTTAAGATTCTAATCTAAAAACAGCTTGTCCTAAATGAAATGTGCAAACTACGATAATAATTAGTAACAATAAACTATTTATTTTTGACTAAAATAATGAGCCTTTGGTAAAAGGACGCATTAAACGACCCCTGAACATTCTTGGTCAGCGGTAACAAAAAATATGCACTGTCAGCTGCTAGGAGACACACTTCTTCGTAGCGCGCAATAAGCAGTTACAAAAAGGTCGTATTTTTACACAACTTAAGCCTCTGCGTAGGGTTTTACTCTTCTGATACCAGAAGAATTATTCACTTTTGTTAAGACGCAACTAAATAGAAACTGGAACACATTACAATGGCCAATTCTCTATAAAAAGCCAGTACATAGGCAACAAGATCAATATGTTAAATGTATTGAACTTATAATTTGTGACTGCTTCTCTGTAGGTTCTTTACTAAAATAAAGAACTGCTGGCAATTTTTGTGTAATTTTTACAAAGAATCAAAGCGAAGACACAAGCCGGTAAGGTCAACAAGCATATGGCTCGGTCAGGCAAACACAATTATTTGCGAGACCTCACAGCACATGGAAACGAAACGCCCACAATATTTTTTCAAAACAAAATGCCGAACGCAAAGAAAAATATATAATGTTGTGTCCGTAAGATTACAGAAAGTGATCCATAAATGATATCATATAAATAACCATGTAAAAATTCGATATTTTGCAGAATTCAACAGATATCGTTAGATCATATTTAATCCTAGAAAACCACAAATGCCCTTTCGATACGAAGGTATTGATAAACT